CCAGAATGACGGGATATACCAGAGTTTCACTAGGCACGCTGCCTTAGTCACCAGAATGACGGGATATGCCAGTGTCACTAGTCACGCTGCCTTAATCACCAGAATGACAGGATGTACCAGAGTTTCACTAGTCTCGCTGTTTTAATCACCAGGATGACGGGATATACCAGAGTGTCACTAGTCTCGCTGCCTTAATCACCAGAATGACGGGATATACCAGAGTGTCACTAGTCTCGCTGCCTTAATCACCAGAATGACGGGATATACCAGAGTGTCACTAGTCTCGCTGCCTTAATCATCAGAATGACGGGATATACCAGAGTGTCACTAGTCTCGCTGCCTTAATCACCAGAATGACGGGATGTACAGAGTGTCACTAGGCACGCTGCCTTAGTCACCAGAATGACGGGATATACCAGAGTTTCACTAGGCTCGCTGCCTTAATCACCAGAATGACGGGATGTACCAGAGTGTCACTAGTCTCGCTGCCTTAATCACCAGAATGACGGGATGTAGCGGCATTACAGTGGTAGGGAATCGATTATTCGATACATTCGGGGCGCTGGATTTTCAATAACGCCGGATAATCGCATCACGATTAAAAATAGCTTATTTTTGCACATTCTTGCATGCCGTGTTTTTAAGTGTTGTTACATGCTTTTGTTTTTTACATTCGCTTACTATATGAAATTGGCATCAATAAACATAAAAATAGACTAAAATAAATCTTAGGAGCCGTCCACAAATGACGTCACGCACCTGGGGGGGGGGGGGTCAGACATTTGTGACGATGTGTGACGAGGGGGGGGGGGATTTGAGAAATGTGACGTCACATCAAAATGCGCAACTTTAAATAAATATAAACAACACGTTCTACTTAATTAAATAGATGTTTAATAAATGATTTATCCTACAACATCAGAGTGCAGCGCCACATTAAATACACAAAAAAAATCGTCCAAAATCGCGTGACGTCATTTATGGACGGCCCCTTACTGTAAACAGTTATCTATTTACTGTACCGTACTTACCACTCCAATCTCAAAGACTCTGCATATGGTGATGTGTATACGTGCAGTGGTATCTTCATTTTGATTTAAAGCTTTCGTCACTGCAGGGATTCATATTCTTGGTTCTTTCGGTAAAGTCACCACGTAGAAGGGAAACAATAACAAAATATAAAACAATAAAACAATGTAATTGTTTTATATTTTTATTATTGTTTCCCTTCTACGTGGTGACTTTACCGAAAGAACCAGGAATATAGTAGTGTATAATGCATTGTATGTAATATTTTTGTTAACACTGAAATGAAGCCAAGCTACTTTTATTTTGTCAAGCGTACGGTGCCCACCGCCGGACTGATTTACAGCATTTGGAGCGTCGGATAATGTTGGAAGCGGCCGGGATGATCGATGATCGACTATCGTCGCTAGTTTTCTCACTTGGGTTTATACGTGGAAATCTTTGCAGTTCCCCCCCCCCCCCTTACTGCAAAAACTCGGCAGGACTCTCCTGAAAAAAGAGCCATTCGGACCCAGTGAGACTTTCTTGGGTAAACGAGCGTAGGAGTAGTAAAAAGAAGTAATATGTAAAATAAAAACTTTTTTTTTTAAACACGCGCTTTTAAGAAATGTACCGTACTAGTAACGGCAAAACTCCACTACTCCAGGAAGTGGCCCCGAAGCTTGCCCACAACGTAATGGACCGTGGTGATTTACAGCCAACGTCAGTTGACCGTGGACAATTAGACCCAAGCCGAAACATAACATAAAAAAATAATGTTTAAAATTTTTTATTTTTACGATAGAATATAGTATTGTCATCAGTATGACACACGCATACTTTGCAGTCGATACCACCATTGGAAAGTGGGTTAAAATTGAGTTGCAAGATTTGAGGATACAACAACAATAACAACAGACAGAGTGAGTTAAATAATAAGCGTGTAATAATAATGATAATCCTAATCACATTTTACCTGCGTAATTCGCACTGAATTCGTGCGCGTGAAGCTATTACTGTACGGAACGTTTAGCGGTTGCATTGTGCCCACGTGCCCAGGCTTTCGCTGGCGTGCATATATGAAGGAAGCTGTGTATATAGTTGAGTGTTTTGTGGTTTCTTTAGAACCTGTTATCTGGAATCCCCCACTCCCCCCCCCCCCCCGGTTGCATGCGAGCAGCGAAACCGCTCCCAGACTATCAGCTGCTCCAATCATCCCGTCGTCTGGTTGGTTGATTCTTCCTTCGATGAATCGATGAAACATTTACAGCGTACGATTTATACACGAATTTTGCGATAAATGTACGAACTATTTGACACGCACACGTCTCAAAAAAACACTTTTGCACCAACAATAGCGATGGGAACGGATTCGGAATATTTCTGGCCTTACTCACAACCCCCTTGTTGAATTTAAAACTTCGAGTTGTTGAACAATAAGCCGGTTTAACCAGTAACCGTTTTGAGAATTGCCTGACTGGACACATTTTGTGCTGGCTGCTGTACATATTTAATTCTATGTTTTAATTTCCTTAAATCAACAGGGAAGTTCATGGTTGAAGCTCTCCTCGCGTTGCGCAATTGGGTATTTTTGTTTTGAACAAATCGCCGTGAGTTTTGCGAGCTTCTCGCCAGCACTTCAGTGAACAGGGCTGAGTGCGTGCCTTATTATAATTCCAATGGGTAAACGGCAAGGAACGTGAAATTCCATTAGACGGCACTCAACATTGAGACAAAACTGTGAGTCTCACCGATTCCCCTCTAGGCTTGCCCTAAGGATGTGGTAGTGGTGGGTGGGGACACTGGGTAGTGGTGGGGCGACATCACTGACCATGACCACAATTCCTCCAGAGAGCAGCGATTCAATTACGAGATCACCAGATCCCGGGAGTCGGCATGCAACGACCGCTTCCCCACGCTACTCCACACTCGTCGGCAACCGTTTCCAGTGGACCGTGAGTAACGGGATGCAGCTGATTTGGCACGCGCGGTCGTACAAACCGCACGGAGGCCCAACGTGTGGGTTACACAGGTGGAGGTGCAGCCCTGCAAGTGCTGCGCTCGCTCGCTTGCCACGCCACTGCTGGCAGGAAAGGGCATCAGCTAGAGCAGGGGTGGGGAACCTTTTTTCTGCCAAGGGCCATTTGGATATTTATATAACATAATTCGCGGGCCATACAAAATTATCATTTTTAAAGATTAGCCTGTTTTATTTGGTCAAACATTTCATTAACTCGCCCCTAATGTGGTGGGCTGGAACTGCATCTCTTTGGCGAGGCGTGGTGATGATGTTAGCCGGTATTGACGATGTTGCTGCTACTCGCAACTTGCTTTTCCAGGTTTGCCCTCCTAGATTTATTGAATTTCGAGTCCCGCCTGCGGTTGCCTTGGCAGGGCCAGAGACCAATTTAATTCGCGGGTCTGACGTTCCCCACCCCTGAGCCAGAGGAAAGCTTTCTAAAGGGGTATTTGTTCTACTCTTCCACGTTGTACAGACGTCTTTGGAGAAGTGGGCCGTAGCGGCACTTGCCAGGCTCGGCGGATTTGAGAAACTTGCGCAGGTCGTTTCAAACTGCCGCAGCGGGAGGTAGAGTTGAGACCGGCGCGACCCTCTCGAGTCCGGTGTACTAACCCGTTAGACCCTGGGAGTTTAAAAAACAAAAATTCTCAGTTAAAAAGTGTAGACATTGGTTATTACTCTAGACATTTGTTCATGTGTGTAAGCGGTTTGAATTTTACCATGTGATACTCAATTATCCAGGCCCCACACACGGATGACAATATGGGTTGGACCCAAGCATTATTTATGCAACGGTGATCCTTTATTGAGATGGAAACATCTGAAATGAGTCTCAATACTCCTTTGCAGGAGGGTTTTGCTTCAAAATACTCAATTGCTTCCTTGATGCAAATCTTTGCATGTGGGAGGAAACGATAGTACACATCTCTCTAAAACTCTTGTGTGCATGAGAAACATATAAATGCCTTACAGTAATACCTCCCAAAACCAGTGTGAGTAAGCCACCGAGGTGACCTGAAAATAATTAAACGTAAAATCACACGCCAATACACGGCAATTCTTCCACGCGTATGCGCCGAGAATCGATTCCTCCTTGTGCATCGCTCGCTCCGCGTGTCAGGGGTGGCCACTCCTGAGGGGTTGCCACTCCTGAGGGGTTGCCACTCCTGAGGGGTTGCCACCCCCAGGACGTTTCTCCGGAAGAATATTATCTGATCAATATCCGACGATGGGATCATTACAGCGTGAGCGCCGGCACGGCCTTGAGAAGACGTTAGTTATACGCCACCGACAGAAGACGGGACTTCCAGCACCTTTGGGAAGACTCGCGGATTTCCCACGAACACAACTACCCCGTAAAGAGGGAGGGTGTCCTGAGAAAACCAGGACCAGGTGGTAACCCTACAGGCCATGGGGAGGCGAGAACGAGTTGCAAAAGAGACGGACGGCTTGTGAGCTTTCTCCGCTTGCTCATACGCTGTTGAGGCAAAATAAGAGTGGGAGAAGCGTGTCCGTAGGTTCTTCTGTGTGGAGATAAATCTCCATGTATATAAAAGGCAAAGATGTGAATGTGTGTGTTCAAAATGTTTAGCGTACTTCCCAACATGCAACAAACTTGAAATTTGCCATGTGGGTACTTTCCACACTGTACACCATGCAAACATTATAAAAATACACTTTCTTTGTGGGGGGGGGAGCTCAATAATGCATATATTTATTGCACAGCAAGTGAGCTGTGACGTCAAATCTGTCATGTGACCCGCGCATGTGGAAGCGTCACGCATTGTAGTGTTTTACAATCGAGGTGAGCATCACCTGCATTCTAAATATAATGGTGGGGCTTAACCTTTTGGACTGGTTTGCTCAGGTGTGCAGCTCGTACACAATGCAAGGTGCTCGTGTGTGTGCCGGACGATGCTTCTCGTGGCTCCTGCATGTGACTCTCTCCGTGCGACTCCTGGATGCGACTCCACAGTGTGACTCTCTCCGTGCGACTCCTGGATGCAACTCCGCAGTGTGACTCCTCGGTGCGACTCCTGGATGTGACTCCTGGGTGCGACTCCACAGCGTGACTCTCTCCGTGCGACTCCTGGATGCGACTCTGCAGTGTGACTCTCTCCGTGCGACTCCTGGATGCAACTCTGCAGTGTGATCCCTCCATGTGACTTTTTGGTATTATTCCTCGGTGTGACTCCTTGGTGTGATTCCTCGGTGCGCGTCCTCACACGGGGGGGGGGGGGGGGGGGGGGGGGGGGGGAGCCTGTGCTCCGTTAATCCCAGCCACGTGAACACGTCGCTGGCAAGAGCGTCGCCGTCTGACACCTCCACGCTAATTGCTTTTGTTCCGTCCCATTATGTGTTTAATGAAACGTTAAATGATGGAGGTGAATATAGAGAGGCGGCCGACTACGCAGGCGTACAAATACAATTTTGTCAATTTATAATAATTAAACCGTTTAAAATCAGAATTGTTTTTCCATCACGTCGAGAGTTTTATTAGTTTTGAATTGAACGTTGTGCAGCGGCGAAATGGATTCTGCTGCGATTTGGTAGATATAAACGTTTGTACTTTGGTTAACCAGTTTATTTTGATAACATCGCTTTGGAGTTGAAAATAATCAAACATTGCAGCAACGAGAGCGGGGGCAGGTATTGGCAGAGTAGGGAGCTTTTAGGTAGATGTGGCTGGATCGTGATGTGCGAGTGGGTGGGTATGCACGCACCTATGTGGATGGGGAGATGCATTTGGAGGGCGAGTTTTTGCGACTTTGTATTGGACGAGATCTGGGAACGAGCACAAATGTTGCCTAAGGGGCCCTTTAGAAGGAGGCGTTTGACTCCCTCGCTGCCTCAAACGGGTTTCTCTGACCCCACAGCACTTCACCTCTGGCTCGTTTTGCCGACCCCATAGCACTTGACCTCTGGCTCGTATTGCCGACCCCACAGCAGTTGACCTCTGGCTCGTTTTGCCGACCCCACAGCAGTTGACCTCTGGCTCGTTTTGCCGACCCCACAGCAGTTGACCTCTGGCTCGTTTTGCCGACCCCACAGCAGTTGACCTCTGGCTCGTTTTGCCGACCTCACAGCAGTTGACCTCTGGCTCGTTTTGCCGACCCCACAGCACTTGACCTCTGGCTCGTTTTGCCGACCCCACAGCACTTGACCTCTGGCTCGTTTTGCCGACCCCACAGCAGTTGACCTTTGGTTCGTTTTGCCGACCTCACAGAATTTGACCTCTGGCTCGTTTCGCCGATCCCACAGCAGTTGACCTTTGGCTCGTTTTGCCGACCTCACATAATTTGACCTCTGGCTCGTTTTCCCGACCCCACAGATCTTGACCTCTGGCTCGTTTCGCCGATCCCACAGAACTTGACCTCTGGTTCGTTTCCCTGACTCCACAGGGCTTGACATCTGGCTCATGGGGTCGTCCTGGCTGGGGAGGACATTGCAATGGCTTCCCCAGTTTAACTGTTTTCGATAGGACGAAGTTTTCTTGTTCTTTCGGTTTTATAGTAATCTGTAATAATTGCTTCTCCTAATGTTCTGTAACTTGGCACGGTTTTGCCGCTTGCGAATCGCATTTTCCGGTTTCTTAGCGCATAACTCTGCAAACGTGTTCCTCTGAGGTTGCTGTGCCGGAGGTTTGGTGTTGAACTTCTTTCTCGCACCGTACGTAGCGAACCGTGCTTACCGGAGGGTTTTGCATTATAAATACAATACAGCTTGAATATGTGGTCACATTTAGTCACTGTGTACGTTCCAGATGCTGTACAATAAAGAGGGCTATACTGTTAATGGGGGGGGTGGGGGGTGGAGGGGGGTAGAGGGGGAGGGGCATCAGAGAATAAGGAGTCTTTATTAGGGGATGCAGTGGGGGGCCCACAACTACAGCGTCGAGAAGGTAAAGGTATCAAAATATAAGAATGGGATCGATCCTTTCTGCCAATAAATCAGGAGGTGTTAAGATATTAAAACACCAAACTGAAATCTTTTGCAAGGAATCATGTACTTAGTGCATTAACCACACACATCTGTGGTGAACATGCAAACAAATAAAACACGCTCTGACAGTATATGCACTGTCTTTGAAACTGAAATATTTTGCATGGGACCTCATGGGAGGTGCCATGAAGGTAAAGGTATCGTTTGTGTGGATCGTGGGAGTTAAAGATGATGATGATGATGACGACGATGATGATTCTGTTTCCCAGGTCCGCTTGTTGTGTCCCCCCGGCTGTCGAGTGACCCTGGCCGCCGTCGCCGTGCCCCAGAGCCGCCTCGCGATGGCACGGGTCTCGTGTGGCCCGTGTGAGGCCTTTTGAGGTCTGTGGAGGGCCCCCACCCCACGTGCGAGGCCTGCGCGCGTGCGGCTTGCGGAGCGTGGCGAGCGCCGCCATGCGGTGGCCGGGCCGCCGGGCCGCGCTGGTGCTGTCGGGCCTGGCGTGCCTGCTCGCCGTGCTCTACGTGGGGCAGCAGTCGCTGGAGTGCCACACCGGGTCACGGGCCCGCGTCTCCGTGCGTCTCTCCCCAGGCCTCTCCCACAACCGCTCCGCGGCCGCGCATGGTACTGACGCGTGGTTGTGTGCGGTGCCTTCTTCGCGCCCGGCTCTCGGTGACCGTGACCTGTATGTTGAACTTCTTTCGCGCCGTACGTAGCCAACCGTGCTAATTGGAGGTGCCCAGAATCGGCCTTGTATCCCTGTGGGGACCCTCTGTGGTGTTGGACACGAGCCATTCCCTGCACTAAGCCGCTACAGCATTGGTTCTCCCCTTTCTAGACCCGCAGACCAATGGTATCGCCGTGCCCTGATAAAACATTTAAAAACATGCAAAACTACTCAAAGTGCTGTCAAATATTAATTCAAAATCCATAAATAAAAAAAACCTCTACTTTTGAAGGTTAATGACTCGCACGAACGAGTTGGCCGATGCTGCCGGGTTGTGCAATGAGCAGTAACGAACGCTGGTGTTTCGGAGTAATATCTGCAGGAGTTCCATGGAACAATTCCTCCCAAGGCCTTTCGAACGATGGGCAGTCTGCGGACCTCTGGCTGGGAAGCACTGCCACGCAACGGAAGCGTGGTCGCTCGCGCCTGTGACATTGGGTTACCGGAAGCCAAAACCTCCTTTAACGCTGTACAAAGCACAGACTCGGAATCCTGTTGTCATAACTGCACTGTGTACTTGGTGGGAGTCAATGTAAAGCCCTCCACGTTGATTGATGATCCGGCACTCGCTGATTCGCTTCAGTGGCGGTCAGTCACCTCCTCACTCTTCTCTCGCTATCACCACGGTTACTGTTGGCACGAACTTCACTCGTTGATTCCTCCACCCGTGATGAGGACTCGGTTCGCCAGACTGCTTCACCTCATTCGCATGGTGTTCAACTGCCATACTGCAGGTCGCAACATTTCTCTTTGCTGTTCCTGTCTCACACTGCTCCACTTGAGAATTCCCTTTTCCTCATTTCTTTCCCCAAGTTCTTATAACCTTGGTCAATTTAATGCACACACGCACGCACACATGCACACATATACAAAGGTTAATAGGTACATACACTAACAAAGACAATGATCCCCCATATAGCCTGTAACAGACTGTAGGGGCAAGTGCTGTTAGCGAGCACCTATCAAGGCCGGAATGGCACACGAGGGAGTGGGTGGCCAGCACCACGCCCGACCGCCTTTGTCTCCCTAGTGGCGATATTTACACACTGCACTAGATACTCATTTGAGGCTGAGTCGACCTAGGGGAGGCCCAGGACCGAGTTCAGATAATCGTCACCGGTGTTGGACCTGGGCAGGAATGGAACTTGGTTCGCCGGATTCGTCGCGCAATGTGCTAACCACTACACTACCGCTCCCGATACATACACTAACAGGTACACAAACATGCACACATGCGTTCAACAGCACCCACGTGCACAAGCAGTTCTGTTGAAACTCCAGACGATGCTTCGTTTCACCGAGTTATCGGAAGTCGGGGTACAAAGTTACGATCCCCCAGTGCATACTCGTGTCGCTCATTATAATGAAAGGCTCGTTGCTCAGATGTGATGGCAAGATGTTATCTCCCTCGCCTGTTATGCAGGAGATCGTGGGTTCAATCCAAACCCTGACATCGACCGTATATTTGGAATTTGCGTGTTCTCTCTCCCATGGTCGCGTGGATTGTTCTCCGGGTCCTCCGGTTTTTCCCTCCTCAATTGATAAAAAACACGTTTATAGATTATTTGGCTGCGAATATAAGTGCCCACACGTGATGATAAGCCACGTAAATGAGCTGTCATGCTTGGCCAGGTCGCCTCTGAAAAAGAGCGAATAACTCGGTGTGCCAGGCTAGATGCACTTTGAGGCCATGTGAAGTGGCCTCAGGAGTTCACGGGACAGACTCGGGTGCCATGGGTTGACTGAGATGAGAACGTCTCACTTGGATGATCGTCTTATTGCTCGCATGCTACGTAGGAGCGCGTGGGTTCCATCCCAACCCTGACGACGCCTGTATATCTGGAGGTTGCGTGTTCTCCCCATGGTTGCGTGGATTTTTCTCGGGGTCCTCTGTTTTTTTTTGTGTCCTCCACATTTAGAAACGTGCGTTTAGATTATTCGGCTATTCCTATAAATTCCCACATGATAAGCCACTTAAATAAGCTATCGTGCGTGGCCAGATCGCCTATGACAAAGAGCTAATAGATCGATGGGCTTTGCCTGATAAATAAATTAATTTTAAAAAGACATCTTACATTTTTATTTCCGGCCACGTTAGCAGGAAACGTGCATCGCCTCGCTCACTCGCTCACTTCCCTGCGTCATCGGGCCTCGCTTCTGTGCCGCGCTGCGATTATTGCTAATAGTTGGGGAAGAGAAAGTGCGGTGACATTTGGGGCCTAATTAATTAGCACAGAGACTCTCCCTGGCGGGGCACAGCGAGCACGTGACTCTTACTGAAAGCCAAGTGAGTCGAGACGGCACGAGGGAGCTCGCTAGATGAATCCATGTTGAGTGCAGGAATTTAGACTCCCACGTGCATTTCCTCATCATAGCAGCCAACGAAATCAGCCAGAGATGTCTCGGATCACGCACACTACACGCATACATTTATATATATATTTTTCCAATTTGAACACGTTCTTGAAATTATTCGTACTGTACGTTGAAATGTGTCCAATTTTTTTATTGAACTTGCGTGGATAGTGATAAGTGTAGTTGTTAGCGCACTGCATTACAAACCTAACTCACCCGAGTTCGATTCCCGCTCACTGGCCAGCTAAACCGGTTCTGGGCCTCGACGTCGACTCTGTCAAATGAGTACCTCGTGTGGTGTGTTTACATCGGCACTGGGGAGACAAAGGTGGGCGGGTGTGATCCTGGCCACACCACCCACTCGTGCCTCGCACCGCCCTCCATAGATACTCTGTTGCAGCGCTTGTCCTCACGGCTAATAAGCCTCGGCAAGGGGCTCTTTGCCTTTCGTGTACATATCTGTGCGGGCGTGTCATGCGTCTGTGTCGGGCTGCATATGCGTATGTTGGGATGTCTCTGTGCCACCAGTGCCACTTCTGGCGCAGGTGGTGGGGAGCACAGGTGGTGGGGAGCACAGGTGGTGGGGAGCACAGGTGGTGGGGAGCACAGGTGGTGGGGAGCACAGGTGGTGGGGAGCACAGGTGGTGGGGAGCACAGGTGGTGGGGAGCACAGGTGGTGGGGAGCACAGGTGGTGGGGAGCACAGGTGGTGGGGAGCACAGGTGGTGGGGAGCACAGGTGGTGGGGAGCACAGGTGGTGGGGAGCACAGGTGGTGGGGAGCACAGGTGGTGGCATCCGCCGGTCATCTCGGTCAGGTTAACCCGCGTGACACTTAGTACCCCCTTGTTATAAACGCGGCCTCGGCGTTCCGAGGCTGGCGAAAACGCCGCGGTGACGCCCGCCGTCGTTACCGCTGTTGACGCCGTTGTCCGCGCGCCGCGTGCCAGGTGGCGGGCCGCTGCTGGAGCTGGACGAGCAGGCGGAGCTGGTGTTCGTGGGCGGCGTCCCGCGCAGCGGCACGACGCTGATGCGCGCCATGCTGGACGCGCACCCGGCGGTGCGCTGCGGGGAGGAGACTCGCGTCGTTCCGCGCCTGCTGGCCATGCGCGAGGCGTGGGCGCGCTCGGAGCGGGAGCGCGTGCGGCTCGACGAGGCCGGCGTCACGGAGCGGGTGCTGGACGACGCGGTGCGCGCGTTCATCCTGCAGGTCAGGAGGAGCCGCAACTCCCGATTTTTTTTTTTTTTGTTTGGCGCGGTCGGCTACGTGCGGTGCGAAAGAAGTTTAACGTAAGCCGCCACTTCCGCCCGCCTCCGCCCGCGTCGTCATGACCACCGCAGCACCGTTGCGAGATGCACCAATACCTCCACAAGACCGTTACAAAGAAATACGACCAGCGAACCCCACGCCACCGCTGCCGTGGCCACCTCCATCACGGCACTGTCGCGAAAATCAGCAGCGCTCGCCCAAACTCCTAACCACCCCACCTCCCCCCCCCCCACGTCACCACCACCTGAGAAATAAACATAAATGCTACAGCCGATCAGCAGTGCTCTTATATGGTGCAGGGGTGTGGACAATTGAGAAAGAAAGACCGATGAAAGAAGATAGAGGCTTGAAGGGCAGAAATGGGAAGGCCGAAATAAACGCCGGCATTATAGCTCTAAGGGAAAGGAGGGGAAATGAAAAAGTTGAGAGTCTCGTTGGGGATTTCTGAGACTTCGATGTTTCGGGCAATTTTAACTTCGCTGTGGAGCTGCCGGTGCAGGGCAGATGGAGTAGAGGGAGAGCGAGGGTGAGATGGACGAATGTCGTGGAACGAGATCCGAGTACGGGCAGTCCTCGACTTACGGACACAATTAGTTTCCGAGACCCGTTCGTAAGTCGAACGGGTTCGTAAGTCAGAACACGGTAATCCACCGTGTAATTTAAACGCCCGAACAAGCACTCGCTCCCGGCACGAGGCCAACTCATGTACATCTCGTGGAGGATCGCTCGTCCAAACAAAATAGTGCCGCGGTTCAATTTGCAAGCGAGAGTTTGCGTTTTCATGGAAGCTGGTTCGTGAGTGCGGGTGGCGTTCGTGAGTGCGGGTGGCGTTCGTGAGTGCGGGTGGCGTTCGTGAGTGCGGGTGGCGTTCGTGAGTCTAGGAGTACCTGTGGTGTCGAGTGAATGTGATTGAAAAGAGGAGCAGAGTAGAAGTACACGGGGAGAGAAAATCCGAGCAACGAGACCCCCTCACACCACGACTCTCGCTGACGGTCGCTGTGTTGACGTTTAGCATTGCCTGTTTGGTTCTGTCTAGTTTGTTTACTCTCATGGTAACATAGGCATATCATTTCATCAATAAAATATATTTTTTGCCGATTTATTTTTTTTGTTCCAGGCATTGCAAAGCGAAATGATCAATATTAACCGATGCATTTTTTAAAATGCCCTACTGCTCATCCCTTTTGCTCCATTTCACGGCAACGTTAGCCCATCGCCACCCCACCGCCCGGCCTCCCCACCACCCCGGGAACAGTCCTGATTAGCTGTCACAGTATTCCTTCAGTGCATTCGCTACTTTTTTTTGACGGAGGCACAGCCTCGATCCCGAGGGGCGACTCGCTTTCACCCTCGCGAGGCGTTTGCGTTCAAGCCCCCGCTTCGAACGTTGGCCCGACCGCCATCCTCCCCACGCCATTCCTCCTTAAAGATCGATACGAGAACGAGCACCCCCCACTTTGTGTCCTACGGAATGTGGAGCGGCGCACCACGAGTCGCCCCCCCCCCCCCCCCCCCCGTCGCTCGCTAGCGGCATCTGGCATCTGTAAACATTGACAGCTGCACTGTGGCGAGCCCCGCCGAGAGGGTCGGGAGGGTGGGGGACTGTGCTGGAGTGTCGAAAGCCAATTATCTGTGGCCCAACCGGGGGGGAGGGCTTGAAGCCAGGTTCTTGGAGCTGCCGAGTCTGTAAGCGAAACCGGGGGGCCAGGAACCCTCCCCGTGCGTGTGGCCCCTCTTGCCTCTTTGTGTTGCGTTTAATGTCAGAGCAGCCGGCTGTTCCCCCGCATTTACCCTAACGAGCAACCGATAGAGAAATCAATCACTCAGTCTATTAGCTCTCACTGGTAATTTCCGTTTTTTAATTGTGAATTCGCCGGCAGTGTTTTCCTACGAAGGTCTCTCCTCGTAAATGCGGGACACCGTGATCCGATTGAACTTCCTCCTGTTCTGAATAAGAAAAAAAAAAAGCCCGTGGATTGCTTTTGAGTCCATTGGTACGTGCGATTTCTTTTTTTACCGATGAGAGACGGATCAGAATTGAATTTCCCTTTTCAAGCTGAACCGCAGCATGAAACCTTCATGCTCTCTGTATTTCGCATGTCGTTCGTCCACGTGCATGCTGCTGAATTAAGGGAACGACACATGCAGTGAATCTGTTTTTTTCTTCCATTCCTTGTTGGGTCCGTTTTGAAAAGCTTGAAATTCTGGCACCGCACCACAGGCGACCATTGGGAAGTTTCTAGATCCGCCTCTTGTTTAAATCACTTCCCAAGGCACGGGCGAGGCGAACCGAGGAATTGGCGGTAAATTGCCCCCCGCGGGGTGACGGTGCGATCGCTGCTGTGGTGTCGCGTAGATAATCGCCGGGCACGGCGAGCCGGCGCAGCGGCTCTGCAACAAGGACCCGTTTGCGCTCAAGTCGCTCGTCTACCTGGGCCGCCTGTTCCCGCGCGCGCGCTTCCTGCTCATGCTGCGCGACGGCCGGGCCTCCGTGCACTCGATGATTTCGCGCAAGGTCACCATCGCCGGCTTCGACCTCTCCAGCTACCGCGACTGCCTCTCCAAGTGGAGCCGCGCCATCGAGGTGCGTGCCGCCCCACCCTGCCCCCGCCCCACCCTGCCCGCCCCACCTCCCCCCCCCCGCCCCCCCACAACACACAATGACGAAGAACCCCCGTATGGACTGTTGGGGCAAGCGCTCTTAGCAAGCGCCTGGCAACGGGTGGTTGGTTCAGCACCGCGCACGACCACATTTGTTTCCCCAGCGCTGATGCGTACGCGCATCGCAAAGTACTTTTTTTTCTTTTTAAGGCCGGAAATGGTTACCATATCAACTTGCAACGAATATTGTTCACATACAGGAAATTGGGCGTCAAATTGGACGTTGCCAGGTTTCTTAGTGTCACCACCACCTTCACGCCGCTCCACCGCAACCCAACCCCGCCCCGGCACAGAGCTTGCCCGTTAAAACGCCGCGTACGTGCGTGCGTGCGTGCGTGCGAGGCGGCTCGGCGATCGTGGCGGGGCAGGTGTCTGCGTGGCTGCCTCCGCCTCTCCGCTCAATTCCAAGGGCTCCCTTGAGGGGTCAGCACTTGAACGTGTCGCTGGCTCCGTCACATGCGCCCGGCTGCACTGTCCCTTGAAGCTGCGCGTCGGGGACGCGCTCTGCGATTTGCGCATTGGAAGCAAAGGCATGGGCGATTTTAAATGATCTCCATTCAATTTAATCTCCATTCCCACCTCGATGACAAGGTCTGATTCTCCTCCTTTGTCTTCTGGCCGTAACCTCTCTCGGCCATGTGTTGAGGTCACACGTAGATGCGCTAGAAAATTGCGACATTCCCCGCATTGCTTGGCGTCGACAGCGCGATTCCCGTGCCTCGCCCACCTGCCCACCCGTGGTAGGGCACTCGTCAAGGTCACCATTTTGGCAATTGCAGCGTTATGCCGAAGTAGCACAGCTGTCTCACGATGTCGAGGTGAGGCCCTTGGCGGTCGCGTTTACGAGCAATGCCGTCGGGTCCGTTTTGCAGCACCGCTGGGTGGCACGCTTTTTGTGGCCGCGAGCTTGTGTGTTGGAAGGCACCCGCAGCAGCCGCACGCTCGCGGCTACGTGCGCGAACCTCCGCTCGGCCACGATTTCGCGCTCGCCTTGCCCACGGGCCGCCACGAATACAAAAGGTCCGTGTTTGCGTCCTCCTTGGCCGCTAGAAATGTACCCGGCGGTGCCGTGCGAGCGCTCGGCGCGCACACAACGCGAGGGGCCCTCGCTCTGTCCCCCGATTGCGGTGGTGGTCGTGCCTCATGCGCCCAGGAATGCCTCTCCGGAAGTCTGAAGATCGCATTTAAGACCGAAACAATTCTGGCTGTCGCCGGATGAGGCTGGTTGCATAAGACGAGATAATTAGCGGCGAAATGTCACGGTACTCGAATTGTAAATGTTGTGGGTTTACTCTCCAACACACCGGTGACAAACCTTACTCATTGGCTGTGTCAGGTGGTGGCGGGTTTAACGACACATTTATATCTACACGATCTAACCCAAAAAAACCTCTCTTATGGAAAATATTGGTCGCGAAAGCCTACGTGTTAAACTCCCATTGCTATGTATGGCCAATTCTTCATTCAGCATACTGAATGAGGAGGCGTTCAGGAGGGGGGAGGCGTTCAAAATCCCACAGAGGTGCGGCGTGTGAGGGGCCATGTGAGAAACCTACTTGCTGTCCTGCCTCCTCCACTTCCCCGCCCCTCTGTGCTCCACTTCCGTGGCATTCACAGAGGGACCACCCACACCGCATCTCGGCATCGCGACGACGTTGGGCTCCCTCTGAGTGTAACGGCTCCCACCCCTCACCATCCTCCCCCCCCCCCGTGTGTAAAAGCCAGGGCTGGCTCGAGCTGATTAAGAGCAAGGGAGATGTAATGTGTCTCCGGAGAACGTTCGCTCACCGCCTGGCCAACCACATTTTACGTAGAATGTTAATTTAGCAGGCGTGAGGCCCAACTGAGCTACGGTCCTCTTTTTCAGAAGCGACCTGGCCACAAACGATAACTCGACGAAGTGGCCCGTCGTCGCGTGGAAATTTAATAGCAGCCAAATACTCTTTAAACGGCAGCCTTCCCCCCACCCACCACCCTACCCACCGCGTCGCTCGTGTCGCTGTGGCCGGGGCGAGCGTGCGGAATGACAAATGTTCCCGCGCGCCCGTGCCCTTGTGTGTCTGTGTAGAGAGAATGACCCCCCCCCCCCGCCTACCCGCACCCCATGCTGGCCTGGCCCTGATTTAAAATCAATGTCTTGTGAATCCCGCACGCGTGCGCGCACGCACCCACCGTGCAGGCAATCGTCCATTGTAAAGCTATTTCAGCCGTGACGACCGCCTTGAGCCTGTGCTCAATTACAGGTGACGAGGTGGCCGTTTTTAATTTTTTGTTTTGTTTGTTCTTACAAAGGTTTCGTTGTTGTCCCATAAAGCAATGCACTGACACAGAGCTGACTATGGGACGAGGCACGTTGTTGTTGTTTGTGTTGTTTGTGTTGTTTGTATGTAGGCTGAAAACTTGGTATATAAAAAAAAAACGGTGATCTGAATAAAGGACGGTGCCTAATTAAGGAGATATAGCGGCGAACTCCAGTTCAATTGCAGCGTCTGACCGTTTGATGGGGGGGGGGGCTAAACTCACAAACGCCTGTCAAAGAGTGAATTTCCCACTGGAGCGCCCCTCCCCCCCCCCCCACTTTGCGTTCACCATAAGCGTGGGTTTCGATACTGGGTTTGACGATGACGAAGATGTTCGTGCATGCACGTTGGTCCGTTGCGTACATGGGCGGTGTTCGCACGTGTGCGCGTTGCTCGCCTGTGCACTTGTGTTCGTGTGCGAGCGTGCGAGCGTGCGCGATTTTGTGCCTGCTGCACACTCTGGCACGCACGCCGCAGCTGGGCCGTCCCAATTGATTTGGAGTCATCGTAATTGACCGCTGGTAAGCAGTGGATCACGGTACTCGTTCTCGGTTTGATTGCTCGACTAATCGGATTGCTCAGTTTGCCGCAATAAAAGCTCTCGCCTCCGTTACCACGTGCGCCGCTGGACGAGGGGTTATGGGCAGGCCTTGGTGATGTCATAACCCTGTGTTTTTTTTAGGGGGTTTTCTGCATCCGAGAAGTCTTTAGGGGCTGCTTGCCAATTTTTCAAGAGGCCCCCGAGTAATCGAGCGCAAAAAACGTAGCCCCCGCTCGCGACTCCCTGTCGACGAATCGACGCAATCGACCAATCGTCCCAGCTCTAAATGGCGCACACATGCGCGGTGCGGTACGCTCGCTCGCTCGCTCGCATTGGGCGCGCGTTCACGTGCGCGGATGCGCTTTGTTTTGTTTGCGTGCGTGCAGATCATGTACACGCAGTGCGTGGCCGTGGGCTCGTTGCGCTGCCTCCCCGTCTACTACGAGCAGCTGGTGCTGCAGCCCGAGGCGGTGCTGCGCCGCGTGCTGCGCTTCCTGGACGTGCCGTGGGACGACGTGGTGCTGCGGCACGAGGACATGGTCGGCAAGGCCGGCGGCATCTCCCTCTCCAAGTGAGGGCGCGCACGGCGAGGAACCGCCGGCACGGACCGCGACGCCCCGCTGCCGCAAAGTCACCGACGATTCGCGTGCGTGTGCGTGCGTGTGTGCGTCAGGGTGGAGCGGTCCACAGACCAGGTGGTGAAGCCAGTGAACCTGGAGGCGCTTACGCAGTGGGTGGGACGCATCCCCGAGGACGTGGTGCGGGACATGGCCCACGTCGCGCCCATGCTGAGCCGCCTGGGCTACGACCCATACGCCAACCCCCCCAACTACGGCTCCCCCGATCCCCGGGTGCTGGAGAACACCCGGCGGGTAGGCCGCTGCACGCACCTTTTATTCCACCTCGCCACACCTGGCAGAGCTACCCCCGCCCCCCGCGCAATTCCCCCCTCCCCGCCCCACTTGATTCGACGTCTCTCTACATCCATAAGGGGTTTTTTGGGTTAGATCGCGTGAATATATAAAAGTGTCGTTGACACCCGCCACCACCCGACACAGCCAACCAGTACGTGGGGAGATGTCGCTAGTCCAACACACCGGTGTGCTGTACTAGTGACGAATTGGCATGTTCTGTTTACGTGACAACCCTTACTAGTTGGCTGTGTCGGGTAGTGGCGGGTTTTAACGACACAACATTTATATATTCACGCGGTCTAACCCAAAAAAACCTCTTATGGATGATATTGGTCGCGAAAGCCTACGTGTTTAAACTGATCTCTCTCTACGTCTCTCCACGCCATCCCACTTCCTCCCCATGCTGCCCTGTGCATCCCCCACAACACACGATGGCTCCCCTTGTGACTTTGCGCATCCCAACGTCTTCCATTGCCTCCCACATCCACTCCATCATGCCACGCGAACCCCCTCGCCATACCACATCTCCCCACGTCCAACCCATGTCTTAAGGCGGGCCCGATGCCCCCCCTCACCATCCCACACCTCCCGGCACCACCCTATGGCACCCAATACCACCTCCCCAAGAAAACCACGAAAATTCCTCGCACCTCCCCACCCACGTCTCCTGATGCCACCACGTGCCTTCTCCCCACTTGGGTTCAGTGGCTTTGAAGCTCGGTTTTGGTGATGTACTGAGAACTCTGGCGGTAGAGGATTGGCAGAGCGCCCATCTCGCAGTCGAACACGGTCAAATCCTGACGATAGACTTCCTGACACAGCCTCTTGTCATCGCTTCAGAGTCTCTAGTCCACAGTCGAACACGGTTAAATCCTGACGATAGACTCCCTGACACAGCCTCTTGTCATCGCTTCAGAGTCTCTAGTCCACAGTCGAACACGGTCAAATCCTGATGATAGACTTCCTGACACAGCCTCTTGTCATCGCTTTAGAGTCTCTAGTCCACAGTCGAACACGGTCAAATCCTGACGATAGACTCCCTGACACAGCCGCTTGTCATCGCTTTAGAGTCTCTAGTCCACAGTCGAACACGGTCAAATCCTGACGATGGACTCCCTGACACAGCCTCTTGTCATCGCTTTAGAGTCTCTAGTCCACGGTCAAATCCTGACGATGGACTCCCTGACACAGCCGCTTGTCATCGCTTCAGAGTCTCTAGTCCACAGTCGAACACGGTTAAATCCTGACGATAGACTCCCTGACACAGCCTCTTGTCATCGCTTCAGGGTCTCTAGTCCACAGTCGAACACGGTAAAATCCTGAGGATAGACTCCCTGACACAGCCGCTTGTCATCGCTTCAGAGTCTCTAGTCCACAGTCGAACACGGTAAAATCCTGAGGATAGACTCCCTGACACAGCCGCTTGTCATCGCTTTAGAGTCTCTAGTCCACAGTCGAACACGGTCAAATCCTGACAATAGACTCCCTGACACAGCCGCTTGTCATCGCTTTAGAGTCTCTAGTCCACAGTCGAACACGGTCAAATCCTGAGGATAGACTCCCTGACACAGCCGCTTGTCATCGCTTCAGAGTCTCTAGTCCACAGTCGAACACGGTCAAATCCTGACGATAGACTCCCTGACACAGCCGCTTGTCATCGCTTCAGAGTCTCTAGTCCACAGTCGAACACGGTCAAATCCTGACGATAGACTCCCTGACACAGCCGCTTGTCATCGCTTCAGAGGCTCTAGTCCACAGTCGAACACGGTCAAATCCTGACGATAGACTTCCTGACACAGCCTCTTGTCATCGCTTTAGAGTCTCTAGTCCACAGTCGAACACGGTCAAATCCTGACGATAGACTCCCTGACACAGCCGCTTGTCATCGCTTTAGAGTCTCTAGTCCACAGTCGAACACGGTCAAATCCTGACGATGGACTCCCTGACACAGCCTCTTGTCATCGCTTTAGAGTCTCTAGTCCACGGTCAAATCCTGACGATGGACTCCCTGACACAGCCGCTTGTCATCGTTTCAGAGTCTCTAGTTTACAGTCGAACACAGTCAAATCCTTACGATAGACTCCCTGACACAGCCTCTTGTCATCGCTTCAGTCTCTAGTCCACAGATGAACACGGTCAAATCCTGACGATAGGCTCCCTGACACAGCCTCTTGTCATCGCTTCAGTCTCTAGTCCACAGACGAACACGGTCAAATCCTGACAATAGACTCCCTGACACAGCCGCTTGTCATCGCTTTAGAGTCTCTAGTCCACAGTCGAACACGGTCAAATCCTGACAATAGACTCCCTGACACAGCCGCTTGTCATCGCTTTAGAGTCTCTAGTCCACAGTCGAACACGGTCAAATCCTGACGATAGACTCCCTGACACAGCCGCTTGTCATCGCTTTAGAGTCTCTAGTCCACAGTCGAACACGGTCAAATCCTGACGATAGACTTCCTGACACAGCCGCTTGTCATCGCTTCAGAGTCTCTAGTCCACAGTCGAACACGGTCAAATCCTGACAATAGACTCCCTGACACAGCCGCTTGTCATCGCTTTAGAGTCTCTAGTCCACAGTCGAACACGGTCAAATCCTGACGATAGACTTCCTGACACAGCCGCTTGTCATCGCTTCAGAGTCTCTAGTCCACAGTCGAACACGGTCAAATCCTGACGATAGACTCCCTGACACAGCCGCTTGTCATCGCTTTAGAGTCTCTAGTCCACAGTCGAACACGGTCAAATCCCGACGATAGGCTCCCTGACACAGCCGCTTGTCATCGCTTTAGAGTCTCTAGTCCACAGTCGAACACGGTCAAATCCTGACGATGGACTTCCTGACACAGCCTCTTGTCATCGCTTTAGAGTCTCTAGTCCACAGTCGAAAACGGTCAAATCCTGACGATGGACTCCCTGACACAGCCGCTTGTCATCGCTTCAGAGTCTCTAGTCCACAGTCGAACACGGTCAAATCCTGACGATGGACTCCCTGACACAGCCGCTTGTCATCGCTTCAGAGTCTCTTGTCCGCGTACCCCTCTGTGGGTTGAGCTCTGTAAAAGTTGGTTCATCTTTGTGCAATTGTCGGGGCAATGTTTGTAATTGCGTGTTTCGTGTTTTATTTTTCAGATAAAGAATGGCGAGTTCCGCTTACCGCAGAGTTTAAAGCGTGCCCTTTCGGTACGATCTCCCTTCTTCAACATCGTTTGCATTGCAAAATTTGCGTGCGTTCGTGCGCGTTCGTGTGCGCGTGTGCGCGTGTGCTTACCCAGCATACGTAGCAAAGACGTAGACCTTCGGCGCGTCACCTTGCCTTCAAAATCCTTCACGTTGCACGTTTACACCTCATTACACAACTGAGCATATCTGGAAATCGATTTAGGTGGCTAGGTAAGATGCGCCGCTTGCCAGCCTGCCGCGTTTTAGCTTCCTAGCACTTGGGCTCGTTGCCTTGCGCTCCTCCGACCTCCATTGTTGGAGGGCGGCTACCACCAAACCGCTCCGTCGGGTACCTTGACAAAGTCCCTGGTAAAGAAGCCAATCTTTACACCACTTGCACCGCTCAATTGGGGGGGGGGGGGGGGCAGGCAGTCCACTTTACCTCTACAGCCCATCTCTTCCACAGACAATGTCATGCCTATTTTGTCCCACTTTTTATCCAGCCAAACAGAAGGTGCTTAGGCATGCGGGGCTACATGACCCAACCGATAGGACTTTGCCTGGAGATGGAACCTGCTAAAGGGGATTCACGTTCACCTCTCTGCACACACGCTTGCGCATCGACAGGCTCTCCGAGTATATATTCCAGCAACTGGTTGTGGGATTTTCTTTTGGCATCAGTGTCGCATCCCACGGGAGCCAAATTGTTGGGCTCACGACTGACAGAGGATGATTATTCTTACACACGTACGTACCATGAGATCTACAGCAATTTAGAACTTGAGGCCGTCCCCCCTGCCGTACGAGTAAAACCAGTAAACCTCTGAACGAAATATTTTGAGCGATCCAGCTAGATTGTTCTAGCTATAACCATAGCCTCAACTACATTTGTGCCAAACGTCACAGTTTCTCAGCCCTTCTAGGGCATTCATTTAGACTGCACGTCGCGGTCACTCATCTTGCTGTTGTTTCCCGCCCCCCCCCGCCCCCCCCGCCCCCCCCCCCCCCCCCGCCGCCGTGATCTTTCCCGGCAGCACAGTGACCCAGGCGGTGCGGCTACAAACGGAAGCGAGGGGTGAGCCCCCCCCCCCCCCACCACCACCACCACCACCCTCTCTCCTCCCCCCCGGTGTCGGGGAGGATCGGCTCTGTTTTTGCCCCCCCCCGTCCCCCCCAACTCACGGTGAGAAGGAAAAAAAATGCGCTGCGGTGAAGGCGACGAGCGGGGACCGGCCGATGGGTTCCCGGCAAGGACGCTCCTCATGAACACGGCCCACCAATTGCGATTTTTTTTTTAAACTCCAGAAGAGGAACCCCGCAAACGCTTCCGCAACTCGACGCAGCCTCCACCGTCGACGGATCGTCCGCCAGGTGGAAAGCTCGTCGGCAAAACGCGTTCAAGGAGACGCCGGGCGGGGGGGGGGGCGGGGGGGGGGGGGGGAGGAGGCTCTTTGGCAAGCATCGCGCGATGAACGGGAAGGACTTTCCCAGTCGCGGCGTGAGCGGCGCATCGACCCGAACTTGCGTGCACCGACCGTGAGCCAGGAAAAACGAGCGCTCGCCAAGCCAAGCGACCACTAGCTCTCATGCAGGAGGAGGCGGGCGCGGGCGGGGGGTTGGCGGGGACACACCTCGAGTTTACACACGCCGTGGAACTTTAGCGCCGAAACAGAAGGTTTATTTTTAAAAGTGTTTGTAATCGTGAAAAAAAATATAAGGTATTACATTATTTTATTCTGAGAATGCAGGTTTAATATTTTATAATCACACTGTTGTGCCTCAACACAGCAGCGTCTGCTATCATACACTCGGTCGCTTTTTTGCAAAGTTTAAAGTGTACACTCGCATTTTATTGAAACCGTGCACAGTTTTTTTTTTTTTGCACAGCAGCGTCTGCGAACGTACTTGCAAGACGAATCTAGTTTGCAAGTAAGCAATGCAGATTGTGACAGGTCCAAAGGTTGTGAATCGGTGCCGTCTGTGACAATTGCAGGTGCCACTTCAGTGCGAGGGGTTGACAAACGGCCGAGCGGCCTCGGCCCAGGCAGTGGCGCTCACGTAGCGCTCGCGGCTTGCTGAACTAGCACTTGGGGAAGTCTTCAAGTCATGTAGACTGTATTCTAGGTTTTTTTGTTTACTGCAACGGTGCATCGGTGCTCTCTCTCTGCGGGCGATTCCGACCCAATGAGTTTGGGGGGGGTGGGGGGGGGCGGGGAGGGTCTTCCCTGCGTAGCCTCCGACGCCACCTTTGCAACCGTCGGTGGGCGTGTCGCTGTAAAGCCGTGAATGGTTGCAGGTTCACCGGCGGGTGAGATCTTGTAGCCAAGCGGAACTGGCTCCAGTGACGGGGTCACTCTGACCAACCGCGGGACCGTCCGCCCCGTCTGCGTCCACGTCGAGTCCACTCGACCACCAATGCTGCCGTTGCTACGACGGATCTCCCGGTTCGTCTCGCCGGCCGTGTTTCGGGGGCCCCATTTGGCCGCCACGCACAACAGGGTTCACGCCTGCGTCACGAGGGAAGCCGCAAGGGCTGCTGTAGCCCCCGTGGCATTAAAAAGACACCTGCGGGGAACTTGCCCTTGTTATTTTACACAAGTATGAATAAAAAAAAATACTCGGTGCTTTCATGCAAGCGGGCCACGGAGGAGTGGTTTTGGAGCCTTGCTCGGAGAATCCGATTGGTGCGGATGCTGTGTGAAGCTTGCACACCCCCCATGGAAATGTTGCGGGCATTATGGGCACCAGAGCGCGATGCCCCCTTACTTGACTGTCAGACAGTCCTGCTAAAATATTAATGCTCTACTACTGTGAAGAGATGTCGATGTATATCATTAACTTTTATCGTTTTTGTTTTAAAGTCTTTGCTGCGTGTGCTGTGTATGTACTACAATACTGGCATAGTGTGTGGTCATTGAATGTCACTGTGTGTTTGGGTGGATTGAACAATTTTATTTTTTTACCAGCACGAAGCGGGCGAGTGTAGCTTCTGCACCGTGGCGCCTTTATTTTGGCACCAGAGTTCACAAAAGGAGGGAGATATTTTTTTATATTTGGATGAGTTAGCGTGATGAGAGAAAAGCATGGGTAGGTCTATGAACATGGTGCTTATGCTTTAGATGCTTGTGACTATTTTGTGTAGCCTTGCTTTGAGTCACAGCCGTACCTTTTAAGAATGATAAATACACAGAAAAAGACCTCAAATTCATGTTGACATTCATTGCTACGTGACAGTGTAAAGTAAAAAAAAAATATATTAAACGTGCAATTAATATCTGAAATCGGTTTCAATAGCCTCTCGAAACACTTGTATGTATTTCGCAGCACTTATGACTTTTTTTCCCCGCTAAAGTAGCCGTTAGAGCTAAATTTGGCAAAGGGTTCGTTGTTACATTTTCAGTTTTAAGTGCGTCTTAAAAATCGCTGAAAGCAATTGAACATTCTACCACTCGCGATGCTGCGCACGACCATATGAGATGATGTGAAAAAGTCGCAGAGGCTGAACATCTTGGGGGGGGCATGGTGGGCAGGTGACGTCCGTCTCAACCTCTTAGAATGGTTGCCGCGTCGCTGATGTGTGCGTTGAAGACTAATCGTGGGCCCAAGTCGGTGCCAAGTGAAGTGGCAAAGATACACGTGGTACCAATTTAGTTGTATGCTCAATAAAAATGAATTACGTGATAATAATTTAAAATGCAGTAGACTGTGAAGTGTCTTATATTTCGGCAACAAAATCAATTAAAGTTTTGCCACTTCATTTGGTAGCCAGTGAATTAGCTGGTCCTTGTGCCCACGAAATATACATTTCTAATCAGGCTCTTGCACGTGGTGCTGCAGACAACGTCACGGGAGATCTATCTCCTTCCTGTGATGGCAGGACGCGTTGAGCTGCTAATCTAAATGGGTTTTCTCGTCGGCAACTTTTGAAGGGTGATTTTTGGACGGAAGTCGCCGAGGGCTTTTGGAAAGAAGGTGGACGTCACCTGACCCTAACCCTTCCTCAGGGGGTTCGTATGGAGGGCGACTTTTGGCTTTATGAGCGCTCAGGCGGCATCGAGGCACGGTCCGGAGTTCGTTAGCGTGGAGGGCAGCATGTTGCCGATAACTGCCACCAGGAAACCCCATGGAGATTCGGCAACTCAGCACGTCCTGGAGTTGCAGCAAAGAGATAGATCTCCTGTGACAACGTTGTCTGCAGCACCATGTGCAGAGCCTGATAAAAAAAAAAGCTGGGTTTTTTTTTCCTGCCCAAAGACACTCTCCCAAGTTGGAAGAGTGTTTTCAATTGGAAGAGCGTTTTTAAGCAGGAAGGATAAAAATCAGCTAGTGACTATAAAACTTGCGTCAGGACATTGCTGCCCCAGAGTGCGCAAAATGGTCCAGTATCGCCCACCCATTCTGTGCCTAAGCCATGCCTCACACGGCGAACCATGCAGACGTTGCACGGAGTGCCATATCACCCTTCAGAAGATGCGGATGCGGCGTTTCCCACATCCGGGGTCCAGGCAAAAATCTGTGCGAGCTGCATCATCCCCTGCGGTGCTTTCTGGTTCGATGAGGATCAGGAATGAGAAGCACTTTTCCACACATGCCAGAAGGTGGTTGCCCCCATCAAAATGGTACCAACCTCTCCGTCGTCCCTGCCATTGCGAAGAGGGCATTTTGGCTAAGCGCAGCACCGCTGGCAGAGCACACGCGTGCTCTAGATGAACCAAGACCAGGCGATGCCAACCGATCATACCACACATTTCTAGGTCATAACACCAGTGCGAAGGCTTAAGAGGCCCCAGAATCAAACTTTGTGTAACACTCAGTATTTTGCCCTTATTTCTGTGCAGTGACAGAATCTTGCCATCATCGATAAGCGTCACCATCACCGAGCGTAATTCCTGGTTACCATCGATATCGCTGCCGGTAAACTTGTTCGACAGGCGACTTGTCCACTCCACTTTTTCATATGCGTGTCAAGTGGCACCCTAATATCCATTAATTTGCGCCAATTACCTTTTTATCCGGCTTGTCATGAAATGGCTCCTTTGACCAGTTAGGCTGAGGCATCTAACAAGCTTGGTTTGATATTTTTGAGACGAAGCTTTTTTTGCACCCGGGATAAATTGTGACCACTTTAGTTCAGCCAGAGTTTGACTATTTTGGTGACATTCAGCCGTCGAGGTCCAGGCTCCTGCACGACCGATCGTCCAACCATGAAGCAATTCCATTATGATCCTGCACCCTGCTGAATCATTGGTGCTACAGTGACGAGATGTTAACTGCCTCGCCTGGTATACAGGTCGTAGGGTTCGATCCCGACGCCTGTATATTTGGAGATCGCATGGTCTCACTGTGGTCAACGTGGATTTGTTTCCGGATCCTCCGGGTTTTCCCTCCACATTTAGAATCGGCACCATGCGTTTGGAGTATTTGGCTGCTAGAAATTTCTACGTGATGAGCCACTTCGTTGAGGTATCGTTTGTGGCCAGGGCGCGTCTTAAAAAGAGCTGTATTGCTCAGTGGGCCTTACCCGGTAAATGAAAAACAGTTTTAGAGTCGCCCCTAAGCACTCCTGTTCATTCACTCACTTTACTGTATTATCAATCTCATAAACTTCATCCCTTGATACGTCTACATATGTCACTGACCCACGGTTTCTGCTCATCCTTACTCTGTTCAATTACCGTGATGCTCGATGCAGCATGTTGTTTCCTCCTCCCGTATGACTTTGAAATTCCATCCCAATCTGTTGTCGCGACGAGACGAATACCCGTGCTTAATTCGCGTACACAATCTCGATTGTACCTCACTCTCCCCTCCCCCACCACAATCTCCCTGTGCTCAGTCACCTTTCCCTCCTGGCTCCCCCCCCCACCACGTTGGTATAAACTCCCACCGCACATCAACACGGGCAACTTCACTCACCAGTTTTCGTTCCTCCCTTAAGACGAATCTTTTTTTTCAAAAGCGTATCCCACCACGACTTTGTGTCCACGTCCTTAAAACCTTCACCATCGTCCTCCCCCCTTCCTAACATCGCCAGCCCTCCCTTTCCCTATCATCACCCTTCACCATCACCACCCTTCCCCTAACCTCGCCAGCCCTCCCTTTCCCTATCATCACCCTTCACCATCACCACCCTTCCCCTAACCTCGCCAGCCCTCCCTTTCCCTATCATCACCCTTCACCATCACCACCCTTCCCCTAACCTCGCCAGCCCTCCCTTTCCCTATCATCACCCTTCACCATCACAACCCTTCCCCTTCCTTACCTCGCCAGCCATCCCTTTCTCCCACCCCCCCCCCCCTTCGGCCAATAACCAATATACAATTTATAATGATTGTAAAGCGCTTTGATAAAAAGCGCTCTATAAGAGAATACGCGTATCTTGTAATCTGATGTAATGTCATTAAGTGGTCTCTGTTGCTGACCGTTTTTTAAAATTATATTTGCTGTTAAGAGGCATTTCGGCCTCTGCTCAACCAACTGCGATTAAAATAAGTTCCCCCTCCTCCAAAGACCGCGTGGTGAGTGAATTACGAATCACGAACCCCAAGATCTCGTGCGATATTTTTCCTTCTCAAAAGTTTGGCCACCAGAGGGCAGACGACGTCGCTCGTCATTCAACGATCGCTACACATCACCACCTCCCCCTCCTCTTTCCCCCCCCCCCTCCTTTTTGTTGTTGCAAATTTCCAAGAGCTCCCTGGATTTAATTTGATCGTTTTGTCCCAAGACGATGCAGATGTCCACGTGGAATTCGTTGGAAAAAGTGGCGCGGATGACAGGCGAAGTGTGGAAAGTGAAGCACATGTCACCTTGCTGTTGTTCGGGATGTGTGGTGGAGGCAAGAAAAAGCTCGTTCCGACTTGGCGCAAGACGGGCACGCAAGTGACTTCATCACATCTACCCACCACCACCACACCACCACCACCTCTCCACAAATCTGGCTGTCCGCCTGATGATGCCCGTTGTAATAAACCGGCGAAACGTCGTACTCGGATTGTAAACGTTGTGGCTTTGCTCTACCAACGCACAAACCGGTGGTGCTGTGCACGTAACGAATTGGCCACGCGCTGTTCACGTGACAAAGCTTTACTAATTGGCTGTGTCGGGGTGATGACTGGTTTAACGACACTTTTATATATTTACTTACGCGATCTAAACCCCAGCCACCCCTCACCCCCCCCCAAAAAAAACCCAACCCCTGCATTATGGAGTCTATGAGAAGTTGAATTTGCCCAAGCGTGCCCCATTGAGTACCAGCAATGGAAGAGCGAAGAGCGAAACAGGACTCACATTTGTTTTTCCTTATTTAACAGCGACTGTCGTCCCGTCGCCTCGTGGCTCACGGACGCCACTCTCTGCCTCCAGGAGCGTTCACCTGAGCCAATCTCCGCATCATCCCGCACGCACATAACCATCCACCACCTAAGCATGCACCACCTAGCATGCACCACCTAGCATGCAGCACCAAGCATGCACCACCTAGCATGCACCACTTAAGCATGCACCACCTAAGCATGCACCACCTAGCATGCACCACCCAAGCATGCACCACCTAGCATGCACCACCCAAGCATGCACCACCCAAGCATGCACCACCTAGCATGCACCACCTAGCATGCACCACCCAAGCATGCACCGCCTAGCATGCACCACCTAGCATGCACCACCTAGCATGCACCACCCAAGCATGCACCACCAAGCATGCACCACCTAGCATGCACCACCATGCACCACCAAGCCGAGGACATTTGGTGACGCGTCACATGGGATCAAGAGGCGACGCACACCAGACTGATGAGACTCGAGAGAAGTTGAAATCCGTCCGGTGTGTGTTTGTTGTCTCTCCCATTTTTAAATGAAGCTTCTGGTGCGAAAATGACCTACTTTGAAAGTGTGCGTCAGGCTTAGCTTATAATACCAAATTAATGACATCAGGCCTTTTAGTTCAACGAAGGAAATGAAATAACGTGACCCATTATTGAAGCACATCTTTGATACCTTTTTGTCACGAGGGTTCTGACAGCAGCGCCCTTGTCCTGTGATCCACCGAACCAAAACTCTTCTCAAATTGGCCACTGGCGTGCACCATTGTACACGACCTTTTTTTACACTACATTTGTAAAAAAAAAATACTCTCAACGCTTTCCCTCGTCTAATGCTTCGTGCACAAAGGCCGCTGCGTCTTGTTTACAAAAAATAAAACACGCGTTTGAAACGTAGAACCAAATGCCTGACCCAAATTGTGTTTAAATAATAATGGGCCAGTTGAAAGATTTACATTTTGAACATTCGTAATTGCCAGTAGCGGTTGCATAGGATTGCGAATTAAGACGCCTTAAATAGGATTTTTAAAAAATCAACTTTACCTTCTAAAGATACGCACATTTCAATAATTTAAAAAACTTGTAAAAAAATTAAAATAAATATGTATAATGTTAGGTGCGTAGTGTGCGTGATCCGAGACATCTCTGGCTGATTTCGTTGGCTGCTATGATGAGGGAGTGCACGTGGGAGTCTAAATTCCTGCACTCAACATCGATTCATCTAGCGGGCTCCCTCGTGCCGTCTCGGTTCGCTTTGCTTTCAGTAAGAGTCACGTGCTCGCTGTGCCCCGCCAGGGAGAGTCTCTTTACTAATTAATTAGGCACGACATGTCACCGCACATTAGTTTCCCCAACTTTTAGCAATAATCGCAGCGCGCGCGGCAGAGAAGCGAGGCCCGATGACGCAGGGAAGCGAGCGAGTGTTCGAGGCGCTACGCGTGTCCTGCTAACGTGGCCAGAAATCAAATACAAAAAATATATCTAATGTATTTTATTTACCAGGCAAAGCCCACTGAGCTATTAGCATTTCGCCATGGTGGCGAGATGTTCACTACCTCGCCCGGTATGCAGGAGGTCGTCGTGGGTTCGATCCCAACCCTGGAGCCTGCTCTATATTTGAAGTTTCCACGTCTCTCTCTCTCTCCCTGTGGTCCTCCGGTTTTTCCTGCCACATTTAGCATCAACATGCGTTCAGAGTATTTGGCTGCTATAAATTTCCACGTGATAAGCCAGTTCGTTGAGCTATCATTTGTGGCCATGTCGCTTCTGAAAAAAGAGCTATATAGCTCAGTGGGCCTTACCTGGTAAAATACAAAAAATGGTTTCGTTTATAGTTTATTAGCCCCTCAGAGGTGACCCGATAACGCATGGCAGCTCATTGAAGTGGCTTATCATGTGGGAATGTATAGGAATAGCCGAATAATGTAAACGCACGTTTATAAATGTGGAGGGCAAAAAAAAACCAGAGGACCTCGAGAAAAATCCACGCAACCATGGGGAGAACACGCAACCTCCAGATATACAGGCGTTGTCAGGGTTGGGATCAAACCCTCGACCTCCTACATAGCAGGCAAACAACAAGACGTTCAACCAAGTGAGACGGTCATCCCAGTCAACCCATGGCACCTGGGTCTGTCCCATGAACGCCTGCCAGCGGCGAGCCTTCCACACTTCAACGTGGCCTCAAAAGTGCACCTAGCCTGGCACAAGCGCCGTGGTGAAATCGCCGCCACTTAGTGGCGAATGACGGCTGTTTTGGAGAGTGGCGACATAGCGGTCAGTTTCACTGCGCTGTAAACCCAGTTGATCTTGAATCTATTCCTGCTCACGGCTAACGTCAGCGGCGAGTGAATTCCAAACTGGTCCCCGGTGCCTCTCGCGGACCGACTCGGCCCTGGAATGAGTCCTCGGTGCAAGCGGGGTGTAAGCATCAGGACTGGGGAGACAAAATTGCGACCGAGCGTGGCGATGGCCACACCAACCCACTCATGCGCCGTGCTGCCCCTGATAAACGCCCTCACGACCCCAACAGCCGATGTAGGCTATGGGGGGGTGGGGTGGGGGGGCATCTTTGTGTGCCTCACTGGAGCCGGAAACAACTCGACTCCCCCCCCCTGTTGATTCGACGCATCGTGCTGCGAGCAATGGCTCTTCGGTTTATAATGTACAACAAATGCATTCCCTTGAATTCGGTTGCGGGAAAATTTTTTTTTTACCGAAATTAGTTCGCCGCACAACGGCCTGCAGCGTTCTTCATCTCCTTCACGACGTCTTGTCTGGATTGAAGTGAGTATTGCACATCATTAATGTGTCCCCACTTCTGTAATATTCTGCACCTTCTTGTACGTCAACTTGACGGTATTGTTTGTTTGTCTTTGTTGCGCTGTCTTGTGCACGTGGGCGTGTGTGTACCGTCTCCTGTACTATTGTCTGCATTGTACGGTCCCAGCGCCCAAGTCACCCCTCTTGTACGGTCTTGTTCTTGCTTTGTACCATTTTAGTGAGGGCATATGCAGCTAAAAGCTTCTACTAATAAGCCTGGACCACGTGCTGCCTTAACATGATTTTAGCCCGGAGACTGCCCCTCTAAAATCCAGTGAAGTGAACCTTTGATTAAAAAAAAAAATAGAGGGACAAAATAAATGTAATGATAGATGCAGGAAAATGTTTAACCAACAGTGTATTGATCCTGCTGTGTCTCCTGACTCTGATTCTATTTCACTCTCTGCTATATATTTTCTTGAAACCTTTTCTCGTACCACATCTCTCTCGTGTTGCGTCTGACCTCTTGTCTCTCCACACGTCTTCATGCCAGCTTATCTATTTTTCTCTTCACGCATCTCTTGCTACTCCCACTCCATAGCGTCCCCCCCATACTATGTCCCCAAGCTCGATATGTATGGACAGTACATTCTGGGGAACAGAAATTGTTGCAACGACACGTGTGGGAATACAAGGGGGCACTTGTAGTGGGCAAAATGTAACATTTAATGAGTGGGATTTTTTTGGGGGGGATCTAAAAATTAGGATGCTAGAAAAAATTGGTCTCTCCATTGCTCTCTTTCTTTGATTCCGTGTCTGAACATGTCTGTGACTCAAAGTAATGTCTCGCTCCGCCTCCTCTTCCTACCGCTCTCATGCTGCACAAGGTTGGGGTGCCATTGCACAAACACCGATTTTGTGTCTCGTTTTTTATCGTTTCTCACTCGGGTACCGTTTAAAATTTTTAATGTTTGCTTCATTACCATACAAGTAACAGATTAGCCTACATTTTTACACGCATTTGTACAAACCATATTTGTCATGCAATAGAAGATCCGTATCATGATATAAATAATAAGAGTTGTATCGATTACATTCGAAATATTTTGTTTACAACCTTTTGTCAACCCATTACCGGATGTAGATCTCTCGACAGTACGTCATATCGTCGACCGGTCCAAATATTTAGGATGGTATACGCTTTGTTTGGAGAGCAGATTGGATTGGGTAAAGCTGGACTTGATAATGAAAGGCAACACATTAATGTTCCAACAGAAGAACGTTTTTAATTAATCCATGTCACCTGCTGTGACATGGATCCGAAACAAGGACATTTTTACAAATTATAAAAAGTGTGAAAATACAAAGACGCGTGCTTGGAATTACACCGAGTGACACCAAGAACGACGGGCGAGAGAACATACACTAGTTGAACACGTCAGTCTGGGCTTGGGCACAAGACATCGCAAGAAGGGATCATGACCGATGGTCATGAATGACAGTGGCAGCAGGGGAGATGCAACGCATTTGAGAGGGCATCCACTATCCACCGGGGAAATGGAAATCGCGTCTTGTGCAGGTGCTCGCTGGATTGTTGCGTCACAGGATTGTGAGAGATGGCAACGGCTCTGGGACAGTTTTACTCCAGCAGTGGATAGATCATGTATGATGCCAATTATGTTTCAAACCTGTTGGCATTTAGGCACGGAGAAAAGCGCTCCAATTTTAGATCCCCCCCCCCTCCCCTGGAGTAGGAGAGCACCCATCATGTAGGTGAAGGATCTTGTACATCTCCAGCCTGTATTCTCTGGCTGTGCCAAATTTTGAAAGCAAATTTAAATGAAGGTGTTGTTTCTGCAGTAACTGGCAACGAGGTGATGACCATTGAGCTTGTTACTTGTGTGATACAGGTTACATCTTGAATGGCAGCCCGGGTTTCAAACCGAGGATCTTTGTGGGGCTGACTCATTAGTTTACAGCCAAACGCAACAAGCTATTGAAGAAGAATCTTAGCTGTAAAAGTTCCCGCTCGCCTTGCTCTCCCCACGCAAGAGCTAGCTCTGCTTCTCATTTTTGGCCTCTGCGGCTACGCTCAGCCGACTCAAATCCGCAGCCAGCTGGTCGCCCGCGCCCGCCACGGATTCCGAGGGTGTGGAGGTCGGCTCGGTGGGTGAGGCCGGCCCACAGGGGGGCTCCAGATAAACGCCACCGGCACAGCGCTTGCCCGAGACGGGGTCGACGATCGCGCCCAGCTTGAAGACGATCTCGGCGACCTCGTGGCACACGTGCTTCCCACGTCGCTCGGACAGAGCCTTGAGCAGCACCACGTCACCCACCATGCAGCGCTCCTCGGGGTCGTGCGCAAAGTACGTCTTGCGGCGGTTGAAGAACTGGCCAAAGGGGGTGAGAGAGAGATCGGCACGGTTGGCTACATACGGGGCGAAGGAACTTCCAGATACATAAATACAAGAAAAGCGGGCTTTGGCACAACACGCGCAAAAAGAGATCGTGACCGATGGTCAAGGATAACAGTGACAGCCGAGGGATGCAACACATTTAAGGGGACATCCACAATCAGCCGTACGGTCGGTGTCACCACACATCTGTTAATCCCTCACAGATGGCAATGCATGGTACGGTTGAGATCACAGCCGTCTTTGTAAGCATCTGTGCTTGATGTTTTCCACAGCAACAGCCACCACTAGGGCATGTCTAGCTGGAGATGGCTTGCTAATAAAAAATACATGCTTCAAAGTAAATTCGTTAAAAGCCCAACTTTAACGAACATATGGTAACAATGATACAATTTCAGTTACAATTAAAGCATTACAAACCCCAAGTAACACAATACTATAAAGACAATGGATTAGTTTTTGTTATGTTGCTATTGGAATAAGCATGCAATAGTTAGCACAGCTATTGCTCTTACCAGTTTATTGTGTCTTAAGACGAAATAAAGTTTTCCTGGATAAATCCATGACATGATTACTTTATCTTCCATAGCTCGTTAAGTGTCGTATGCAGCGGACTGAGTCTAAGAAACTTAACTGGTTAACAACATTGGCCCGTTTCACAAAACAGCTGAAGTTATTATATTGAACATGTACTACTTTAAACGACAAACGTGGAAAATGATACTCAAGGTGTTTTATGTAAACAGGCAAGAACCACGAGCCCTGTACATGTGAGTTGAAATGTACATGTTTAACGCAACTGTTTGGACCACGTTTGCAAACAATAGATTAGCTCCTTGAGGTGGGTTAACATTTGCAATAGAGTATTTTGAAAGCAGATTTTTGTTTAAATAATTTGAAGGCACCACAGTGTCAAGAGCAATTTCCACATAAGTTAATATTTACGGTTTCATCTTAGAAGGGGCATCGTTGTTGGTGCAGTATGCTGAAGTAGGCATGTAATGATGCATCGATGAAAACTGAATGCTACGCTAATATATGCATTTGCTTGTGCACGTGAGAATCAATTATTTACTATGCATGCGAATTATTAAATGACACGCTAATCTAAACATTTCTACTATTGAAGCCAACAACACTATATAAATGATAAGACAGCGTTATTACAATTGTAACCATAAAGAAACCCAACGAAAACTAATCGATTATTGGAACAAACCGCATATTAGCCGGGGAAACAAATGTGTGGATGAACAAGGTGAGTTTCCAAGGTTCTCCCCGCGTGCGGTGTTCGACTGCGGAAAGAGCTTTATAGCTCATCGGAATCCTTCAAGTATAAATATTCGGACTGAGCCACACTCACCTTGGTGAGGTATTTGTCCAACACCATCCTCGTGACCCGCACCTTGGCCGTTTTGGACATCTTTGTGCCGATCACCTTGCCGATGATCAACTTGGCGTGCACGTTCAGCACTTTCCTCACCACAGTCGACATCTGGCAAAGAGGAGCGATCAGACGAAGCTTAAGTGCTGATGGAGGGTCTCTTAAAACAACAAAGTTCCCTCCAATGTAGCCTTAACGGAATGTCGCGGCAAGCGCTGTTGGCGAGTAGCAACCTATGAAGGCCGGCACGGCACACGAAAGGGTGGGGTGACCAGCACCACGCCCGGCCGCCTTTATCTCCCCAGTGGCGATGGTTTACACATCGCACCAGGTACTTATGAGGCTGAGTCAACCTTGGGGAGGCCCAGGACCGGTACAGATAATCGTCACCGGTGTTGACCGTGAGCGGGAATCGAACTAGGGTCGCCGGAGTTCGTGGCGCGGCGCGCTTGACCACTTACGCTACCGCTTTGTTTAAAAAAACAACACACGGCCGGATGGCAAAAGCGGCGTGCGAGTTTGTCTCCTGGGTCAGCCGGCCTTTAACGCGCAGAGTCTAAGTATCCAATTTAATCACGGGGAGTTGAACCCAGATTCAAAAAAGGTGTCCGCTCAATGATGGGCCCGACATCCGAACCGCCCCGAGGTCACCCGGCAACCCACCACCACCTCCCTGTGCGATAGCTGAAAACGCATTTCTTTTAGAACTTATTTTTTGTTGTTGCGTTTAGTTTGTCCGCCCGTGCAACCTCCGATCAGCACGGTTGGCTACGTACGGTGCAAAAAGAAGTTCAACGTACACGTACGTCTCCCCCCTGGTCCAACTAAAAAAAAATCACTCCACGTGTCGCGAGCTCAACAAAACTATCAGACCCACTGACTGGCAAAGAGCTGTACGCGAGCAACCCTCTCTCTACCCCACCTAGGGGACCCGCTGCTTACGGATTTCTGCAGTGTAAGTAAGCAGTGCGTGTGGGTACACAGTGCGTCTGTGTGGGTGCGCGTTCTCCAAGTGACACTTGCACTGCAGTGCTGTATCCTGGGACGGCTGTTGCTGCTTATTAGAGTATACATTGCAGGGCATGTATACAAAGTATGCAAGTGCGCAGTGTATTGGAGTGTGTGAGCAGTAGAGAGCCTCCTCTAACGGCGAGTACCGTAACAGTGGTGTCGAATGGTGAGTGGTACTGCGCTATGCAGTGTGTGAATATGCAGTGCGCGAGTGGTACACGGGTGTTTGAACAGCGTTGAGTGGCAAGCGACGTGAGCAGTAGACGCCGCGAGTGGCACACGGCACGAGAGTGGCACACGGCACGAGAGTGGCACACGGCACGAGTGTGGCACACTCCGTGAGTGGTACACGCTGTGTTACACGGCACGAGTGTGGCACACTCCGTGAGTGGTACACGCTGTGTCACACGACACGAGTGTGGCACACTCCGTGAGTGGTACACGCTGTGTCACACGGCACGAGTGTGGCACACTCCGTGAGTGGTACACGCTGTGTTACACGACACGAGTGTGGCACACTCCGTGAGTGGTACACGCTGTGTCACACGGCACGAGTGTGGCACACTCTGTGAGTGGTACACGCTGTGTTACACGGCACGAGTGTGGCACACTCCGTGAGTGGTACACGCTGTGTCACACGGCACGAGTGTGGCACACTCTGTGAGTGGTACACGCTGTGTTACACGGCACGAGCGAGTGTGGTACACTCCGTGAGTGGTACACGGCGCGAGCGAGTGGCACACTCCGTGAGTGAGTGCCACACTGAGTGAGTGTCACACTCCGTGAGTGAGTGAATGCCACACTCCGAGTGTCACACTCCGAGTGAGTGTCACACTCCGTGAGTGAATGCCACACTCCCGAGTGAGTGAGTGCCACACTCCGAGTGAGTGAATGCCACACTCCCGAGTGAGTGTCACAATCCCGAGTGAGTGCCACACGCCGAGTGTCACTATCCCGAGTGAGTGCCACACGCCGAGTGTCACAATCCCAAGTGAGTGCCACACGCCGAGTGTCACTATCCCGAGTGAGTGCCACACGCCGAGTGTCACAATCCCGAGTGAGTGCCACACTCCCGAGTGCCACACTCCCGAGTGAGCGTCACAATCCCGAGTGAGTGAGTGCCACACTCCCCGAGTGTCACACTCCCCGAGTGATTGAGTGTCACACACTGTGTGTCTGCGTTGTCTCTCACGCTGCTGCTGCTGCTGCCGTGGTCGGGGCACGCGCGAGGCAGCCACCAAGGTCGCCCCGTCGCCTCGTGATGACGTTCACGCGCCGCGACGGAAACCCCGCGGGGTCAAACCCTCGAGTTTACAAAACGCGAAAGGAGTTTACAGAAATATACAGTACACGTAAACTAAACGTGATAATAGGGGGTTTCCCGGCAACAAAACAGGTGTTCAGATGTTAAAACACCAAACTGAAACCTTTCACAAGGAATCATGTCTGCATTAACCACAATGCTTGTCAGAATGCAAACAAAAACATACTCTGATAATATACGCATTGTCCTTGAAATTGATTGTACCACACCAGAGACAGCTTTCTTTTGAGCCTCGTCTCAAAGGGACTCTGTCGTCCCAACAGGTCTGTCCCTTTTACCTGAAGAAGGCCACTTGTGTTGTGGCCGAAACGTCGTGATAATTTTATTGTTTTATTTTATTTTATTCTCATTCTACGTGACTACCGAAAGAACCAAAGAAGATGAATCCTTGCAGTCACGAAAGCTTTAAATCGAAAAGATGAATATTGCTTGAGGTTTACAAAGATAATTATTTCATCAAAGCGTTGGGATGCGATGTCACGGACTGTTTTGTCACCTCTGAGATATACTACTAGCTTCAAGGCCTCGCTATTTGTTTCTTTTATATACTTTGCCGCTGACAAAAGATGCATGCTTTGCCATACACCTTTTACTGTGTATAAGCAGGCCTTGTCCCAAGGCTGCCTAGGGTCCTCTACATTGTGTTCAGTTGCAAAACTTTATAAAGTTTTTCCAACCTGGCCAGTTACCTTTTACGAGTGAATGCCGATCTGCAGTTTCTGTGATGCTGTATCTTTGGTCATTTTATAAACTTGAGTCTGACAAACATGGTACAATAATTAAACCGAGCTAGCTTTAAAGATGGGACTCCAAAGTTGTATTTAGCTGGGAATCTGGAAAGTCCAACGCACGATTCTAAACATTTCAGACATTATATTCTTGGTTCTTTCGGTAAAGTCACGTTGAAGGGAAACAATAAAATAATAAGATATATATAAAATGTTCTTGCCGTTGGTTTTCACACCTGATGATTACTGCTTGTGTTGCAATCGAAACGTCGTGAGAATTTTATTGTTTTACATATATTTAATTATTTTATTGTTTCCCTTCAACGTGACTTTACCGAAAGAGCCAAGAATATGAATCACTGCAGTCACGAAAGCTTTAAATCAAAATTTAGTTCAGACATTGTGCTAACTGAACACCAGAGTGTATTCTAGCCCCTAAATTTGGTAATAGAATACAACGCTTTGATCATGACTCATTGACTAACTTGCGTGCTCCCCAATGTCACTTTAATTGCCATGTGAATACTGTACATTACAACACCCTGAGTGTTGATGTGTGTGTGGCATTAGTTTATTGTTTAAACGCCGAACCCCAAATATACACGCACAGTATGAAAAATAAGAATAATTTTTACTCTTTCTGGCAATAAAACAGGTGTTAAGATTTGCAAACACCAAATAGAAACATTTTGCAAGGAATCAAGTCGGCATTAACCACACGTACTTGTGGCAACATGCTGCGATATCATCATTAGACCTCCTTTGCCAGTACCATAATGTAATAATAGGGTTTTCCCCTTTTTTCTGGCAACAAAACTGAAACCTTTTTACAAGGATTCATGTCTGCATTAACCACAATACCTGCAGTCAAAATGCAAAAAAACATACTTTGATAATATATGCATTGTCCTTGAAACTGATTGGTCCACACCAAGGGACGGCTTTCTTTTGAGCCTCGACCCAAATTGGTGCTCGACCAGATGACGCCAAAAGGCGTCACACAGCTCAAAGACAATGCCACTATTAAAGTAATGAGGGCTCGGGGTGAGCATCTACATCATTAGATCTCCTTTGCCAGTACCAAAACATAATAAGGGTTTTCCCCTTTATTCTGGCAACAACACTGAAACCTTTTACAAGGTTTCATGTCTGCATTAACCACAATACCTGCAGTCAAAATGCAAACAAAAAACATACTATGATGATAGATGTGGCATTGTCCTTTGAAACTGATTGGTCCACACCAAGGGACGGCTTTCTTTTGAGCCTCGACCCAAATTGGTGCTCGACCCTATTATTACATTTTGGTACTGGCAAAGGAGGTCTAATGATGTAGATGCTTACCCTGAGCCCTCACTACTTTGATAGTGGTATTGTCTTTGAGCTGTGTGACGCCTTCTGGCGTCTTGTGGTCGAGCACCAATTTGGGTCGAGGCTCAAGAGAAAGCCGTCCCTTGGTGTGGACCAATCAGTTTCAAGGACAATGCCACATATATTATCATAGTATGTTTTTTGTTTGCATTTTGACTGCAGGTATTGTGGTTAATGCAGTAAACATGAATCCTCGTAAAAAAAGGTTTCAGTTTTGTTGCCAGAAAAAAAGGGGAAAACCCCCTATTATTAGTGTTGCGATATATTCAGTCTTTGGAAACTGATTGGCGTACACCAGAGATAGGCTTCTTTAGGGCCCAGTCTCACAACCAGTGCCAGACCAGAGAACAACGCCAAAAGGCGAACAGTACAAAGACAATGCACGTGTCAGGGCATTTATTTATAGCTGCTTATGTGTCTGTCTATGCGTCTCCGTGTCTGTGTTTTGTCTCTCTCTCTCTCAAATTTAGCAATATTTGGAAGAACGTTAATCAACCAGGTAGGGTGTTGACTTATGTTAGCCGACTCTCTGTGTTGTTATTGCATTATATTTCTAAGTTTACTAGTTTTGTTTTCTCTTTCATTCGTACCTGATGATTGTTTGTGTTGCAATCGAAACGTCGTATGCTATTATTCAATTTATTTATTTCTACGTGACTTTACCGAAATAACCCAAAGAGTAATTCCTGCAATCACGAAATCTCCAATTCAATGATTGCCCCTTTTACCAGTATGAAAAAAATAATAGGTTTTTTACCCTTTTCTGTAAATGCAACAGGTGTTAAAGATATCCGAACGCAAAATAGAAACATTTTAGCAAAGGGAATTGCCAGAAAAGGGTAAAAAAAAAACCTATGCTTATATATATTTTTTAATATTTTGATACCGGCAACGTGACACTGTATACGTCCTGTACTGTACTCGTTTTTTAAAACGCCAAACCGCAGCGCGGAGCTGTCCTCGCGCGCCGCCGTAGAGGCGCGACCCCACCACCCACCCCCCACCAACAACCTTGTTTACTTTTTGTAACTTCACTCTTCGTCGCGTGGTGGTTAAAGTCCAAAGTAATCGAATTCTGGTTCGACTTTAAACCCCGGGTAAAGTCACGGCGGTAGGGCGCTGTAAGGAAAAACCCGCCGCGTTCCCTTCGCGATTCCCCTCAGGGTTTAAAATTGAAAAAAAAGCGCGGGAAGCGTCACTGACGGTTTCGCGGCGCCCCCTCCCCCCCCGTGCCCCCCCCCACCCGTGGCGCCCCTCCCGCCCACCCGTGGCGCCCCTCCCCCCCACCCGTGGCGCCCCTCCCCCCCACCCGTGGCGCCCCTCCCCCCCACCCGTGGCGCCCCTCCCCCCCACCCGTGGCGCCCCTCCCCCCGTGGCGCCCCTCCCACCACGCGCATCCTGCCCGGAGAGTTTCGCGGCGCCCTCGCTTCCCTCTCCAACCCCACCCCCCCCCTCTACGTTGGGATTCTCCGGTCCCATCCGCGTTCGGATTATAAGGCGCTGTAGAAAGTGGGACGCAAACCCCCCACCCACCCACCATCCACCCACCATTACACCCACCATCCACCCACCTGAGAACGTACGCTGAGGTGTCAGATACACTTACACAACATCGCCGCACTCTGCACCGACTGTCGGATTATAAGGCGCATCTCCCAACCCTTCGATAATAAAACAAGCCAATATTTGTATGGTGGTCCGGTGAATGCGTTGTTATCTGGGGGACGGTGGTGGGTTGTGGGGGGCGGTGGTGGGTGGGGGGGAGCGGCGGTGGATTGGGGGAGGTGGCGGTGGGCGGGGTCACGCGTTAGGCCCCTCCCTCCCTGTGCAGTGGCCCCGCCCCTCGTCGGCCTTGCCGCTCGCTGTTGAATCGATTCTCTAAAAAGCAACGAGGCGAGGAACTCGGAGACCAACAACAACAACGACAAAAACAACGACGACGACAACAACAACAACGTGGGGAGACGCATTACTGCCGTAGAGGGTGACGGCCGACAGTAACGCGGCGGCGGGGCTCAGGTGTCGTGAGGAGGAGGAGGAGTAGACGACGATGTGTAGGAAGCGCCGAGGCGCGTACGGATTAAAAACAACCACGGGCCGTCATCATCCTCATGCCCAGGCGCTGAGACGCGGCGGCGTTTAAAGTTATCCCGTGGTTCTCGATCTCACCACCCCCCTCCCTCCCTCTCCTCACCACTATTGTTGTTGTTGTTGTGACGACTACTACCACTACTATCCGCTCTTGCGTTATTGTCGGCCGCGTGCTCGGCCGACAAGAAGATGTCCCTCATGTCGCTGAAGAAGAAGAAGAAGCAGCCCAAGACGTTCAACGTTCGCGTCAACACAATGGACGCGGACCTGGAGTTTGGTTGCGAGGTGCGCCGATCGCTCGGAGTTAACTCTTCGTGGGGAGGGGGGGGGGTAACCCGGTGTTTTACTATGGGGGGTAACCCGGTGTTTACTATGGGGGGTAACCCGGTGTTTTACTATGCGGGGGGTAACCCGGTGTTTTACTATGGGGGGTAACCCGGTGTTTTACTATGGGGGGTAACCCGGTGTTTACTATGGGGGGTAACCCGGTGTTTACTATGGGGGGTAACCCGGTGTTTACTATGGGGGGTAACCCGGTGTTTACTATGGGGGGTAACCCGGTGTTTACTATGGGGGGTAACCCGGTGTTTTACTATGGGGGGTAACCCGGTGTTTTACTATGGGGGGGGGTAACCCGGTGTTTACTATGGGGGGGTAACCCGGTGTTTTACTATGCGGAGTAACCCGGTGTTTACTATGCGGGGTAACCCGGTGTTTACTATGGGGGGTAACCCGGTGTTTACTATGGGGGGTAACCCGGTGTTTACTATGGGGGGTAACCCGGTGTTTTACTATGGGGGGTAACCCGGTGTTTTACTATGGGGGGGTAACCCGGTGTTTACTATGCGGGGTAACCCGGTGTTTTACTATGGGGGGGTAACCCGGTGTTTACTATGCGGGGTAACCCGGTGTTACTTTGCGGGGTAACCCGGTGTTTTACTATGCGGGGAAACCCGGTGTTTACTATGCGGGGTAACCCGGTGTCTACTATGGGGGGTAACCCGGTGTTTTACTATGCGGGGTAACCCGGTGTTTTACTATGCGGGGTAACCCGGTGTCTACTATGCGGGGTAACCCGGTGTCTACTATGGGGGGTAACCCGGTGTTTACTATGCGGGGTAACCCGGTGTTTACTATACGGGGTAACCCGGTGTTTACTATGCGGGGTAACCCGGTGTTTACTATGCGGGGTAACCCGGTGTTTACTATGCGGGGTAACCCGGTGTTTGCTATGCGGGGTAACCCGGTGTTTACTATGCGGGGTAACCCGGTGTCTACTATGGGGGGTAACCCGGTGTTTACTATGCGGGGTAACCCGGTGTTTACTATGGGGGGTTAACATTGCTTAACAACGGGTCTAACGCGGGATTTTACTCGGCATTACGCATGGTGTGGAACACACGAGGTTATCTTAGCCTTACGTAGGGTTAACACACTTGGGGCTAACTTAGCCTTACGTAGGGTTAACACACTTGGGGTTATCTTAGCCTTACGTAGGGTTAACACACACCGAAGTCATCAGCCTTACGTAGGGTTAACACACCAAGGTTATCTTAGCCTTACGGCACAGTTAACACACACCGAGGTTATCTTAGCCTTACGGCAGGGTTAACACACACACGGGGTTATCTTAGGCTTACGTAGGGTTAAAACACGGGGGTTAACTTAACCTAACGTAGGGTTAACACACACCGGGGGTTATCTTAGCCTTACGGCAGGGTTAACACACGGGGGTTAACTTCGCCTTATGTAGGGTTAACACACACGGGGTTAACTTCGCCTTACGGCAGGGTTAACACACACGTGGTTAACTTAGCCTTACGGCAGGGTTAACACACACACCGGGGTTATCTTAGCCTCACGTCGGGTTAACACACGCGGGGGTTATCTTAGCCTTACGGCAGGGTTAACAACACACACACACACGAGGTTAATTTAGCATAACGTCAGAGTTAACACACTTGTGCGCACACGTGGGTCTGTCTGCACAGGGAAGCTCGCTGTGTTAAAGACCACGTAGGAAGTTTAACAGGGGTCTCTCTCACGTTGTCTTTTGCCCATCAGTCCTGAATTAGTTGTTGGACTAACGCAGAGATGATTGGAATTGTCTGGATGTTCACAGAGCTTATGCCACGCGGCCTCACGTGGAAGGGCACACGAATGAACGTGGCTTAGTTTACTTTTTTTAAAACATTCTTAGTTTTCCATACTTTGATACTTGCAAAGAATAGGGTCTCATTTTTTTATGGCTTTAGTTTGTGTGTCACACTCGCTGATAATGCGACCCTTAAACTGATGGAGGGGTACTTGGTCTACTCTTCCACTGCACGGGGAGGGTCTCTGTCATTGTACGAATGCGTTACTGTATTCGATTTGGAGTTTGAGGCGGAATGACAGACAATTGCAGGAACGGAATAGCGGATATGATGAAGACAGACATCTTTCAACACACCAGTAGTAACATTACTTGAGTGTACGGTATTTAAAATACGTATTTTAATTCAGCAGACGCCTCATACTGCTATCAATCACACCACACCGGTTTTTCGTACGGGTTGGTTCCTCTTCGGTCCGACCATGCTAGCAAAAAGCATAAGGTACTTACATTTATTGTGCGTCTTGTTTTAGTTTTCGCCCAAGTGGAATGACAGAACGTCTTTTGTTATCAATGTAATCATGACATTTGGAGTAATCTGTCGTTAAGAAGTTACATAGTGATAGAATACTTACTTACACAACACACCGATCTTAAATTTCACACTTAACTTGCAATTTAACAATCTTTGAAACAGCGTATTCAACCAAACCATGCGTTAATTGTGTTTTAACCGACCGTTTGTGTTGCTTTATATAGTTTCCAAATTTTGCTAAACCCTGTTTGATTTAGTGTGATGTTCCGTCTCTCTGTATCCCCTGGTATATCTGTGTTAATTCCCCCTACTTAAGGTCTGTATATATCTGCGGTTATGTGTTTCCTCTACCTGATGATGATTGCTTGTGTTGCGATCGAAACGTCGTATGCTATTATATAATTTTATTTTGTATTATTTCTACGTGACTTTACCGAAAAAAAACAAAGAGTAAGTTACATAACACTCAACCTGGTTATTTCACTCATTTAATTAATTAACCTTTCTCCAAATTGCTTTGGGTTTTGATATTGTTGTCGTAGGCCAAGCCAGTTGGTGGTATTTTCATTGCCTCGACCCCACCACCACCGGGGGGAGGTTCAGGTGCGTGCCCCTAGGCTGGAGCGTTCAGGCAAAAGGGGAGGATGGGGGGGGGTTTAAAAAAAACCGACACGGGCCGCGATTAATTTTAATGGCTCTCAAAAAAGAAAACGCGTTGCAAACAAGAAGCAGTGAAGAAGAATAAGTTTTGACTGCTGTGGCGTTACGTTTTAAGAAGGCAACCCAGGGTGCAGATGTAACCCCAACTTAACATAGCTGTCAACCCATAAGGTTTACCCCGTATTCCTGTACAGGTAAATCGAGTTTCCAGGTCTATGTACTATACGGCGTACAGCCGTTTCAATACGGTTTTGTAGGAGGAACGTTGAGATTTATAAGGGCACGGGGGTGACCAATAACATGTGAATTGGTCTGTAATAAAGTAGGCACTGATTAGGGGTTGACGGGTATGATTTAACAAGCCGGGTGGATCATTTCAAACACACCGCTTGGCGCAGTTCGTCGTTGATGCAGGTTTTGTTGGCACGAATTTTTTGGCGGGGTATTGTAAGCTTTGGGTAGTTTTACATATTTGAGTACTGCCAATGAGGGCCTTTGATGCAAGCTTTTCAAAAATGAAGTTGATGGCAGTGGTTAGGTTAGGAATGGGGCCCCGTTTACCCTTAATCACGGGTGTCAAATATGGCGTAGCAATGTGGAGGCAGTAAGAGGGCTTTACTTGGCCAGTGATTTTTAGCTGGTTACACAAATATTAAGACATTTGCAAGTTGCGTTTTTTCATGGACTACATTAGAAGAACAGAGGTCGAATGTAGTGTTAAAATATGGACGTTTTCGGCAGGAGTAATATCTGTTACTATTAAAACCAGGGAGCCTAACTGTAACGACAATGTTCTTTCTTTGACAATATTTGCAGAGCATGAATTCAATATGAAGGATATTGTAAGAAACTTTAAATTTGGTTACAGAGTATCGCAAAGTTGTTGATCAGGAAAAGTAACAGTTGCAATGGGATGTGTAATGGAGGCCAGGTTACTGAGACTGGCATTGGATTTGACACACACGTTGTTGACCAAGGAGAACTTTAACCACATCTTGGGATAATGTAAGAGCAGACCTTGTTGGCCAGGTGTTGATATTGAAACAACTACAATATCTGTCTGAAGGAAACAAAAGGGAAAGTATAGTGACAGCAGTAGGATTGGTAATGATGACCGCTTGAATACTAAAAAGGGTTTGTCTTACACTTTAATAGGTTTTTTTTTCTAACTTCACTTTTGAACTGCAACAAAACAACAATTAATGCATTTTATTCATGCACATTTAGTATTTTTAACATAATGGAGAGAGCCCAGGGAAAGAACACACCCTTTGGTATGTTCGGCATTGTTCAACATTGTTGAAGAAGTCTCCGTCCTGTGTGACCAGGTTATGGAATTATGTGCGTTAGAAGGGATTCCAAATCCTCCGAAACATCGCTGTCTCTTGTAAAACGGCGGAGCTCAGGTTGTAAGTGACATGAGCATCAACCATTTAGGAAATCCACATCTGCTTCCTTCGATTCGCTCGTCTCAAGGTAGGATGAGTGGGGATCGAATGATCGGACGTACAGTTATGGAGACAAGAGATCCAGTGTGGGGAAAGAGTTGGGTATGCACGCCCTTGGTTTTAAGTGTGCGTAGTTTACCTTGCCGTTACATTTTTGCATGTCTGGGCAGGACTAAAAACGTGTTCATACGTTGGATGAATATTCTGATGGTTATTGTTGAAGGGGAACACTTGCCACTGCTAATTAATTCAGAATCAGAATATGTATTTATATTGGAGGAATCCGATGAGCAATAAAGCTCTCTTTCACGGATGTCCAGTTAGGTACTTTGCACTCCTATTGTACAAAATCACGATAGGAGTGCAAAGTACAAGAAAGGTAAATAAATCGCCCAAACAGATACAAATAAAACTAAACCATCCCCACCCAACCAGGCAAAGCCAACTGAGGTATTGACTTATTTTTCAGAAGTGACCTGGCGACAAATGATAGCTCAACAAAGTGGCTCATAATTTTGGACATTCATAGCACAAAAATAATCGTTTTTTACGCTTTCCAAAAACCAACCAATCTTGCTCTGAAGTGGAGACTTGATTCCATTCCACGAAGATAATGTTTGTTGTCTGGGTCTTTGTTTAGTTGTAAACAATATAAACTATGATTGTTAAGCAACTTTACTCATCAAATGGTAAGAGTTAAATGTATAATGTGTTACCCTAAATAACCTGTTAACCCTGTGCCGCTGAACACCTAGTGCAAACAGATAGAAAGATCTTAAGCCACAGGAGGCAATATACAAAGTAGACTTTGTCAGCAGTTAATAGTTGAGCACAAGGGGACATGATGATGGCTGGTGAAATCCAAGTTAAAAACGAGGTGAAATAAAAGCGTCGTCTTGAGCAATCGTGCATTAGTCCTTAAAAAATAGTACATCCCAAGAAATAACCGCCGGTAACTAGTGTATACTGCAGCTAGAATGACGACCATGGATATCATGAGAGTGATTTCCCCCCTCTACCGTTCCAATTGCTGCTTTCTGCAGCTGTTGTGGGGAATAAACAGGTGTATTGCTGAGGCTGTGAACAGCAGCTCCCGTAGCCAGCCGGGAGGAGGAGGGGTGGTTTACAATGAGCTTTTAAAGCAGTTTCAGATTTTTTTATATTTGCCGAAGCGGCTGGATTATCTTATGTGGTGGATGGGCGGCAGTATATATTACGCTGCCCATTGAGGTGCGCCTGACGTGTACCTTGGATAGAGGAGGCGCTCGGCCAGGAGAAACCCTCCTGTTTAGAGAGATGTTTCGAGTAGACGGGGGGGCAGGAGGAAGGAGAGGGGCGGCTGCCCTTTACTAGTGTAATATTTGTGACAAGGTACAACATTTGGCGATGATGAACATGGGGCCTTGAGAATTTAGAAGTGCCGTCTTGCATGTTGCATCTAAGCATACGGCCGAGCCCAATCCGTCATCTTTTGCCGCCCGCTTGTCCATGGATTATGGCGCTTGATGTTTTCCAAACGACTAATCGCCTCGGCGGAAGGTATATGACATTCGAACGAAATGTGATTTTTAAAATAACGAATGAAAAGTCCATCTCGACCCAGAGTTTCATTGCATCGGCAGCCTGTCTCTCAATGGCTGTGGGAATACATGCACCTTGCAAGCCAGGTTCCACCGTACTCGCCAGGGTAGGCCTCGTTATACCGTAAGAGTTTATAAACATTTTAAAGAAATGCCATGCATATTCCTCGGGCAGTACTTTTGTACAGGTGATATTGGAGAGGAACTCTTTCGTTTTTTAAAGGAGGTGTCATCAAAATTGTGGTTATTGGGTGAGATTGAGAGACGATGCGGGTTGTGTTGTTGGGAGGCCTGAAAATAATAGCCACACCCCAAGACGATGAACATTTTTGGCTGTCTGTTGAGAAACCACCAACAATCTCGTGAAATGTGACCAAGAGTCCCCTCAAATAATTAAAAACATTAAAAAGTTTGCATAACTCCATGGATTACACAGGATTATTTAAGCTGGATAACCCTAAGCCTGGGAGGTTAGCTGTTCACAGCCCCATGATGTCACCTAAAGCCCACATTTATTGCATAGCGTTTTCACACAAATGAGGTTAACAATATAACAGTTTTAACGGGTAACTTAGAAGAACATGTTTGTTCGTTTTATATGCATTGCCAATTTTTTTTTAATCCCTTGTAAGCCTTATACCAAAGCATGTACAGACCTGTGGATTATTTTTCTATTTAACTTACAAACTGCTTTTATGTAAATGGAATATAAAAACATTCTCTCCTGCCAGATTAGCACCATACTTGGAATGCTTTTTTTGGCATCAAATCAAGTAATTTATTGACCAGGTACTGTAAATAACTGGAAATAATGATGACATCTCATACTCATTTTAAAATAACGGCTGGTTTATACATAGCAATGAAATATAAGTGTTAAAAATGCGTATGTTTTACTATAAAAAAAATATGAAGCCTTCTCTTTACCTGCTTGTAACCCACTTTTTTTAATATAACCGTGTTTTGTTACAGATTAAAATGAAGGGGAAGGATCTCTTTGACCTAGTGTGCCGCACCATTGGCCTGAGGGAAACTTGGTTCTTTGGCCTTTGCTTCATGGTTAAAGATACCCTCACGTGGCTGAAGATGGAAAAGAAGGTGAGGAATATGTGGGGTTTGTCTCGGACCATTGGTAGTAAAGTATACCTACAGCCAGCAACGTGCAGTTAAATTTGCATTCGGCACTCGGGTCTTCAAGTTGCCTAAGATGGTCCCATATATTTCTAGCCTTGCAAATCATTTGGGCTAGAACAATGAACTTATTCACATCGGTGTTTATAAATTAATGTATATGTAATGATACTATGTTCACATCACCCCTGAAATTACTAGACATGCTTACCATCCTCCACGATATAAAAAAGGCAACGATTTGTTTTATTGAATTGTGACCCTGCTTCACAACAGTTCATCTAATCATCGGTAGTGAATGTCTCCACCGCTACTAATCATACATTGCACAGTGGTCATAACGAATTACAGAGGTCTTTAATTTTCATGATGATGTGTCCATTATGCTCGCATAAATGATTTCGATTACAGAGTAATTCTAGAGTGATCTTTTATTTGCTGATGAGAACTATGTGCTCAACATCCTGAGATTGGATAAAAGTGATTGGTCCGATTGTTTTTTGATTGGGGTGTAATGACTTCTGTGCATTAAACTGCACTGGACCATTACCAGAGAGTGGCTTGTCACAATTATAATTCAGCTTGTTTCACGCATCGCCACATCCTCCCCATTTCTGCTCGCATTTTTCATCACGGTGCTTAATGTGGATTGTGCTGAAATAGTTTTTTTTGAGATGAGGCAAGGGACTGGGGTGTTGCATTTGAAAACGCTTGAGAGTTTTTTTTCTCACAGGAACTAAGTGATACACAGCCGTGTACAGATTGAGTCACTGATACATTGTGTTTGGTTGACATTTGTATGTTTTGCCATCTCATTTGCTGGACATAGTTAAACAGGAATGCCCGAGGTGGTTTGCGTGTATTGGGGGCCAGTGTTGGCCTGTTTAAAATGCAATCGCGATCCTCCGTTACCTTTTGCGTGGCATCCATCACAGGTTGTACAGTCGTTTGGATGAACACCCCGATGATCCAAAAACCAAGGTTCACATTGTTTTCATTTGTGTAGCCAATGCTGCTCAAGGTTGCCGGATAGGGTTTTTACTTATTTACGTTTTTACATATTGATGTACCAGCCCAATCGGAAAAATGATAGTGGATTTGTTTTGCAGTACAATATCCTTAATGTTTGCAATCGATGCAATGCTGGCATAGAAGTTTTAGTACGGTGATAAAGTATGAACAACCAATGTATGTCCTCTGACGATGATGATGACTTGTATAGCCAATAGATCAGGGTTTTTCCCACATTTACCAGTTTACTCCCATTCAAATGGAAGTTAACTTGTTCCATGTCAAACATGCCCCACTTGATGCGCCAAGCAAATCACGTCATCTGCGTTTATGGAGCTGATTCAAATTGATATCTCACTTACTTGGCCTATGTGTGCACGTGTGGGCCACATGCCGCAGACACGGCCGCGCGCACGAGTGGGAGTAAATTGGTAAACGTCTGGTATAGCGTGGTGGGTCGTGAGGACTAGAGTTTGGAAAACCCTGTTTTTGTTTCCTACTTTTCATGCATTGCGCATTGGGGTCCTCGATGGAATGCTCATTATACATTTGAATAAAAAAAATAGGGCTTTAATGAGATTCACTGCTGTCACCATGCAATGCTTTGGTGATTTCTAGACGGTGCATCCCTGCTGGCTTACTCTGCTGTGATGCATCTTGAGACACTTTTAAGAACATGTAAACATAGGAGTGTGACCTCAGGAGTGTCAAATGCGAGACTTGGAACATTTTAATTCGATATTAATCCAAAATAAAAGGATAGTATACTAACTGTGCATATAATAAAGCAGCGTTCTTGCACTATTTTCCAGGGGGGCCACGTAAAATTAACGTGTGCCGGTGTCATGACATCATAACGACTGTCCATACAATGACTAATCTGTATCTCTTTTTCTCCACATCTCTCATTACTTATTTATCTTCTTAATAAATATATATAGCTTCTCTACAGGTTTTCTATCCCTTACATCTCTTTCATCTTACTAATGTGTTTCCCTTTTTTTCCTTTCTCTGGGCCATAACTCGGCGGGCCGCTTTTGGTTCGTGAGCCTGCTAGTTGAAGAAGCCTGTCATAAAATATGATGATCTGCCATGAAGTAACATGTCCGATATTTGAGTCAAATTTAACCCTTGTTTTAGGTGCATGCTTTTTTTAATTCTATCCCTTGGACACGTCAACTTATTAATTTCTTATTTTGTGTCCAGCAGCAAACGATGCGGTGTTTTGTGACTGCCATTACCATGTACGGCACCTGCAGCAACAGTCGGTGGTGTGTGCGGCTGTGATTGGTGGTGGTGGCAGGTGCTGGAGCAGGAGGTTCCCAAGGAGGATCCCATCTGCTTCCAGTTCCTGGCTAAATTCTACCCAGAGTCTGTGGATGAGGAGCTGGTGCAGGAGATCACACAGCACCTCTTCTTCCTCCAGGTGTGTACTGTGCACCACAAAGTGAAAGGGGAGACGTGCTGTTTGAACTCCACGTCGTCGTTTAAGTGTTCAGTTTCTTGCACAGTCATTTAATTTTCTTGTTTGTTTTGACTCATTTGTTGTAGCCCTCCTTACAAAATAGACTTTATTTTGAAGTGCTCTCGCCTGCTTATAAATAAATTATAATAACTTATTGTGCCCGTGACGCAGTGGTTAGTGAACTACTATGGACACTGTAACCTGAGTTCAGTTACCAGCCATGTCTAATATCTAAACCAGTTTTGGCCCAGCGTTGTGAAGTATGGTTAAACAACCCCCAGATAATTGATATAGCTTAGGGAGGCCTTCATCCAGCAGTGGATTGACAAAGGGATCTAAATTATTTAAATAATATTTTATTGTATCATTTTATGCATCGAAGGCATAAAGTCTCCTTGAAGACAGATATTCGAGCGATTTTTACAGTGTGAAACTATATGCTACATACCTCAGCCATACATGTTATTGGCTGCCGAATATAATTTTCACGTGTTAACATTTTCCTAGGAGTGCTTCAAGATGCATCACAGCGGAGTGAGCGAGCAGGGATGCACTGTCTAAAAATCACCACAGCATTGCATGGTGACAGCGGTGAATCTCATTAAAGCCGTAATTTTTTTTTTCAAATGTATAATGCGAATTCCATCCGAGGATCCCAATGCGCAATGCTTGAAAAGCAGGAAACAAAAACATAGCCAGGGCAACTGACCAAACTAAAGAGGGAAGGCCACTTTAAACAGATGGGTTGTCAAAGCAGACTTAAATATATCTCCCAATTCTGATTGCCTGATCTCAAGTGGCAAGGCATTCCATAGCTTGGGTGCCACGCAAACAAAAGGCCAATCACCAAAAGAGCGCCACCTAGACCTGGGAGTGCTGAACAGTTGGAGGTCAGAAGATCTTCAGGTCCTAGATGGAATCTATAAAATGTATTAGTTCCTGCAAGTAATTTAGAAATCTTAAGTAGCCTTTTGGTATTATACTAACTTCTACTAACTTAACCAATATAAACTGAATTTCCTACATTTCAATTAAATTGATTGTTTCACAGTATTTTAAGAATTAATTTATCCTTTGCCAGCATCCACTCTTTTTGTACATTGATACTGAGAGGCGTTGAGCGCCTGAAAAACTGTGATGTTCATTGGGGTGTCGTGAGAAATAATTCAGCATTTTGTATTCAAACCTTTTTTTGACAGGTGAAGAAAAAGATCCTGGATGAGGAGATATTTTGTTCACCTGAGGCATCTGTCCTTTTAGCTTCATATGCTGTACTGGCCAAGGTATTGTGTGTTATCAAGTTCATATCCAAACTGCGTACCAATGAAAATAGCTCGGTTTTTTTTACTGTTGTCCAAGCAGAAACTGCCACAGCTGCTTGAATGTAGTGAGGCAGAAAGTCCGGAGTGATGTCACTGATAGAAGAACCACTTTGAGAATGTTCATTTGGCTAGACGCAGCATTATATTCAGCCACACTCTTGAGGGTTATAAATAGTGGCAGCTGATGCACACGCAACATAATTGGGTTTTTTCTCTCTCATACAGTAAAGCTATCTGCACAGCAGTTGAGTAGGTTCATTTGACCGGGCTGTTGGGAGAAATCTCTCTTAGTGGTTTATAAACAGGGTCGTTTGGTGGGGGTAACAGAAAAGTGATTTTCACCGGTTGCACATTGATTCTGGTTGCACGTAAGCCTTCGTGAAATAGAATTTGTTTGAAAGTGTTCTCCATATCATCTGTTTTTTTTTGCTCGCTGTCGTTACAGTATGGCGAATATGATCGGAGCCTGCACACTCCGGGTTTTTTGGCTCAAGATGAGCTACTGCCAAAAAAGGTTAGCGTGCATCATGTACAAAATAAATATAATATATTCCATTAGATGTTTCATCCTTATTCGATTTCGCCTGAATGTATTCATGTGCATATGTAAGCTTGTCTTATGTGAGCAGTATTAAAGTCCAGCTCATAGAAATACATCCATCGAAAATAATATTTTTCTAAACCAAGAAAAAATATATATATAAGCTGCTGTCACCTCATTGCCGCTGATGTTGAGTTGGTAGTATTTGCTTATGGAACATTTGTCATTTTTATCTGTGAAGAAGCAATGTGCACCGTGGTCATTCTTCTAAAACGTTCTGTTGAGTGTTTTTTCATTGTGATTAAGTCGATCCATATCACATGAATGAGTATCAATTTTCAGGCAATGGTATTTTTTCACCTGTAGAATTTTTTTTTAATGATTGGGAGAGGAACGGTCTCCTGTGTGTATTGCATTGGTTTTGCGTAGATGGCACGGGGTTGATTTTAACCAACGAAGTTTCATACGGGAAGATGGATAGTCTAGAGTTACATTATAGTGGTAATATATGTTGAATTCTGCCTTGAGAGTGAAAATAATGCATTACAGTTTGTGAATCGACTTCCACGCTTTTCTGTTGCTTCTTGAGTGCCTTTTTATTTCTATCAGGTTATCAACCAGTACCAGTTGACACAGCCCATGTGGGAAGAAAGAATTACAAACTGGTACAAAGGACACCAGGGCATGACCAGGTACATTCATATGCAATATATATTAGCAACCCCAAATTAATCTCAGAATAAAAATCGTTAATGTTGGCGATTGAAACTGTTAAAGCATCATGTGGATAGCTCCGCTTGATAAGGAAATTGCAATGCATTATCGGGCCTAATGAGATTAATGTGTTTGAGACACGTTTTAAATACAATATTTTATAATGTAACTAACTGGTAACATTAGAAACTGTAAGAGTTACATCACAATACATATGTAGCCTGCAGAGCGTAATGAAGTAGGGACTTGCGTAAAATGTGACTTACATGTGCTAATTTCCTCTAGTTATCGTCTTTGGTTCTTTCGGTAAAGTCACATAGAATGAGAATAAAATAAGAAATTAATAAAATAAATAACACAATAAAATTCTCACGACGTTTCGGCCACAACACAAGTGGCCTTCTTCAGGTGAAAGGAACAGACCCTCAACTTCCTTTCACCTGAAGAGGGCCACTTGTGTTGTGGCCGAAACGTCGTGAGAATTTTATTGTGTTATTTTTTTATTAATTTATTATTTTATTCTCCTTCTACGTGACTTTACCGAAAGAACCAAAGAAGATGAATCCTTGCAGTCACGAAAGCTTTAAATCGAATTTCCTCTAGTTAATTTATATGCCAATATATTCGCACTATTTTCCTATTCTTGCATGGTCATTTTAATTTTACAATATTGTTGAAATTGTACATTGCATTTGAAGCATTTTTTTTTATATAGAAATAGATCTCGGCACTTATAATGTGGGAAAAGTAATTGCTATATCGTATTAGTCGTGGGATTATATTTTAGTAATATTTATATTATTTTATTTGTATGCGTGTGATGTACGAATCATATTCTTGTTATTTTGTTTCTTTAGAGATGAAGCTGAAATGGAGTATCTTAAAATTGCCCAAGATCTCGAAATGTATGGAGTGAATTATTTCCCTATCAAGGTAAATGCGTTTTCCATGAAAGTAATTTGACATGGCATTACCAATTTATCTTGACAGTGATTGCATTTGCTCCCACATTTGGATGAATGAAAATGTGCCTCGCGTGTTTCATTGATATAGGACAAAAAAGGAGTTGATTTCTTGCTTGGGGTCGATGCCCTGGGCCTAAAGATCTTTGAACCCAATGACAAGTTGCAGGCGAAGAAGTCGTTTCCGTGGAGCGGAATCAAGAATGTGCAGTACAGTGACAAAGAGGTAGTGACACGTGCCCAGTGGGGGCACGTATTGGCTTGTGGAGAGCTTATCAGCACTTCTCACTGATGTGTCTATAAAGTGTGCCTATGAGGATGTTTGTCCACTTGATGTAAAGCTATAATAAGCTATTGTATTCAGAGACACTAACAGCATTACATTGTTATTTTAGCTCGCTTTTGGAATGGTCATGGGGGGGGTGGTGGTGTGGTGCGGAGTGCTTCACACATCGCAATACGAAACGGCCGACCTGAGTTTGATTTCTAGCCATGGCTATAATCAGTGGCGAATGATGTCGGAACAAATCCTGGGCACCCCACATCACCAACCTGCAATGGGCAGCATGCCCTCGTGGACCAGTACGGCATGGGGACGCCTTCAGCCCGAAATGGATTGTTTATTTATGTAATTGTCAAAAAGATACATTCAAGAAAAAATGGCATTTGCCAGTTTTTTTTTTCTCCACAGTTATTGACCCAAAATGTTTTCTCACTTATTTTTTTCCAGTTTACCATTAAGCCTCTTGACAAGACAACCGAGGTCTTCAAATTTTACTCTTCAAAGCAGAGAGTAAACAAACTGGTAGGGGCTTCATTCACAACTTGGTTATCTTTTTTAACGATGTTAACGTGGTTATTAGACATGTAATGTTTCTACTTTGTGATTTGATGAATTGTCACGAATCGTGGGAAATTCATGATATTTTTTACTGTCTAATCTGCATTCTTTCTGATGTCTTCTACCTTGATTCATATTGACTGATTTACTCCGTTTGCGTAAATGTAACCGCGTATAATTTGAATCGTAATGACTTGATTTCTTAAATGCACAATTGATTTGGATGTCTTTTTGACCGTACGAACTGATTTTCAGTCAATAAATTGATCATTTGTTAATTAATTTAAGAGGTTGTGTGAACTGATGTACTAAGTTTAAATCGGAATTTCATTTCATTTAAAACCTTTAATGATCGTGACTTGAGTGAATTTGCTGATGTTAAATATAATGTTCTTATAATGAAAAATCAAACAACATTTGACACACGTATATTCGAGTCTTCTAAAAACTAGAAAAATCCCAAAAACCTTAATTTTTATTTGAGCCCCCAAAAATGACAGCCCGGAGTTTGGATGGTTTTAACTTTTAGGGCAAGTTCAAACTAAAGTTCAAAATGTATTTAAGTATTTTGCTAAATTATAATGTAGATCCTCATGCTTAAGGATCATACATGGGATGCTATAACCAATTGAAAGCAGGTGCAAAGCCCACAATTGGTTACAAGTATCATCATCACGACCCATGGGCAGATAGCTTGGAGGTTTCCACTTTCCTCTGTTTGTGCCAATATGCACATCTTTATGTCATCAAACCATGAAATATTTTTTTCTTCAAAGACAATATAAAAGTTTATACATATAGACACATTCTAGTTACATTTCAATAGCCTTAAATGTCTTATTCATAGATGCGTCAGTGTCGGGGATAGTTGAAAAACATTGAACATCCTTTTACTATAATTTAAAGCTCAAAGCTTGCGTTGGAAATGGTTTAATATAATGTGGAAGGCATTTGGTTGTATCCATCTGCTTATTTAGTTTATTTCCATGACTATATCTGAAATGTGAATTCCAGATCCTGCAGCTGTGTATTGGAAACCACGACATGTTCATGCGACGGAGAAAAGTAGATTCTATGGAGGTACAACAAATGAAGGCTCATGCCAAAGAGGAGAAGGCACGAAAACAGGTATGGTTATAAGCCGGCTATGGATATTCATCACATGCCTTCCAGAACAAATCCTTAGCAAACGGTAACTTGGTTCCCAATCAGGTTTTAGCATTTGGCAGTACGCTGCATTGTATGGCGAGATATTTAGTTATGAAATAGATAAGGAGAATAAGCCTTATAGGTCAATAGCTCGTTTAATCCAGCTCATGAACAGCACATACTGCCTTTGTGAATCTACCGCCATTTGGCCAGATAACGCTGTGGTTAGAATGCACAATTGAAAGGCTGCGAGTTCAACTCTCAGTTTGGGGTGGGCTCAATCCATAACCCCTTGGGGTCAATAAAACAAGTATAATTTGGTGGAAATGTCAGTGGTTTTCCTTTGGATAAATTAACCTGTATACCTATTGCGCTGCATGATGGGAAGCAGAGGACAGTGCTCCCGCCTTCACCAATCCACCCTTACCAGTGTGGTAAAGTATGGTAAAATAACCCCCATACTGCGTGGCATCAGGAGGCTCTCATCGAGTGGTAGGTTGACAAATGGGCTGTATATGTACACCGAGGAATATAGAATATCCACCGCTGAATTAAGGGCGACCAGTGGAAATGAGCACCTTTCCAATGCTTGTTTGAGCAGGGAAACGCTCTCCGAGTAGCTTGTCGTTGAGTACGTTAAGAGTGGTTCCTAGTTTAAACCTGATGCACACAGTAAAGCATTTAAGTTGATGATTCCGTATTGAAAATTCCCTTTTTTGCCTTGGAGATTGTGACTGACATTGTGGATGTGATTGACGTTGTGTTTGTGTGCAGCTGGAGAGGCAGAAACTCGACAGGGAAAAACAACTGAGAGAGGATGCGGAGAGAGCCAAGGAGGATCTAGAGAGGCGGCTGTTCCAGATGCAGGACGAAGCTCGGCTGGCCAATGAAGCCCTCGTGAGTTTTCGGCAAATTACACGAGCATAGCTCTCTCCGGTCAATAAACAAGCATTTAACTCTTTCGCGTGTGCCTTGTTTCTCAGCTGCGCTCGGAAGACACAGCGGAGCTTTTGGCAGAGAAAGCTCAGATAGCAGAGGACGAGGCCAAACTGCTTGCTCAGAAGGCAGCCGAAGCCGAGCAAGAACTGGGACGCCTGCAGGTCTTCACGTTTGCATTCGTATTTAATTTTATTTTGATGTGGATATGTTACGAAGTAATCTTTGACTGCAGATGTTGTATGGCTTTGTTATTCGTCATGTTCATAGTTGCTTTTAAAAAAAAAAATATATGTATGTATGTTTGATTAGATAGTGCTTCGTGTATGCCCAAGCAAGTAATTGGAGCTAGAAACATAATTTCTGTCCCTGGGATGTAGGTGACTGCACTAAAGACAGAGGAGGAGCGACGACTCACGGAGCAGAATGCTCGTGAAACTGAGCGCATTGCTCTACAACTTGCCAAGCAGTCTGAACGCCGGTGCGTTGCCGTTTGCTAGTTTGGGGGTGTGTGTGTGGGTGTGTGTGAGAGTGATGACATCAATTTATGGTGTCCTCGTAAGCCATGACCAGTCCACTGCTGGATGAAGGCCTCCCAAAGCCGTCAGCGTCTCTCATGATGTAATTGTCCACCGAGCACCTGCACACGACCTGATTTCGTCCCCACCTCTCCACGATGGGACATCCTCAGGGGCGCGTCCCTCCCATAGCTGCTGCGCCATCGTTATTACCGATATGCCATCATCCCTTCTAGTGGTGTCTTACCCATGCACTTTTGTCTTAACAGAATAATGCGTTTATACTGGCTATTTTTACCAATCCACGTATTTCTCCCTGTTTTGGTGTAATTCCAGGTGTGAATCGACCCAATGCTTTGCACACTTCGCAGTTTCGTTCCATTGTTTTTGTGATGTCAATTTCTGATAAATATATGATAGCAATTAGTATCCATTAACAAGTTTGTAAAGCATTACAACCCTCTCTTATCTCATGTGTGTCCCTGCGTCAAATATTTCCAACCGTTTAGTGAATTAGTCATGCATAATCTTCGATTAGCTAACTTGTATCCCAAATCTAATGTTGCGGTCTCTATTTGACTAAGTTCTGAACACATTTCAACAGGCATACATGTTATGAGCATGAATCTCCTTCATATGCCTACATTAGAACACTTTAATTGCAGAATTATCAATTTGTAGTAATGTAGAAACATGAAAAGTGCAATTTAAAACAATTTCACGCTAGCATTGGTGGTTTGTGAGACTTGCATGTGCTGGACGCGTTGATTTTTCCTTGGTTGTATGTGTGATTAGGCTGAAAGAGGCAGAGCAGTTGAAACAGGATTTGGAGGAGGCAAGGGAGTCTGAAAGGAGAGCCAAGCACAGAATCCAGGAGCTCTCTACACCCTCCTATCCAGTATGAATGTACAAACATTTGAGAGCCGTGTTTACTGCCTCCGTAAATTAAATTTAGAGTCGTAATATGCTCAGACTTGACATTGACACTCACTATACACTCTGTTCACTATGTATATATGTTGAACATCTTTTGCACCGTGCGTAGCCATACCGTGCTAATCGGAGGTTACGGGGGGAAGGACGGCCAACTAAACACAGAAAAGCAGTTCTCAAAGAAATGCATTTTCAATCTGAATTATTTAAAAGTGCAGAACTCCAGTGGCTTCCTATTATTGGAAGGAAGAGCGTTCCAGACGACCGTAGAAGCGCATGTGAAAGCGCGCGATGCAGTGACCGTCTCCGTTCGATGGCCAGCCAAAAGCCACCGTGGTGCGCACGCTCAATACTGAGCAGCGTCAAATTAAAATTATCCATAATATTATCCATACATTTTTTTTTAACACTTCTGAGAATTTGCAACAATGCCACAAGAAATGTGCCTCTGGGCTCTGGAGTTCACCTGGAAGAAGATTCCAGGCATGTGACAATGATGGCAAGCAAGTGGAGACTCATGACTTTTTTTAAGCTATTAACATACATTTGTTATCATGTTACAGTGTATTGTCCGTTCTTTTTTACCATTAAAAACGATAGTCCCATATAAGTTTTCATGTAACTGTTAAAAAATGTTTGAAGCACCCTGTATATAACACATTTGAAAACATTTCCCCCCTCCCTTTCAGCAGATGCAGGGTGTGTATCCTCACCTAGCCGGTGCGGCAGTGGTATTGGGACCAGGGATGCCTGCCGCAGGCCTGGACAGTGAAGGCAGGCGGCTGTCAGTAGCCAGCGACTACAAGGACTCGGACATGAAGCGTCTCTCTATGGAGATTGAGCGGGAGAGGTGAGCATCGCGTCATGTTTTCCCGCCATCGGTCACATTTGTGCTGAGTTTGTCCTTCCCCCGCACCTCCGATTAGCACGGTGGGCTACGTACAGTGTGAAAGAAGTTCACGCATATGGAGACTAATCCGCCTCCTACAAAATTGGCTGCAGTGGGATATATAAAATGGGTTTTAGGTATCAACGCATGCCCATCGAGGCCTATATCTGTTGGAAAAAACTTCACAATTGAATACAGTTAAATCTATAAGCTGTGTTGCTAAATCACAACTGAGAATGATATTAAGACCAAAAGAGACATATGAATGGGTTATCGGAGTCAAGTTTCCTCTTGTCGCACTTGCTTCTAAATCTTCAAGCCAAATTTTGTTCAGGAAATATCCACATTTGTTAATATGATTTAATCTAAAAAATTATAATATACAAATGCAATGCAAACTGGAGGTTGTGTTAAAGCAGCATGGAACGTGCCATTCTTAGTGCTGTTTAGGCATTTAAGAGGGGCAGCTGCTCTCTTATAGTTTCCTGATTGTGTAGGATTTCAATAAAAGACTGTAATATGTGTGTGGCCAGGTTTGAGTACCAGGAGCGAAGCAAGAACCTGCAGGAGCAGCTGAAGGAGCTGAAGACTGAGATAGAAGCATTGAAGCTGGAAGAAAGTGAAAGCTTAGAGAGGGGAGAGCATCGTTACCACACACTTACTCGGGTGTGTACCATTAAAATTTTGTTTAGGTTGCCTTTTCTTGAACACATTCCTGCGGAAGGAGCTGGTAGGAACGTTGGGTTGCTCGGTCAATGGCCAGAGTTAACGGCGGCACCACGTGGTGTATTCCGCAAATATGCCCGACTGTGAGGGCGGGCACAAGCCGGCGTGAGTAGGTTAAACGTTGAGTTTTATAAGGGCACCACGGGGTGACCAGCCCCTCAACACCCAGCCCCACCCCTCCCACCCCCCGCCCCTCCCCACCCTCCCCACCGCCCCGCCCCTCCCCACCCTCCCCACCCAGCCCCTCCCCACCCTCCCCGCCCAGCCCCTCCCCTCCCTCCCCTCTCCACCCAGCCCCACCCCTCCCATTTTTGGATGCACGACGGATGGACGGACGGACACAATAATCCCCTGTGGGCTGGTGTAGCCAGGAGGTTCCTACCAGTATAATTGTCGGAATTATGAATGGGTCGTAAACAAGCTCCTTGCGCATCTCTGCTGTATAACATGTGTTCTGCTTTCTTTGCAGATGTCGTTCCAGAATGCTCACAGTGCCGGCTTCTATGAGAGCCACTGACGGCGGCACAAGTTGGTGTCGAGCCCAGCGGATCTGGGTGTTGACAAGCAATTGCGCCTGTCGTCAGCAGCTTATGGATTGGTCAGAAGAAAAGGAGACTACTAAACTGGAGTGTGGGCCTAAAGGTCATTTAATATGACCATTGTATTCGAAACTGTACGTGGTATATGTTGGTCTTGCACTACCTGTTCTTATATAATCCAACAATTTCTGGTTCATGTGTTATGGACATATGCCTTTTTAGCTCAGCACACATTGTTTGATATTATGGTACAAACTAGTGTTAATTATTATTTTGATACACATGCTCCTGGTTCCAGAAGGGGGGTCATGATATTGTTGTTCTTGAAAATACATGCCACATTAGTGTCTCGTGTTGAGATGTGGTTTGGATATGAAGCTGTGATACAGTTGTCCTTGAAATACCAGGCCAATTAATGAGTAGGATGCACTGGTAAATCCATGAAGAGCAAATTTAGCCCATCTACAGCTTGAAATGTTATTTATATTACCTTTATATATTATGAAAGCCATATAATTTCTATTAAATATCTGTCACATTTTCCTTGAATTTATTTTTGTTTTGGCTGACAAAAATCTAGGTCACATTTAATGAAAAAAATGTTGATAATACCACAGGAGCTTCATCGTGGGAACTTTTTGCCAGTATCAAAGTATGAAAAATAATAGGTTTTACCCTCTCTGGCAATAAAGTGGTTAAGATGTTCAGACACCCAATAGATACCTTTTTAAAGTATCGAAGACTGCATATATTATCCGAGTTTGTTTGCATGTTCACCACAAGTACGTGTGGTTAATGCAGACTTGCATCCTTTGGTGTTTGAACATCTTAACACCCGTTTTATTGCCAGAAAGGGTAAAACCTCTTGGTTTTTTCACTCACAAAGCTGGCAAAACCGTTCTTTCACAATTGTAAACAGGCTATTCTTAGCCATAGTATGATTGGCAAAAAAATCTCATTTGACCTGTGATGGAATGGCTTTTAATTATGTGGCCAAGGAAGAAATCAAAGAAGTAAAATTTTCCTTTTGATGTCGCAGCCTGTTTTACCTTTGAAAAAAATGTATGACGATACAAAGCACCACGTTGGAACGGCGTCATATTTGGGGTGGAGCACCCAGTTCCAACCTCACTCTAGTACTTGATTTATCGAATCCAACGTAGAACAGGTTGATCCAAGTCACTGATTCACTCCAGTCACTTGGTGGTAGTCTTCTTTTAATTTCTATCGCAACTACCATGGCTACTAGTCCCATGAATATGACTCATTGATTCCTCCACCCATGTTGAAGATTCGATCTACCTGGCTGTCTGGTCCACCTCATCCATGCTGTGTTCAACCATCATATACTGCAGGTTAAAACATTTATTTTTGCTTTTTTTCTACACAAGTGGTTGACTTGGGAATTCCCTCTCATAGTCTTTTCCCCCCAAGTAATTTTAACCTTGCTCAATACAAGAAATGTATTGGGCATATCCTCCCAGGTTATTTCAAGGACACACTGTTTTGGAATTAAAGTACTGAAACAACAAAATGGTAATATAACTAATAGGCACTCACGTGCCTTGAGATACAAAATGTATTTAGACAGTTTATACTTCCAAATTTTATAGTGTTCTGTTACAAATGTTTTTAGAAAAAATGTGCATTTTAACTATACTATTATAACATTGGCTACACAAATCATCTGTAGGGAGCATCTGTACAGCCACTAAATCAATTTTGGATTTTATTAATCATTAGTCTGGACATGTTTGTACATTATTTTCATATGTATATAAAAGAAAGTGTAGGAAACGTTAGATTGAATATTAACAAAAATATTTTAAAAAGTAACATTGAAATTTGACAATTGATCCGATCCAATTTCACAAAATGCATATGTAGCAAATTAACTTTGGGTCGAGTCGTGAATATGGTGGCCTTGATGTTATAAACATTGAGAATGAAAATATATCCATTGTCTGTTTTATAGAATATACCCTTGGATTTATTTTGATCACTAGTTCATTAGTGCCTGATATGAAAGTCCTATTATATTTTTTTCTTCTGGGTTCTTTCTGTAAAGTCACGTAGAAAAAATAAAATCATGTTATATTGTGCAACGGTTTACTAGCAGTATACTGTAATTTGTGTTATTGGAACTCATTGTTTTCTATCACGATTGCCACTGGCTACAAGGTATCACCTTTTCAATCTCATGTCATGGGTTTTTCTTACTTATCACTGATTTTACATGCTCATCAATGGCATTTTAGCTCACATGCATATCCGGCACTTGCTTGCATTGCTTAAGTAGCATTGCTTATTGTAACATAGGAGAATTATGTTGTTAAATGACACTACAATGGCAGACGAGTCGCCCTACACGTTCAAATAACTAAATGGATTATTTTGCAGACAAAAGACAACCATAAATGGGCTTTGTGAATCTGTGACAGCGTTGCATAAATACAACACACAACGGCTACAGCTTTTGGATTGGTGTGGCTTTTCAGCTGTATCTGGTGTATCCTTTGGTGTGTTTCCGGTCTATGGAAGTGTTTCTGCAGAGGTTAAGACCTCATTGCATTATAAAGTAAATAATAGCACATCTGTATTTGCTAAATTATACATAGCATTTTATTCATGGTTATAGTCCTGAAAAGTTTAACGAACTTGCATTGTCTAAAACGCGACATTAAACTTTCATGGTTTCATTGATATTAACCGTCAAAATTTAGCAACCTAAAAAAATATAGACAACTGTAAATCACACTCAGATACTGTAGCTTTTAAGTAAATGTAACACTAACTTCCCCTCATAAGACATTTCCATCATTTGGGGAAAATATGGTTACCTCTGATTCCCAAATAGATGAGCTGTTTCATGAATCAACTGAAAATGTGCAGCATATCGAATGGAAGTCTACATTTATACATTGTTCCTGCTTTTTTTTGCTTATTCTGACTAAAACAAAAGTAATCTACATACATCTATCTTTAATCTCATTGTTATAGGTGGTATACTGATAGATGTGCTTCAGGTCTTGCTTGTTGTTTGCGTTCAGAAACTACCAAAGGCCTTGGATGTTGCTGCTAGATTTCCCAAGGTTAGTCTAGGAAGCTTGTTCTCTTGTTGCAGTGCAGTGTGGTTAAGGTGTTCAGCCATATGCCAGAGTTCTCGCCTGCTTGAGAAAAATGCACCACCTTATAATTTTTAGAATAGATGCATTTTTTTGGCATAGCATAACAGTGTTACGTTATGGAACAGTCGTTTTAGTTTCCAGTGAGAGTTTCAAATCCGTAATTTTTCCGGGTGCACTGAACTCCCTCGTGAACCTTGCTCCAATTAATCTTGTCAAATGCATCCGGAACCAGAAACTATTACACCTGGTTTTTGCACATGAGATGATGTTTCATATTGTAGTGTTGAATGTACATAAAGCTGAAGTTGGCACTGCTTTGGAGAATGCATATTTGAATTTTAAAGCTGAAAACATCACTTGTTATGAGGTTTAAAAAAAAAAACTTGCCTAATCCTTTCCATCGGAAGGGAAACTTTCAAGTATAATTATGGTGAAAGGATTACGTTATTTAGTGAGGTAGCAGTGTACTGTAAAATTAAACTAAATTCATTGATTTATCAACCAATAGTTTTAAAGTAAGTTATTAGTGGCAAGGTTTGATTTGACATTTACAAATAATGCTTTGCCATGTTTTGCTGCTATATGATATGGAAACAATAGGATCTGCTTTGATAAGATCTATAAATTTACCTTTACCTGGGGTCATTGCCAAATAACAGTGAATTGGCAAGGGAAACACTCGAATAGCATTGTCCTGATGCTTTAGAATTCGTATTAATGTAGAATTGTGATCGTTTTAAATGTAAGCATTTATATAATACAGATACTCACATTTTAAACATGCCGTGCCATATAGAGTATATTGCATATTTGTCATTGTGCATTTAAGAAATTGTGGGTTTTTGTAATTTGCAGAAGCCTAATGCATCGTCACAAATTGAATAATTGGAAAACACTTTTTTCTCATGTACAAATATTTACCTGTGAAAGACATTGTTGGTTAAACATGACGTTCCATTATGGATTTAAACAATATATGTTGAACGTATGCATTTTTTTGCCGTAAATACAAATGAGATGCTTAGCTATTAATTGCTTTCAAATTGTCTTGTATGCAAGAAATAGGTCGTTCTGAAAGTGGAATGCAGCAAACGTCAGTCACTAATGATGGATGTTTATATGACTGCTTATCGATGCAGTTTGCAGCATATTCATCATTACAGAATTGTACTAACGTATATTCTTTGAGATCTGGGTGGATAATAAAGTAAACATTTACATGCACTAAAATTGATTTGGGTCTTTAAAAATGGTCAGTGTTTTAAACTCCATTTTTAAAGACTGTAAATATGAGTAATGGCATTCCTCCTGAATTACAATTGAATGCGCTGCAATTGCAAAATAATACAATCCGTTTTTTGTCATGAATATGAACTATTTCTCTAAATGGAAATGCTTAATAGACTTCATATGAAGTGTTTACAGATATTGGCAGGACAATCAAGTGGGAAATACATTTGGCCTGATTTACAATAACAGTTTCTTACAGTTGTGAAAACACCATAATGCGACAGAGCCTGTAAAAAATGTTAACAAAAATGTATTCATTAGAACCTGAACTTTTAAGTTTTGCAAATACTTTGTGGTAGGACTTATGGAATAGATTTGGGTCATGGTTTACGGAGCTGTTGCTGTATTACAATTTTACCAGTAGTTGCATCAACTGTAAGGTATAGGTTGAGTATGTGGACGATGCTCTGCATTTCATTTGTGGAGAACCTCAAACGTGCTCTGATCAAGCCTCCGATACGTACTGCCATTTTTGTACTTTTTAAAATAAAAAAAACATTGTATAGAATGCTGTTGTTTCTCTCGTGTATATGTAGGACCGTTATGTATTACAGAATGGACCCAGTGTTACCTCTGCCTAATGGAGGGTGCACTTACCCACGCATCGGTGTCAATTTATTTCCAGCGCTCACTACAGTAATATACACATTGTCTTGAACTATACTTACTAAGGCACGTTACATATCACCGATTCATGTTTCTCAAGCTCGTCAAGAGATTGGTCTTCCTACAACGGGTGGAGGAACGCGCGCAGGATATCTAGAATAGATACCACTGAATCATCCTCACAGACGTTGACATGTGGGACTCGGGTGTAACACAGTCCTCTCTCTGAATTATCAATGCAACACGTACCGGTGACAATTTGTTTTCATGGGCATGGTACACAGAGGACTGTCATCCCAACTTAGCAAATGCCTTTTGTAAGACGGTGCACACGCTTGACTTTAGCCAAACATTTTTGTGCGCAGCGGGAGACCGCGGAAAATTGACCTTTAAAGTGAAGTAAAAGCACCATTGTTCCATTGCATTGCACATTTGCAAAAACGCAATAACCATATCAATAGGTGGTACCTTATTTTGGAGCAGCTGAAATTGTATACGCCATCTGAACGAACTTTCTGTTTGTTAAAATACAGCTGCTTTATCTGTTCACTCGCATTTAATGTATGGTTGGGGCACACCGATTTACAAAACGTTAAGCGGCTTTACGGAACTGGTCTGTCTTGCGTTTTCAGGCACTGGTGCCTATATTGAGATCACCACAGCTTGCCACACCTCTCGTATCAATTTCAGGCCCTCTTGCTTTGTGCAGCCTCCGGATATTTTCTGTCAAGTGTGATGGACAAAGCGGTTCCTGTGCCCGACGACTGTCTGTCTTGTTTTGAACGGGGTTTAATTTCTCGCCCGTGGTTCGCTGGTCGACAGGCTGGGAGAGTAAGCCTACAGATAGGGCTAAGAGTAGCCGCAGGCAGAGAGAGAGAGAGATGGTGACAGAATATATTGATGAATAAATAAGCGTGATGTGAAGACCTTTGTGAGTGTATTTGATGAGACCGTTTGTAATGTCCTCCCAACTACTGTACCGTCACCATGCAATTTTATAACATTTTGTACAATCCCCTCCATTGCCTCAACTTTCTAAATCTAGTCTTTTTTTCTTCAGAAATTAAAGTACATGTATAGTTCAGTATTAACAACATGAAGGTGCAATTAACCTTATTTACTTATACATGCATTAAAAAAACACTTTTTTTAAATTAAATTTTTTGAAAATGCACTTTGGATTCGTTGAATGTAAAATAAAAAAAATATTTCAATTTTCTACCTACGTGACTTTACCGAAATAACCAAAGAGTATGGATTCCAGCAGTCACGAAAGCTTCAAATAAAGATTGTAAAAGGTATCTTTTACGTTTTGCTTTGTTCATAACATGGCTTGACGCGTAAATAGGCAGAGGTCACCCGTGCCAACGTCGGCACCTTTAATCTCGCATCCGTGCCAGAGTTTTGTTTGGCAGTCGGCTCAACTGCATCGCTTTGTCGTCCGTCGAACGGACCGTGGAGGGAGTGCAAGGAGCGGAGGTCGCCATCGATCGCCGTGGACGTTGTTGGGGTGACCCCATTGGTGGTGTGGCGGCGGTGAAGGTAGGAGGGGAGGTGGATGTCTATTGTCACGGTGGTTGTTGTGAATCCATTGTTGGTTGTTGGGGTGGTGACCCCATTGGTGGTGTGGTGGAGGTGAAGGTAGGAGGGGAGGTCGATGTCTATTGTCACGGTGGTTGTTGTGAATCCATTGTTGGTTGTTGGGGTGGTGACCCCATTGGTGGTGTGGTGGAGGTGAAGGTAGGAGGGGAGGTTGATGTCTATTGTCACGGTGGTTGTTGTGAATCCATTGTTGGTTGTTGGGGTGGTGACCCCATTGGTGGTGTGGTGGAGGTGAAGGTAGGAGGGGAGGTCGATGTCTATTGTCACGGTGGTTGTTGTGAATCCATTGTTGGTTGTTGGGGTGGTGACCCCATTGGTGGTGTGGTGGAGGTGAAGGTAGGAGGGGAGGTCGATGTCTATTGTCACGGTGGTTGTTGGGGTGAACCCATTGGTGGTGTAGTGGAGGTGAAGGCTGGAGGGGAGGTGGACAGCTGTAGTCACGGTCATTGTTTGGGTGACCCCATTGGTGGTGTGGTGGAGGTGAAGGTAGGAGGGGAGGTCGATGTCTGTAGTCACGGTGGTTGTTGTGAATCCATTGTTGGTTGTTGGGGTGACCGCATTGGTGGTGCGGTGGAGGTGACGGCAGAAGGGGAGGTCGATGTCTGTAGTCACGGTGGTTGTTGGGGTGACCCCATTGGTGGTGTTGTGGAGGTGACGGCAGAAGGGGAGGTCGATGTCTGTAGTCACGGTGGTTGTTGGGGTGACGAGGTCCATAGCCATGGTGATCGTCGTTGTTGTTGTTGTTGGCGTGAATCCGTTGGTGTGGCCGAGGTGGTGGATGCCGGGGTGGAGGGTGGCGGACATTGCCTTGACAGGCGTCTCCACTCCCATCCATTCTCATTTTCTGCAAAAGAAAACACAAAAAACGTGTGCGTCGTTCAACCTTCCAAGTTACGAAACAGTCATCGTTTTAATATAAGCTGGTCTGTTTTTTGTTTGTTTGTTAACGACGGTGGTAACGGCCAACAACTCGACTGGACTTACAATCAATCCAGAGGACCGCTGGCTAGATAGGGTTCGATTCGATCTCCGGGCGCGGCACTTCAACAAAAAGTGCTACGGTCCTAGGAACATCCCTCGCTCGCCTCTGTCCACCCAGGTGGCAGGCCACGTGTGTGGGGTTTACGGCCCCCCTGTTGGGGCAAGTGCTGTTAGCGAGTAGCACCTATATTCTTGGTTCTTTCGGTAATGTCACGTAGAAGGGAAGTAATAAAACAATAAAAAATACAATTATCACGACGTTTAGATTGCAACACAAGCAATCACCATCAGGTGTGAAAACCACAGCAAGACAATTTTGAACATTTTGAAAATTTCTTGTTGTGGATTTCACATCTGATTATGATTGCTTGTGTTGCAATCGAAACGTCGTGATAATTGTATTGTTTTATTTTTATTATTTCCCTTCTACGTGACTTTACCGTAGAATCCCTGCAGTCACGAAAGCTTTAAATCGAGTAGCACCTATTAAGGCCGGCATGGCACACGAGGGGGTGGGGGTGGCCAGCACCACGCCCGACCGCCTTTGTCTCCCCAGTGGAGATGTTTACTACAGACCGCACCAGGTACTCGTTTGAGGCTGAGTCGACCGAGGGGGGAGGACCAGGACTGGTTCAATTAATCGTCACTGGTGTTGGCCGTGAGCGGGATTCGAACCGGGTTCGTAACGCAACATAACTGGCCGCTGCACTACCGCTCCCCCAATGAGACTGTACGGGGGACCTTTGTCTTTGCTATACCCCTTACCTCTCTTCCACCGACACGTCCGGCCAGGGACTGTGGAAGAGTAGACCAAAGTAGCCCTCTTTACGGAGCTTTTCCCTCTCGTGGAAAGGGCCCTCTCTCTCTTACCGACGGCCGTTGCCTTTTAAACTGAACAAACGACGGCACGAAGATCCTCCGGGCAGCACGCGGTTATGGGGACCGTTGCCACCACCAAATGAACGGAGGATCGCCGTCACTTGACGTTCCGCTGGAAATCGACGGAGCGGTTTCCTCGCCCTTGTGAATTGGTCATTGATACACGGATCATGAAACAGATTATTGGGAATTGGTCATTGGTACACGGACCCTTAAACCGATTATTGGGAATTGACTTAAAGCTCTCGTGACTGCAGGATTGCATATTCTTTGGGTCTTTCGGTAAAGCTACGTGGCTTTACCGAAAAACACAAAGCATACGATTATTGGGAATTGGTCATTGGTACACGGACCCTTAAACCGATTATTGGGAATTGGTGGTTGATACACGGACCCTGAAACCGATTACCAATTTGCTGGGTATTGTTTAACAGGCCCAATGCACGGCAGTGGATCATTTATTATTTAAAAACGCCGGATAATCATGAAATCATTAATTGAAATACGTTATTTTTGCACAGTCTTGCATTACATTGTGTTTTTAGGTGTTGTTATATATATTTTTGTGTTTGAAGTTTGTATACTATATGAAATTGGCATAAATAAACATACAAATAGGCAAAACTAAATATCCTACTTTTAAAAAGTCACGGTATTTACTGTGCCGTGCTTACCACTCAAATCTCGAAGACTCTGCATGGGGTGATGTATATACGTGCAGTATATTCATTGTGTAAGTCGTTGTATGCAGTGTGTAATGTACTGTCAATAATATTTGACACTGAAATCAAGGTGCCCATAGCCGGACTGGTTACAGTCCAATGGAGCGATTTTGCCGGTTTCGCCGGATCGGCCCGGGACCGCCGGATAAATGTTGGAAGCAGCCGGATAATCGACGATTATATTGTACACGTATGCAGTGCCGGATTAAGCTAGTGCGGGGCCTGTAGCATATGTTATAAAGGGGCCATAAATAAAAAAAAACATGTAAACATTAAAACACATTTTTAACTTGCATAGTAAAGTAATTGTATTTTTTCATTTGCAATACAGCCAGATAATACGACAAATCGCTAACCTTAAACACCAAGTCGTTCATAAAAGTTGAAGGCGGTATAGTACTATAGCAATAGAGCAAGTGCAGAATCACTGAACCGGAATTGATAGCTTGAAAGCATTTAGCGCGGGGCCCTTGAAAGTGCGGGCCCGTAGCTACATTGGTAAAAAGTAGCTACATATGTAGCTACTTTTGCTACAGTGATAATCCGGCACTGCGCTAATGTACATAGACAACACTAAGCCAGCCCAGTAAAACACGACCCGTTTGTCTAACCTAGGTCCGTCCAATGGTGCCAACCCACATGCCCATGTCGGCCCAACGTCGGGAGCCTCTACCGGGGAGGTGACCGATCGCTCTCGGAAGGTTGTAAGTTAAAATCCTGGTTTGTGGGTGTTTCCCCAGCTCATCATACGTCGATGCAATGACTCCCACGGTGCGGGGAAGTCACAATAGCCCACGTGTATGTGTGTTGAACTTTTTTCGCACCTATGGATAGATTCACCCCTTGGCACAGCAATGCGATTTTTTTTTTACCCACTGGCTTAGGGCTGTAGACGGGAGATAAGCAGCATTTTGACAATGAGGCTATTTTAGTAACATTTATTTGCAAAAAAGAATGCGGACTCAAACATCTGCTTCATTTAAAGTCTGACGTTTTGAGAAGTTGGACGATTATAATTTGCATGCAATGACGTGCGCTCGGGATGTAGGATTTGGTTGAACTAAGCACAGCACATGCAGAAAAGCCCCCCCCCCCCCCAAAGGGGTTGAAACATCACCCAATGATACGCTCTCCAAATTTAAAGGGGGCGAAATGCTACCGTAGTCGGCAGGACTCAAACCTGTGCGGGGAGAACCACCCAATGGATTATCTAGTCCATCGCCTTAACCGTTCGGCCACGACTACCCACACTTTACATGATGTCTTCATAATACACACACTCAGATAGCTGTCAACCCATACGGGTTATACGTATTCTTGTAAAGGCACGTTGAATTTTCAGGTCCAGACGGCGTACAGCCGTTTCGATACGGGCAAATACATGTTTTTGTCTATATTTGTTTCTCCCTTGTAATGGGACTTTGTAGGATGAACGTTGAGATTTATAAGGGCACTGGGTGACTAATACGTTCTGAATTGGTCTGTACTAAGGTAGGGTACTGATATGGGGTTGACAGGCATGCACTCACAAAAAGGCTTCTTGAACAGCACAACAGGAATCCCACTGCTGTGCATGTCATGATGGCATCACCATTCTTGCACACATTTTGCACACAGCCTTGTGATTACTATCATAATCAAGTGCCAGGATTGTGGCATTAAAATTTAAGGAACAAAGCACAAGATTTTTTTTTTCCTTCCAATGTCATGTTTATTGGAAATCATCAGCACAGTCACTCTTCTAGTCCATCGCCTTTACCGCTCGGCCACGACTACCCACACTTGACGCGATGTCTTCATAATATACACACACACACTCACAAAAGGGTTTCTTAAACAGCACAACAGGAATCCTTTTTGCTGTCCATGTCATGATGGCATCACCATTCTTGCACACATTTTGCCCACAGCCTTGCGATGACTATCATAATCATTGTGCCAGGATTGCGGCATTTTAATTTAAGGAACAAAGTACGTTTGTTTTCTTCCAGTTCCATGTTTATTGGAGATCACCAACACAGAGCAGAGTCACAATTGTCTATTGCTGATGTTTGTGCCTGACGGACTCATATTGCCCATAGTATGTTGGAGTTAAATGTTCGCATTTATAGTTAAAATAATTTGCATGTGTAAAAGACAACGATAGGCAAAACGCCATCGGTGCCACATTATTTGGTGATGCTGCTGCTGTTGCGATGGCAGTGGTGCGCAGGCGAAATAACAAAATAAATTCAACGTATTCGTCAATAACACATACACCATAGAGTAAGCCACCGTAGTCTGCGATAATACGAGGGAGGAATCGTAAACATACACAAACTCTCTCCTAAAGTCATATCCTGGCCAGCAGATATCGATATTGGCATTCAGCTACTGAACACATTGCTGTCACAACACGCAAGAACAGAATAGGTCAGGCTTGGAACAAACACGAGTCGTGGCTGAGTGCTGGATAATATTTGGTCTGGTGAAGGCCAATAATAAATAGGGAGATGTGACTTAAAGCATAATACAGGGGTGGTCCAGATGTCTTGTGACCCCCAATTAATTGACCCCCCCTCCCTCCCTAACATTTTTTTCCTTTGCTTATTAATTTCTAAACTTAAAAGGATGACGTTTTCCGAGAATTAAATTAAGGGTGGAGTGGGTCAGGAGACATCTGGGATCCACCCTGTACATTTATGTCACACTTCGCCAAAGTGCAGCGCAGGGTCCTGGACAGCAGAGGATGGTACAGACCAAACAAAATAAAATCCACGCTCCCCACCGTCCACGGCTCTCGTCCTCGCCTCCTTCGCCAAGCCCCAAGCCCCGCCAACCAACAAGCGAGACGACGAATGTTGACGGTTCAATGTTACGACCCGCACGGCGTGGCTTGGATGGCCCTCATCCAGCAGTGGATCGATAACGGCGCTGTTGTGCAACAGGCCCAGTTGGCCAGGGGATCAGCTGGCAGATAGATCAGCTGGCAGCGCACGTGTCGCTTGGATGTTTATAACTGCGGCAAGGAGGAATCCGATGAGCTATAAAGCTCCCTTTTTGTTTGTTTGTTACCGATGTCCAGTTAAGTGGCGCGGTGGGTAAGAACGTTACAACAAGTAATAATAGGGGTTTCCCCCCTTTTTTTCTGGCAACAAAACTGAAATACCTGCAGTCAATACCTGCAGGTATTGTGGTTAATACCTGCAGGTATTGACTTGCAGGTATTGTGGTTAATGCAGACATGAATCCATGTAAAAAGGTTTAAGTTTTGTTTGCCAGAAAAAAGGGGAAAACCCCTATTATTACATTTTGGTGCTGGCAAAGGAGGTCTAATGATGTAGATGCTCACCCCGAGCCCTCATTACTTTAATAGTGGCATTGTATTTGAGCTGTGACGCCTTTTGGCGTCTTGTGGTCGAGCACCAATTTGGGTCGAGGCTCAAAAGAAAGCGGTCCCTTGGTGTGGACCAATCAGTATCAAGGACAATGCATATATTATCATAGTATGTTTTTTGTTTGCATTTTGACTGCAGGTATTGTGGTTAATGCAGACATGAATCCTCGTAAAAAGGTTTCAGTTTTGTTTGCCAGAAAAAAAAGGGGAAAAACCATATTATTACATTTTGGCACTGGCAAAGGAGGTCTAACGTTACAACAATAAAACAATATAAAAACATGGAGTGCAAAGTATAGTAAAGTTAAACAAATGACTTTTTAAGAGAAAAACTGTACAAGCAAAATCTCGATTTTTTTAAGCTTTCGTGACTACAGGAATCCATTCTCTTTGGTTCTTTCGGTAAAGTCACGTAGGTTAGAAAAATAATTATTGATCACGACGTTCCGATCGCCACACAAGCAATCGTCCTCAGGTGTTACTTTATCGAAAGAACCAAAGAATATACAAGCAAAACTAAACTATATATATTTTTTTTATTTAAAGCTTTCGTGACTGCAGGGATTCATATTCTTGGTTCTTTCGGTAAAGTCACCACGTAGAAGGGAAACAATAAAATAATAAATATATGAAACATAAAAAATATAAAACAATAAAATTATCACGACGTTTCGACCGCAAAACAAGCAATCATCATCAGGTGTGAAAACCAGAGCAAGAAAATTTGAATCTTTTTTCAAATTTTCTTTATTCAAAATTTCTTGCTGTAGTTTTCACACCTGATGATGATTGCTTGTGTTGCAGTCGAAACGTCGTGATAATTTTATTGTTTCATATTTTTATTATTTTATTGTTTCCCTTCTACGTGACTTTATCGAAAGAACCAAGAATATATTGTTTTATCTTACCACGTAGAAGGGAAATAATAATACAAATAAAACAATAAAATTCTCACGACGTTTCGGCCACAACGCAAGCAGCCGTCCTCAGGTGAAGAACAGAGCTGAGGACGGCTGCTTGCGTTGTGGCCGAAACGTCGTGAGAATTTTACTGTATTATTCTGTATTATTTTATTATTTCCCTTATACGTTACTTTACCGAAAGAACCAAGAATATAAATCCATGCAGTCACGATTGCTTTAAATCGAAATTTAATTCGTAATCTGACACCCGAAAGAATCCACAACGCGAAAACGCGGAACCACACCGAGTGGCCGTCGCCGCTCGCCGTACCGCCGCGACTACGGGAAGACGGCTGGGGCTCAATCTCCGCGTTTGTAAACTCGCGATCCTGCACGAGAGGGAACCCCCATTGGGTTTGATGGTCTAAGTCTCTAAGACGACGGTGGTGGTGGATGGTCATGTTGATGGTGATGGCGGTGATTATGATGATGATGCGTAAGGAGAACGTGCGTCTCGCTGTTCTCGTCGCCTCCTTTCACGCCGCCAGAGGCCAAGGCCACGGTGCGTTCTGCACACGTGCACGACACATCTCGATCTGTTATTTTATTGTTATTTTATTTTTTACCTACGTGACTTTACCCAATAGAACCAAAGAGTACATCTAGATCTGTTCCATGTCATCTCTTTCAAACCTCCAAAGCCTCACCCACCGCCGCCTCCTCATCCTCTAGCTACTCATCTCTCCTAATTGTACACCGACATCTCATCAGCAGCTCCACTTTCACGGTCTCCCATCGATCCGCATCATCTCCTGTGATTTGCGATAAACACCTCCGCACCGGACATCTCCACCTCCCTTCCCGACTGCACAATCTCCCCCCCCCCACCCCTCATGTCTCCTCGAGTGTTTGATTTCTTCCGAGGCTCCTTAACGTGCCATTGTCATCTGTGAAATCGACTTTTTTCAGTCTTTTGCATCGACAAAACATGCAGCTCTGTTGTCTCCTGCATCTCCGTCAAATTCCCATCAAATGTCAACTACCTCGCCCGGTGTACAAGACGTCGTGGGTTCGAACCCTGACGCCTGCTGCTGTATGTTGGGAATGTGGGAATAGGATGTACCCTTTCTGGCAATAAAACAGGAGGTGTTAAGATGTTAAAACACCAAACTGAAACATTTGGCAAGGAATCATGTCTGCATTAACCCACACATTGTTATTATTTTGTCATGATTTTTTCTTTCTACGTGACTTTACCGAATGAACCATAGAATATGGATTCCTGCAGTCACGAAAGTTTTAAGTCAAAATTTAACCACATATGCTTGTGGTGAACATAAAAAAAATCATTCTCTGGTAGGAAATGATGCATTATCATGGGACCTCCTTTGCCAGTGCCAAAATATAAGAATAGTTTTTCCCATTTTTTTCTGGCAACAAAACAGGTGTTAAGGTGTTAAAACACCAAACTGAAACCTTTTGCAATGAATCATGTCTGCATTAACCACATATACTTGTGGTGAAAATGCAAACAAAAAACATGCTCTGACAGTATATGCATTGTCTTTGAAATTGATTGGTCCACACCAGAGACAACTTTCTTTAGAGCCTAATCTCAGTGTGAGACCAGAGGACGCCAAAAGGCGAACAGCACAAAGACAATGCCACTATCAGAGTAATGAGAGCTCGGGGTGAGCATCTACATCATGGGACCTCCTTTGCCAGTGTCAAACTTTAAGAATAGGTTTTCCCCTTTTTTCTGGCAACAAAACAGGTGTTCAGATGTTAAAACACCAAACTGAAACTTTTAGGCAAGGAATCATGTCTCAACACGTCTGCATTAACCACAGATACCTGTGGTGAAAATACAAACAAAAACATGCTCTGACAGTATATGCATTGTCTTTGAAACTGATTGGTCCACAAAGTCAATGCATATACTGTCAGAGCATGTTTTTTTGTTTGTATTTTCACCACAAGTATCTGTAGTTAGTGCAGACATGATTCCTTGCAAAAGATTTCAGTTTGGTGTTTTAACATCTGAACACCTGTTTTATTGCCAGAAAAAAGGGGAAAACCTATCCTCATTTTGGCACTGGCAAAGGAGGTCCCATGATGGAGCTGCTCACCCCGAGCCCTCATTACTCTGATAGCGGCATTGTCTTTGTGCTGTTCGCCTTTTGGTGTTTTTTGGTCTGACACCTTTTGAGACGAGGCTCGAAAGAAAGCTGCCTCTGGTTTGGTGACCAATTAATTTCAAAGACAATGCATATACTGTCAGAGCATGTTTTTTGTTTGCATTTTCACCACAAGTATCTGTGGTTAATGCAGACATGATTTCTTGCAAAAGGTTTCTGTATGGTGTTTTAACATCTTAACACCTGTTTTATTGCCAGAAAGGGTAAAACCGATTCTTATATTTTGATATACTTACAAGGGGGGAGTCCCATGATGTATATTTGGAGTTTGCGTGTCTATATCTCTCTCCCCGTGTTCACGTGGATTTTTCTCCGGGTCCTCCGGTTTTTCCCCTCCACATTTGGAAACATGCATTTAAAGTATTAGGCTGCTAAAAATTTCGGCAAGATAAGTCTTTGACATGCATTCCATCATAATTTCCACTGCCAGGCACTCCACTATGTCATTGGAACCGTAAGAATCAGTAATATCACCATTATGATCTTGCCTCCTTGGGCTGCTAAAAATGAGTCCACCTGCTCAGGCTGGTCAGAAGTGAAGTTGTCCTATTGTTCAGTCGTCTGGTCTCTGCCACAAGAATGTGGAATTTCCACAATTGCCCCCCCCTCTCGGAGCTGTCAATAGAATTGAGTACAGTGTTGCGCCATACTTCTGTGAGCCACTGGGTGGCAGTCACGAGTGACTGCGCCATTGGCATCACTCCATTGTTTGACTTTCGGATTTAAATGTACACGTGTCAAAGTTACCATCAATGACTTCTCCTGCCGCACCTCTCCCTTTACCACAGATATAGTGCATGTAAAGATCTGATACTTGCATTGTATTTGCACTGTTTGCCTTTTGTCTTTCTATGGTCTAAAACTGGTAAGACAAGGCCATAAAAAGGGAAGTATCTGGTGTAGACAATCAGTTCAAAGACAATGCATATATTATCAGAGATATTTGCATGTTTTACCACAAGTATGTGCGGTTAATGCAGACTTGATGTCTTTAAAAAGGTATCTATTTGGTGTTTGAACATCTTATCGCATCTTTTATTACTAGAAAGGTTAAAACCTATAATTTTTCATCATTTTGGATACTGGCAAAATGTCCCTTAGATATGGTAGTCCTTTTTCTGCACATATGTAAACCCAGGTTTCCTTTAAAGTGACACTCCTGGTCGTAATGGATTCTTACTTGATTATAATTAAGATAATACATTTGTCAAATAATTCCTTAAAATGGATTACATTTTACAACAATTTGAGATCATCAGCCATGAGATATCTACTGATAGCTGAAGGCTACCCCGTCCCATCACCATCCCCCATGGATTCCGGATATCCTCATGGCAGATGGTGTTTCCTTGTAAACGTCGACGCGAGCTGGACATTGCTGGTTGTGTTTGGTGATGACCTGGGTTGCTTGTAGCTGCAGGAGGAGCAGGTGAGCTTTGGGACAAGCTGGCGCTGTGGCTGGGCTCTGAGAGGCACTTGCGCTTCTGCCTCTGCACCGTGCTGCTCGCCACCCTGGTGCTGTGCGCCGTGGTGCGGCACGTACAGGTGCGCACTGGCACGCACACACGCACACACACACACACGCGCGCACACGCGCACAGCCGTTACTCTTCAGTGCCCACACTGTGGGTGGGAACCTTTTCCCTACTGAGGGCTGAATATGACTTTTATCTTTGGTAGACAGCCGCACGTTGGTTGACACTAAACTTTGATCACACGAGGACTGTACGCTTTGGCTGCATGCTCAGAACTACTTGCAAGAGAATAAGTGACTGAGGTTGCTCAAATTAGAAACACAGTATCGCCAGGTTGAAAATATTTTCCCCTTAAGATCCAATTAGTGCATCTAACTAAGGTGTTTTCAGTACTCTTTGGTCCTTTTGGTAAAGTCACGTAGGTAGAAAAAATAATGATCACGACGTTTCGATCGCAACACAAGCAATCGTCATCAGGTGAGACAACTACAGCAAGAAAACTGCTGAAGTAGCAGTTTTCGTCGTGACCTATTATTATTTTTCTGGCTACGTGACTTTTACCGAAAGAGCCAAAGAGTGTGTTTTCAGCAGCCTGATGCTGTTAGGTCTGAGGCAGCTGAGAGGCAGCGAGGTGCGATTTGTCTCTGCAGAGGAAGCCGCAGGACACCGGGCCTTCGCCTGGGGCCACCGTCTCACCGAAAGTGGCCGTCGTGGGGAACGGCCACATCGCCACGGGTGGTCCAGATCCCCACAGCGGGCCTGTCCACGTCTACTTTGGCTCTCAAACAGGCACAGCCAAGGTACTTGCAGGGGGGCCCCCCGACAGCGCTGTGGCCAGAATCACAAGGGGAGGTGGGGGGGGGGCAGGGTTTGATGGAGCTCCGTCCGTAGCCCTGTCTCCCCTTGAGCTCGTCGCTGTGCTGGATTGGGGTGAGCTTGGGTAAAGCCGTGACCTTGTGGAAGCGGCATGCGCAGATTAAACGCGTCTGGCATGAAATGTGGCTCCTGCTTACGCTGTGCGTGTCTCGCGTTGATCGTCCCTGAAAGCTTGAGCTCCTCCTCGGAGATGGACTGACTGCGTGTTCCCGTGCTGATTGTGCCTGTCTCCGACGCATCGATTTACCCAGCTGGCTGAGAATTATTTGTGTGTGAAATGACCAAAGAGCGTGGGCCGCTGTAAGAGAGGAGATGAAAGACATTTTTCACTAAGTGAAGTAAACATGTTGGTGTCATAGCCCAAACCCAAACTTATCAATTATCCACAGCTGCAAAGTGTTAAAAAAAAATTTCTTCCCCAAAAACCTCGCTGAACCACGACTTTCAAGAGAATCCTGCTGGGGATGTTTTTGGCAAGTTACGTGTCCAGAATTTGCATGTGCGAGGAAACTGGCAATTCTGGAGAAAAACCTCTACCTATATATTTTGGAGAACAAAAAAAAATAATGACATGTAGGTCATTATTATTTGCTGTACTGCCACCAGTGGGCACCCTGCTGTCCCAACAGATTGATGCCTCCGACATGAACACTGTATGGTCCAGCTCATGTGCAACACTGGCACTGTCACTACATAACTTTGGTTGTGTCCCTTGAAAAGGCATTAAAGCTAGTGGGTTCTCACGTGCTCAAAGAACACGTATTGACTGGGTGCGTTGTGGCAGGTGGCAGCTGCACCGATATACAGATGGATAGGGGTGAATACAGTCAGCCAGGCAGGCAGATGAATGGAAATTATGCAGCCGTCGCCTGCTCACGAAGTGTTACTCGCGGCACCAATTAGGTCCCGTATTGACAGCGTTTCGGAACGCACCCTAATTCTGGAGGAGATTAAGTATTGATGAATCCGTTACGGTGAGTCAAGGCGCATGCTCGCTGCCACGCTCGGTGTGCGTCGGACGAGGCAGTTGGTGGCGCCCACCGATTACGGCCTAGATTTGATTGGCGCTGGGAGGTGACACCTTCACTTCAGATTTAGTTTGAGATTGCGACCCTAGTGTGGGCACAGAGGTCTATTGAGGTGACTTCAGAAGTAGTTCTGTGATGCCAACATTCAGGGCTGTTTGTTTTGACACCGGGCTGACTTGCGAGTATTCAGAATATTCGAATCGTGCTCGTGGTGACATGACACCGATAGCACAGTTGGAATACAGTCGATAGCACAGTTGGAATACAGTCGTAGAAGAGGCAAGGCGAATGCTGCGGTGGTGGTGCACGCCTGTAATCTAGCACTGTGGAAGCGAGGGTTGGTTGATCGCACTAACGTTGTCAAGCTCGCTTCCCATGGACGTCGAGGAGGTGTGGGGAGTGTCCTCGTTTAAACTAAAGCAGGTGAGAGCCCGGGTGACACAAGGATGAAGTGTATCTACATATGTTAAACTTCTTTCGCACCGTATGCAGCCAACCGTGCTAATCACATGTGCGGGAAGTGGACCCATTGGTGTCTCCAAACAATTGCTCTAAATGAATCACTGCTTCTAGAAAATAAGAAAGGCTCGCGTTGTGCAGCTGTTAGCACGACAGCAATGATAGAGATGCGTACAAATGTAGTGACAAGGGAATAGTTATATATATACTTTTTGAAAACTAAGCTTCTCTCGATAACGACACACGAACTTAGTTACAGCCACTCTGGGTATTGTCCATTGCTTACTGCTTGCTTGCGCACGCATATCGATCCATTGACGCTCTTGGCATGGGGCACTGTTGGCAAGCACAAATACAGGGCAGTGGGCTGGCGATTTGTCAAAACACGGAACCGTTGGCAATATAATGACTGCAAATAAAATATTGCTTCAAGAAAATAAATGGATCCGTGTTGAACGGCAGTGAATAACAACGCACACACGTTTACTCAAAAGTGGTAATGCAAGGATGTGAACCTATAATATATCAGGTGTTGGTTGGCTCATTATCCTGGCGAAGGTAGTTTCTCTCTGAGCCCTTTGGTCATGTAATGTGGTTAGACGTCTCCTTAGAGGTGCCGATGCTTTTACCAACTAACAAACAACGGCCTGTTTCACCACGTCAAACATTTTGGTTCATCCGCCTATTTGGCCATCTGGACCAATGCATTCCAGTAGCGTGTCTTTAAAGCGGACACATGGTGGACTGTTTTTTTTTTACTTTCTGAGTTCCCATCAGTAGATTGTGACTTGTGTAACACATTGTTCTGGGTCACTTTATGTCATCGGCAAGAGCCCTACACAAACACCGTTCTGGTTTACAGTTATTTGCGCCGCACCTGTAGCTGACAGCAGAGGCACACTTGGTTAGCAATTGTAGACGATGTTTATATTAAGTGTAGCGGAATTTCTATGCTGATGATATTGCTGGCCAGGGGATTCTGTAAACGACTTGACTGCTTCTGCATAGTACTGAGCAAATATTTTTTCGTCACAATGTTTAATATTTTTTTTACCAAGCACTCAATCATACTGCATTTGCGATGTTGTGGCCATAGGCCGCTTTGAGCGTTGAATGCGCGAGCCATGGCACGACCCGTTGTTTGACCTCAGCTATTCGAGCGATCATATTATTGATTCAATGAAGCTGTAGAACGCATATCTGCTCATGCACACATAAATCATGTTTTCTCATGACAAATACCTGTGATCCTGTAGTCAATTCTTGAACACAGAGACCGGGTTTGATTGCTGGCCACGGCTAACTGAGAACCAGTCCCCAGGTCTCCCTTACTTAGGTCGAATCAGCTTCAAATAAGTTTTCGGCATGGTCTGTAAACATCAGCACCGGGGAGTAAAACGGTGGCTGGTAGTGGCACTGCCAATCTACCCCATCATGTGCCATGCTGGCCTTCATAGACACAGTACAATACTTGCTAACAGCAATCACTCGAAGCAGTCTGTGTGACTGTGCGGGGGGATCTTTGTGCTTGTGCGCTGGGACGCCGTGCGTGAATTCCGTTTTTGTAAATGTGTTTTTATTTCAGTCCCTTCTTGTTCCTTCCGGCGTCTTGTCTCATTCATCTCGTCTCCGCTGGCTGTTCTTGTCATTTAATGCGACGTCTCGCCTTCTCCATCCTGGCCTCTAACCCGTGTGTTTTGTTTTTTTGCCGTGTGGCGTTAAACCGTGGCTCGGCACTGAAGGCTCGCTAATTCATAGGCCCCAGCTGTTAGGATGGGGACACTGTCAGCTTTCGCACAACTTCGGTATGTCATACATGCGAAGTGTTGCCCGTTTGCATTTGTTGTTAATTCGTCAGGGTTGACACACAGTTGATATATTAGGATAACATCATGAGCCCCTGAAAGATAATATTTTTTTTAAGTGCTACAGATGGGGTCCTTACACTGAAGTACAGGTGTTGCCGTTCCTTTGGTGTCTCATTCCGTTTGTACTTTCTGAAATGCGTTTGACATACGGTGCTCGATTGAGTCTCTATTTTTTTTAAATGCCCACCCGTTTGCAATCCATTGACTGTTTAACTTAAAGTCGTGTTTTCATGGGTGTGTTTTCTTATTTTGATATTGTAAGTTATGATTTATGTGTTTAAATTACTTTATTGCGCAATACACCTAGGTTTATGATAACCTTACATAACTTGTTTGCATGTATCAACTCTCCGTTTTTTACTTCTATGGCCATCGTGGCCGGGTCGACCTTGTGAAAAGTAGGCTCAAGTTCTTATTTGGGAAAATGAATTCCTGGACCTTATGATGTTATTGATTGGGGTTGTTTTGTTCAGTCCACTGCCGACAGATTAGTGTCACTGCAGCAACATTTTGCTTAATATGCTTCGACATTTTAGATTTTTTTTCTTGGAAAAATAAAACCACCAATACTTTTATAGGGTTTATTATTTATTTTCAAATACACTTGTCCCCTATTGAGTGGTTAAATCAGAAGGACAAAAAAAGAGCAGGAGGAGGGAAGTGTGATATTGCAGTGCTGTAATTTGGACACAAAGAGTGTCCCCTGGTATTTTAAATGCTTCAGCAACAATGCGTGAGCTGTGAATTGTGCTGGCAGTGGTGTCTGCGATGTTTACTGTGAATAGACTCAGCCTGCACTTTTATAAAAGCACAGAGCAGGAGGCATTTACAAGAGCAGCTTTAAGTCACAGGCAGCAAGATCAGTGCGCGTAGACACGTGCGCGCGTAGGCACATGAACCCACGTTTGCATAGCCATGTGAACGCATGCGTGCGTAGCCACGTGAACCAATCGGAACTGTGGCGAAGGACAGCAAAGTAAACATTAATCTGAGAATATGCAGTGCGTGCTACCGGTTCGTTTAGTAACTAATTGCCGCGTTTTGTTTGCACGAGAAACCTTACGAATTGGCCATGTCGGGTGGTGGTGGGTAAACGACACATTTATATTTACGCGATCTAACAATGAAAAATCTACCTTTACTGTAAACTGTAAATCCTGCTCTGCTTTTCCCCACGTCCATAAATTAGTTGTTGGGGGGGGGCGCCTTGCACTCCATGTCGCGGTGCAGGCTTGTGCGGGACCCGCCGACCCTGACGAATCGCGGTGATCCGGTGCGTTGATGCGAGACGATGGCTGAGCGCTGCTGCCACTAGCACATGGCACTCGTCCGTTGCGAACGTGTCTCCGCCTTGACTCGGCACTGCGGCCCTATTGATTATTGTTATTATTATCCACGTGTCTTTGATTATTGTTATTGTTATTATTATCCACGTGTCAATATTCGCGTCATTTGAAAAGTGTGCACCGAGCAAGCGACGTGTGGTTTTACGCTTTGCAGGTGCCCCGGGGCGTACAGACTGAGGCTTCTGGGATTGGAGGGTGAAGATGTGTCTGGCAACTGTGCAGCACGTTACCCGTGGGAGTCGTGGTGCAATTATAAGAAGCACTGTGCTATGAGTTTTTGGTGCTTTTGCAGCGATGTAATTGGGAAAGATGGATCCGGGTTAAACTTTCCCCTTAGCGAGATAACGTGACCATGATTGTGATTAAACTCTTTCCCAGCTCCACAATCGACACGTTCCACACTGCCACGTTGGCCTCACACTCTATCGATGTTGTGCGGTTTGCATTTGGAGTATGCAAATACAATTGAATGAAAATGGAAATGTCAACTTTAACGTAATTCTAAAGCATCTTTTAAAATGTTAGCAAAACTAATCCAAGCAGAGAAACGTAGCCACAACCAAATTCATGGTGTGCTGGGTCCCACAAGCGAGTGCAACGCAGATGCTTTGTGTCTCTCCAATTAACCCTTTCCCATTGCGAGACATCTGCATGTTGCAGCGTGGGTCCCGTTTACCACTGAATCTCAGAACGCGTAAGCGGTTAGTGTAACATTTCTTTAGAGAGGCACAGCGCCGCTGTTTTTAAAGACGTACTCACCGTAGAGAACTGTAGAGACACGACCGCACTCTGCTATAGCTGGTGCCAAACTGTGCCTCACGCCCTCCCTCATGGCCTTGTGGGAGCCTCGGTACCGATAAAGTTTCTTTGATTTTTTTCTTCCTTTTCCGTTCCGTTGATGTTCGCGTACGTCATCGGAACGGAATCGGAAGGGTTAACAATCCCGCAGAAGCGGATGGGCTGCAAGAGCTCTTTAAGGCCTCTCTCGACAGGTTCAGCACGCATGCGACGCGTCTGGTCGCGGTCGTGTTTACAGTTGTTTATTGACATGCCTGCTGGAGTTGTATTTTGTGATAGAATTCCCCGTGAATAGCCTTCACGGTTCAATTCGCGCGTTCCCCCCCCCCCCCATACCACCACCCATCCCAATGTTTGTCACTTGTCTGTGAAATAAAGTTATTTTTCGTCTGCGAAATTGCATTGGATAATAAAGCGTTGATGGATAGCGATGACGGTGTGGTGGAGATGTGGAGTGTAATTGTGCTGCGTGCCGATGGGGGTCGCACGTGCTTCTTGCTGCCATTTATTTGGCTGCCTGCCACGTGTAGGTGCCTCATCACTCCACCTGGCAGCTTGTCTAGACGGTCGGCTGGCTAGTCCGTTGACTGGCTGGCTGGCAAGGCTTGCCGGGGAAAGTCATCTGTGTCTGTTGTTTGCCAATATGTGTCTGTGTCTCTTGCTGCTGCCGCCGTTACAAGTTAGCTTTTTTTCAGCATTATTATGGTAATTGCAAGGTAGCTTTAAACATTGATTGTATTTAAACAGTTTGGAAGCGGATAGTGAATATGGTGGTGAGGAAAAGGCTGTTATGTGGATTGACTTAATGAGTGTGGTTATAATGCCTGTGGTTTAATCGCTGTTGTTTAATAGCTGTGCCCCTTAATGACGGTGTCGTTCAATCGCGATGTGGTTTAGCAACTGTGCCGTTTGATGAGTGCGCGGTGTAATGACTTGCGGCTTGACGGCCCTGTGGTTTAAGGCGGTGTGGCCAAGCCCTTTTGTCTCCGCCCCCCCCCCGTGCCCTCTTGTCTGCGCACTCAGAGGCTCGCCAAGCTGTTGGCTGAGGAGCTCGGCTGCCTGGGATTTACGAGTTCCGTCAGCGACCTGCGGAGCTTCGACCCCGAGGACAGCCTGTTGGAGGAGGTGCCCCAACCTCGCTCCCAATATATCCGCTCTCCATATTATCCGCATCTCCGAGTCAGAATTAATATATTTCATAACCCAGAGTAAGAATATTGATTTATACAGGACGAATCCGATGAGCTATGAAGCTCTTTTTCACAGGTGTCCGGTAGGGGGCGGTTATGAACGTTAAGACAACAAACAATACAAAAACAGAGTTCTGCTAAATTTCAAGAAAGGTAAACAAAATCACCCCAACACATGCAAATAAAACTAAACCATCCCCATTCTACCAGGCAAAGCCCACTGAGGTATTAACTTATTTTTCAAAAGCGAACTGGCCACAAATGACAGCGCAACAAAGTTGCTTATCATTTTGACATGTATAGCAGCAAAATAATTTTAAAAAAACTCAAGACATTACCTCCCTCCCCCCCCGAAGTGTTGTCCTGATTGCTTTATTGCCATCATGAGACGAACGGTCGATCTGGAACTCTTGCAGAGCAGGGTGACTTTCTGTGTTAGACCACGGCCCGCAGAAGTGTGTATCGCAGACTTATCTCTTGAGATCCCTTCACGTGACCCTCTGGCCCACACAATGGGGAGTGCAGCACTTTCCACACAATCATTTCCTCTTGGCTGCTATAGATTTCCACGCGGTAAGCTACTTCGTTGAGCTAATTGTGGCCTTGTTGCTTTTGAAAAAGAACTATATAGCTCAGTAGGCCTTATCTAGTTAAGTAAAAAAATAGTTTAAATAGTAACCCAGAAGTAGTACTTATCTGCGGTGATCTGGAAGCACTGAAGTCATCCTTCTATCCACATTTAACCTGTATTGATGAAAAAATAAAAAACAACATTATTGGTACGTCTTCAGGTCTTTAGGTCGGAAAACATAACGAATGCTCCCACAAGGTTATGCGGGAGGGTGTGTGGCACAGTTTGGCACCAGATGTCATAGAGTGTGCGGTCGTGTCGCTACAGTTTTCTGCGGTGAATGCTATGCTATGTCTTTAAAAACAATGGCGCTATGCCTCTCCAAATAGAATTAACACCAACTGCTTGCACATTCGTCTCAGAACGGAAAAGGGTTAGGAGTGACCTTGAAGAGGTAGCTATTTTCCAGAGTGAGCTGCACTGACTAAACACTCTCGTCACATCACAATGGATAAGAGGAGTGTCATTGTCATTTGAATCTCAGGAAATTCTTAAAAGAGCCAAACGAATGTATCCCTATGGATAATGTACTGATGTATCCATATAGATAAGGATTAGCTGGAGAAACGTCCTTTAGCAGTGTGCATGGCTGCCTTTTAAGTAATAACGACTTGATGAGATGGGAGTGGACGATAAGGAGCAAATGTCACTCAAAGCCACACTCGAAACTTTCTGCTTGTACAATATAGACTGGTAGATGGAACATGACATTTTTTATTCCTTTATTACGTTGTTAATGTTTTTTTGACATTTTTCCTGGACTTTTAATTGGGATTAATAATGAGTAATGTGTTTATGAATAATTAACAACACATTGAGATAAAGTGCTTCTTTGCATCGTTAATAATGCAGTTTTAATTGCCTGATTAGTCATCACTTAATAATGAATAATCTTACTCGTGTTTGAGTTAAGTTTGTTGGAATGTTGGACTTTACAAAAAAACAATAGTGCTTGGGATAAGGCAGCCCAAACTTGGCGACGTCTGCATTTCCCAAGTCATATCGATGATAACATTATTTACTACTTCTTAAACTACTACTTTTTTAAACAGGTAAGGCCCACTGAGCTATATAGATTTTTGTCAGAAGCGATCTGGCTATCACAAATCATAGCGCAACCAAGTAGCTTATCACGTCAAAATTGAAAGCAGCCAAATACTTTAAACGCATTATGATTCTAAATGTGGAGGGAAAAACCGGCGGTCCCGGATAAAAATCAATGCGACCACGGGGAGAACATGCAAGCTCCAAATATACAGGCATCAGGTTCGGGATCGAACCCACAACCTGCTGTATACCAGCCGAGGTCGTTATTATCTTGGCACCACAGCGCCCACTCTCGCCACCGCAGTGTCCACTTCTGTGACATTTGCTGTACGTCCTTCACAGCACGTCAATACCAGCACTGTGTGACAGATGACAACCTAGCTGGCTAATTTGGCTTGGGCCTAGTTTACCTCTCTGTGGCGATATGTTATCTCCCTCGCCTGGTATGCAGGAGGTCGTGGGTTCAATTCCAACCCTGACAAAAATACTTTCTGCAAAGCACTATTTTAATCAGTAAAATAGCTATTTCATTTGAATCTCCCCCCCCCACCCCCCACTAAGAGCTCAGCCCCCACTTTTAATTTCTATAATGAAGTAAAACAATGTTGGTGCAAGGTAGAGCGGAATGCATTATAGTGATAGGCAGATTGTGTGCTAGCCCATTCTATTCAGTTTCTAAGATTTGTTTAAAATGTACGTAACATTTGACTGCGTTGTAATCCGCCCTCTCCCTTACCTCCGACGATTCGCATGGTTGGCTGCCCACGGTGCGTACAAGGCCACGCTACCGAACCGATTTAGATGCCATTCAGCGCGACTGCGGATGTGTAAGTGTGATTGGCGGAGGAAGGGGAGATGGTTGAGGGGTGGTGCGTGCCCCCCGCTCGTGTGTGCAGGCCGCTGGCGGTGCCGTGTGCGTGTTCGTGGTGTCGACGTACAGTGGGGGGGCGCCCCCCGAACCCGCCGCCTGGTTCTGCAAGTGGCTCGAGGAGGCGGCGAGCGACTTCCGCTACGGCAAGACGCACCTGCGGGGAGTCCGCTACGCCGTGTTCGGCCTCGGAGACTCCGTCTACCAGGAGCACTACAACACGGTGAACACTGCTGCACCGCCACTGCTGCTCCCCCCCCTTCTCCAACACAGCACCGCTCGTGACCACTCGTGTACTCCTCCTGTTCACAACCGCTGATAATATTTTCAAGGTGAGATCTCCTGACTGCCCATTGATGCACTTCCGCTTACCTCATGGGTCAGGTTCGTTTGTACACTGGAGCTGCCTTGAAAAAATTCATACTGCACGGCAGAGAGCTGGCTCCCCCTCTTGTCTCTCCGAAAAATAATTCGCCCGTTTCCTGTCGCCGTTGACACGAAACACGAATGCCAGAGAACCGGACACAAAGTACTGGCCCTCGCATCTTTATGCTCCGCATGTCTCCCGCACGGCCAAGAGGTTTAATTTACATTTACACGGAAAGCTTATTGGGCGTTCTATCATTTTTTCTAATTATGGCATCTATCATGCTGCAACACAAGCTGTCTGCAAGGAGGTGCTGCTTAGACTCGGGCTGTTTTACTAATGTAGCCCAGGTGGTTCGTGTGGCTGAGACCCCCTGTGTAAACATGGCCCTGTGCTCTTTAAATATGTTTCGGGGGTCATTAAATGTTATCTGCCGCTTGTAAAAGTGCATGCTGTGGCGAGATCAAAACACGGTCGTTTACTGTGGGCTGATGTGGACATTTGGAACAAAGACGACGTTGCCTGTTGCCTCTGTATGGACCGGTAAATTAATGCGCTCTGTCTCTGCAGCACATATCTGGTTAAGTGAAACTGCAAGAGCCAACGGATTGAGTTTAATCAAAGCTAATCAGCCAATTGATGTCCAGCAAATTATTTGGCGATGCTGTGTTTGGCAGTTGCTGCACAAGCTTGATTAGCAAAAACTTATCACGTCAATTAGTAACGCTACTTCATTCATAGCAAATTTTTTTACGCACCAACAAAGAAGGGGCCACTGCCTGAATCGTTGCCCCGTAGATGTTTTTTGTTTACTTATAAGGCCACAGTTTTGTTGATGAATGTGTTGGAGTTTTTAATTACTATTGAAGTCTGTTTACCCATGTGCCGAGTAGGGCTTTCCTTTCTTCAATCTACTCCCCAATCACATAAAGCGGGCACATTTGTGTGATTGTGCGCTAGAGGATTTCACTTCTTGCAATGTTTTTTTCTATTATATATTTCTCCACAACTTCTTTGCCCACCATCCCCCCCCCCCCCCAACATTTTTCATCATTGCCAGCCTCTCTTGCTGCCGAAATATGAATTTATGATTTCGCCATGTAGCCGATGGAATCTTTCAAAGAGTAACTTGAACGCTTAGTCTCAATGTAAAACATTAACCGTTTGACTAGGACGTCGTAGGAGGATTTCTGAGCTCCGGTTGCAAATGTCGCAAAGCAGCAGCATGGCCCCTGACACAAGGCCTTGAGGCTCCGCGAGATTGTCCCGCTTGCGGGACTGACCCCTGGGCATGTAGCGGCGTATCGATTCAGCAACTGCATGCGTGTAATTGTGCGTGTGAGGATCGCGATTATTTTGCGTTTCATGCAAATTGTTTGCGATGTTACGTGCAGGTTACTGAAGCGGACAAGACTGGACATCGGAGACAACGCAAAACAATAACTATACAAATCACACAACAAAGGATGGATTCATGAATCCTAGATTTAAAGCTTTCGTGACTGCAAATTAAGCAACCATTGGAAAGATTTTGATTTAAAGCTTTTGTGACTGCAGTAATTCATATTCTTAGCTCTTTCGGTAAAGTCACGTTGAAGGGAAACAATAAAATAATAAAATATATATAAAACAATAAAAACATTTCTCACGACGTTTCGACCGTTTGTGTTATGGTCGAAACGTCGTGAGAATTTTTAAATTGTTTTATATATATTTTATTATTTTATTGTTTCCCTTCAACGTGACTTTACCGAAAGAGCTAAGTATATACATTGGAAAGATGTTCTGAATCAAACCAAACATTAAACAAATTTTCAATGGTACAGTATATTTTTTCAAGTAGTGGTATCCCAAACTTTCGCAGCTGCTTAAATTCCCTTTTCACACCATCAATATGTAAACTCCCCCCTCCCCTCCCCCCCTCGCCAACCTGCACATGTTCATCCCCTCTACACCGTTCATCATGCTAAGTCCGCCAATTAAATGCTATTTTTTCATGCTAATTCCTTTGTCAAGGCGCTCTGTTTCCTCTCACACAGCTTAAAGGTCGCGGTCTGAGCTTGGCTGTGTTCACTCCAGCGCTGTCCTCTAGACAGTCTGGTCCCTTCACCTGATGAAGGCCACTTGTGTTGTGGCCAAAACGTCGTGATTTTTGTTGTTTTATTTTTTACCTACGTGACTTTACTGAATAGAACCAAAGAGTATGGATTCATGAATCGTGACCCCGAATAATGACAGTTTACCAAATCGCTTTGGGAGAATGCCACTTGTTAGATGTCTGGTAAATAAGGTTATTTATGATACATTTATTTATATCGACGTCCATATAGTCATCATTTATGGAGATATGTCGTCGGCGCGTTTGCTGTGTCTGATAACGGGCGCTCAACACAGATCCGTTCACTTTCGTTCATCAGTGGTTTCCTTATTGGCACTGTTTTAGTACTCGTCAGATTGTTGAGTCCCTGTCCGGATGGTGGATCGCGAGAAGCCTTCCACGCCGTAGCTCTCGCGTCTCCGGTATCTCGAGGCTACCGAGCAATCGCCCCCCGTGGGTTTCCCATCTCGACGTCGCTCACCGAATCCGGCGCACGGCCCCCGCAGGTCGGCAAGAACATGGACAAGTGGCTGTGGCAGCTGGGGGCTCGGCGCGTGCTGCCTCGTGGCGACGGCGACTTCAACGTGGTGCGCAGCCGGCACGGCAGCGCCGACGCCGACTTCGAGGCGTGGAAGGGCCACCTCGTGTGCCGCCTGCGGGCCCTGGCAGATCCGGGCACCGCCGCGGGGGCTGGGGTCGGCGGTCAGCAGCGTCAGCGCTCGGACAGCGAGGGGTCCTGTCGCGACGAGGTGGGACGTTTTTTTTTTTTTTTCTGGTTGGACTACCCGTCCCGCTCAGCCCGCTGGCTTGTCTACACTCGCCACGCCGCCCGTGGTGTGGCGGGTGTAGGCTTAGGCGGGGTTGAACCCGGTTAGGGATGGGTGACCATCAGTGCTTGCCATGCGTTATGGGTGTGAGGTTGCGGGGCTGCCGGCAAATGGCAGTGCTGAGCACCTCCCCCTTTGTAGTTGTGTGTGTTCTTCCCCGAGTACTTCATTCATGGGAATGGCCAAAGTTGGCAATGCAGGACCCTCCGAAATGAGTCTTGACCCTCGAGTGGCACTTTCCTGGGTAAGAGTTGGCATAGGTAGGCAGGGGCGAGTCCATTCAGGAACTTGAGTGCAAATTTGAAATTTACCGGCAAATGGGGAATCTGGGAGGTGTTGTGCAGATGGTGGTATGAAGTCCTGCAGAGTTGAGTTTGTGGGAAGAGGACAAGAGCTTAGGATCAGTGACAATCACAATGTTTCACACACTTTTCCAGTGTAATGTCAGTTTAGGAGGTGCATGCTCAATCTGCAGTTTTTTGCCGAGAGTGGACATTTTGGCAATGAGGAGTGCTTCTGTTTGGTAGCTGGAGGAAGATAGAACCAATCCAAATGAGAACACTTCCAAGGCAGGATGTGGTAGTGGGCAGCGAGGTTGGGTTCAGCGACACAGATGGTGTCTACCAAAACTCAGGGACATCCTCTCTGTCACCCAGTGTTGGTACGCAGCGACATGTAGGATGTGAAAGAAGGTGGTACGTGTCGTCAGCGCAGTAACCAACTTTTAATTGATACATCAAATATTTTCTTACTCTCTCTTTGTCTTGCCACAGGAGTAGCTTTGCATGAGAGTTGACCTGCCGCTGCCACCCGTGAGGAATTTCCAAAGTGCTTTGCTTTAAAGTGGATGCCAAAGACTCAGCGGAATCATTCGTAGAAGCAGGCCACTGCCTGCCACACGTCAAAACATTGGGGTCTTTTGGGGCCATTCCCTTGCGTGAAATGAGGCGCACCAAGTGGAGGTTTCTTTGCAGCACAGTGTGCACTCGAGCACGCAGCTGGGATAAGATCGGTGATAAAAGTCGCAAATTGTAAGAGAGTGGCAATGTCGCCTTGGCTAAGGGGAGGCGGATGTCGAGGGAATGTGGTTTTGTGAGCGCCTCGCCGCGGCCCTTCCAGGCCTCCGAGGAGTTTGAGACAACGAGCGAGGAGGAAGGGGGGACCGCGGACGCTGCTGACCTCGTCGACGTGGAAGACCTCGGGAGAATTGTGACGGAGGCCAGGAGGTCCCAGGTGAGGCCGGTTTTATCGTGCGTCTTGGTCAGCTGCTGCCTGCAGACAAACTTCTCTCTTCCAATCGTTTTTTTTTTGTACTTCCACTGGGACTCACTGACCCGATAATGTGCATTTTTTCTCTTTGAACCATACCTAATGTTTTTCAGTGATTTAATTCGCAATGTTATCCCTCTTACGATCTCGTACTCGTCATGAAACAGGGTACTAATCCGGGTCTCTTCTGGTGAACGGGTTGAGACCATCAACTCACTGCACTTGAGCAGCCGGTTTAATCACAGGCGGCTGCCAGGATTTGAACCCAGGATCTCAGCTGTCCTGGCTCCAGTGTCTCTGACCTCCGAGCCCCAACCGGTCACCTCTTCAAAACCGGACCACATTTATACATTAATCTTCCTTATATAAAGTTCCTTTTAAAACATTACATACAAACAGCAGAGAAGAAGGGAATGGCTTGTATGCACTGAGCATCTTTCCGAACTCGTGCATGGCTTCCATGGGTCTGTGTGACAAGCCGCCTAGCACGCGGCAGGGAATGTTACCACCTACTGCACCGGCCCCCCTGTTGCACGCCGTCGTGAGAGCTGTGAGGCAGCGTGCTGCCCCACGTTAAAGTATTAAAAACTATATATATTCTTGGTTCTTTCGGCAAAGTCACGTTGAAGGGAAACAATAAAATAATAAAATATATATCTTCTTGGTTCTTTCGGTACAGTCACGTAGAATGGAAGTATTACTTTGTTTCCATTCTACGTGACTTTACCAAAACAGGTCCCTGCAGGGTGGGCTGGTAGGAACATTGGAATTTTGTGCAATTTTATTTTTACACCCCAACAGCACGAGATTTAACTTCGTTAAAGTATTGAAAGGGGACGGACGGACGGACGGACGAACACATTAATCTATTGCAGGCTGGTACACTCAGTTTACAACTTCGTTCCTACCAGTAAAAACCAAGAAGATGAATCCCTGCTGCAACGTGACTTTACCGAAAGAAGCAAGAGTATGAATCACTGCAGTCACGAAAGCTTTAAATCAAAACTTTATATATGTATAGTATTTTTCCAGGTTAGGACCACTGAGCTATGTAGCTCTTTTTCAGAAGCGACCTGGCCACAAATGATAGCTCGACGAAATGGCTTATCACGTGGAAAATTTCTAGCAGCCAAATATTCTAAACGCTTATTGCTCTTCTTTCAGTATGTATGTCTAGTGATGCCGATGCACTTTCTTGCCTTACTACGTGCCTTTATTTTGGACGCAACACTATTTTTAGGCCCAGGCTTCGGTTCTTGATGCTCGAATTTCGCCTTCTCTCCAAGCCGTCTCTTGCCCCGGTGCTCTCCCCTTTTATATTCCTCGAACCCCCCTTTCTCGAAGGTTCGCTCACCCCATTTCCCTCAGCCAATCCTCATCCTCCTTCCCTAACGGTTCCCAACCGTTACCCCGACAGTCCACCTTCGTTTTCCCGCCTTTTATCTTTGAATTTCTCTTCAAATCAGTTTTAATTCTCTGGTCTCCCTGCACCATTCAGAGGCCCCGGAACATACTTCCTGACTGTCCATTTAAGCACGTACCCCGTCAGGCAAGGGGTCTTATTGTTTTTGTCCTGACATATGTATGTTGAGGTTTTTTCGCACCGTACGTTGCCAACCGCGCTTATCGGAGGTGCAGGAGTGAAGGACAACAACCTAAACACAAACAGCAGTTCCGAGAAATTAGTTTGCAATTTAAAATTAGTAAAATTTTTAATTTACGTGCAAACCCTCCTTTGTCTTGGCTCCACGCCATTATTAAAAGGTGACGACGATCAATGCCGTGTATCTTCATGACAACCTGCAACTGTAAACTTGCATTAATTAACATGGAAGTGTCGATTTGTTGGCCGTTTAATTAATTAATATGCACCTCCAGGTGCTGCAAATTCACCTGAAACAGTCAGTGCCATGCTGGTTATTGAGCCGGCGGGAAGACACACGACCTCACGTAGATTTCGCTCGCAGGAGACATTTAAGCACAAGCATGCGAACAGGTTTTGTTGCGAGACAGTTAATTCTATCTCAACCTTTGCTTAACAGGCATAACATCCTCGCACATCTATAAAATCCCTCACTCATCATTCAAACGTTAAATTTGCCCGTTCATTTACCAGCGCTTAATTAACAATGCCGCTGACATTGTGGAGTTCGCAGCGTTAAGGAAAATAATCAGCTGGCCGCGATCCGTTGATTAAATGTTGGGATAGATATAACATTTGCATGACAGAAACAAAAGAGAGAGAGAGAGAGACAATGCACGAGCTGTCAAGTCTCCAGCGGGCTTCGTGAAACGTGCCCGGCCGGCGAGGCCGTGTGCCTCCCCGGTATCACCACGCTCGCACATTCATCACCCCCGCCATTCATCAGCGGCTTCACAGCAGCCCTCGCTGGGCACCTGAGACTGGCGCTTGGCCCTAGAAGTCGGTCCCGGACATGAACCGTCCTGTGGATCAGAGGTCAGAGCGCTGAGCGGGCACCTCTCGGAGCCTGGGTTGGAATCCGGGTAGCCACCGATGATTAAAGTGGATTCGCAAGTGTAGTGTTGGTCTCGGCCCGGTCACGAATGATTGTTTTTCACTTAATTTGGCTACATTCCAGCGGCGAGAATGTTAATTGTCGGATTGAATGTCTGCACGTAGCAAGTTCTGTGTGACCGATAGTCTGTAACGGATTAAAAAAGGCCACTTGAAGATATTTTAAAGAGAAATCCTGTAAATAAAAAAAAACAAATCTTCCCCTACACGGGGCACACTGCTCAGTGAAATTTCCAAATAGATTTTTCATCTCATTACATGATGCCAGTGAGAAAAATTAGTGTAAATTTGGGGCAATACACCCCACGTTTTTAAAGCCGCTCCAAAAACAGCAATTCTATTTAATTAATTGCTGTTACCCTGCAGCGCGCGAGCTGAACGAGCGACTCACGAGATTGAATTTAGGGAAACTGACAATTTTGCCCGTCGCGGGTAAAGTGTGATTGGCAGTGCCTGCCGTGTGCATGAGAATGAGCGCGTGGCCGTGTGCCTAGTTTTGAAAATGAATTTTGGGGCTGGGGTCGTGGGGACGCTCCCAGCTGGGCTTACATCGGATAGAATCCACTCGCTCTGCTTTGTCGAAATATCTTAAGTGGTTTGCTTTCATATAATCAGGACGAAACGGAATGAATGCCGGCCACACTGAAGGGTGTAGATAATATTAAAATAAAACTCTCACGACTTTCATCATTCACACAAAACATTAATGCTTTCATATTCTTAGCTCTTTTGGTAAAGTCACGTTGAAGGGAAACAATAAAATAATAAAATATATATAACGTGACTTTACCGAAAGAGCTAAGAATATGAATTACTGCAGTCATGAAAGCTTTAAATCAAAAATTCATGCTTTCCACGAGCATCATGAGCACTACCATAAACAGAAACAGATAGAATTATAAGGCAGTGCTAATGATGTATGCTGTTTTAATTATAATCTGCACTTGAGCACCCAGGCCCATGTAGTCCCTTTATAGGTTATTTTATTTGCTGTAGTCGGGTGATGTATGTACAGTATGTTGAACTTCTTTCGCACCGTACGTAGCCAATCACGCTAATCGGAGGTGCGGGAGAGTTTGGGTAGTGATCCTTCTGCCAAGTGCATGTAACGCCACTGCCAAAGCAGTTTCTTCTCCTCTTTTTTATCTGTTTTCAGCTATCATTTCAGGCTAGTTTCAGTCGCAGTATGATTTCTAACAGTTGAGTTACATCGCATTGACGATCAGGCAGCTCGGCGTTAGAGTGAGCGGCTCGCAATCGGAGGGTTGGGAGTTCAACTCCTGGTTGGGGGTTGGCTCAGCTCATCATCCCTCCGGGGTTGATAAAATAAGTTGGGAAGCCAACACTGTTTTTCTTATTTACCAACTTACCCCTGCCATAGGAATATGGAATTTTCACCACTGGCCCAGGACTCTACACCAGAAATGATCACCGCCTCAGTGCTCATTTTAACGGGAAGTCGCTTTATATAGCGGTGCTGTTGTGCATTTGAAATAACAAATTAATTTAGTTTTCTCAGTGCGTCTCTCCGCGCTTATTCAAGAAACAAAACAAGAAACTTTTGATTGAGTTCGTCTTTGCTTGTTTCATTTCACTTACAGATTCAGTAACGTTCTTGTTCATTAACAGTCTATTTCAGCGCCGTAGGTGCGACCATTGATTTTTCAATTTAAACAGTCGAACCATTATAATTTACACTCATCAGTGTAGATCGTTACCCCATTGCATCCGTTCCTGGCTGCGGCGAAGCTCCAGTTTGTCGCAACTTCATGGAGGACGAGTTAATTTACTTGCCCCGCGTCATTCCAACGCGGGGCCAACACACTGACGATTCGGTAATGTTCGCTGCACGTTGAATCGAGATTGGCATGGGAGGGTGTACGAGCCAGAGCGTCATTGCAGCGAGCATCCTCTGGTCAGTCTCCAAAGTGTGAAGCTTGCCGATTTGACGGGGTTACTGTAGGCTATATATATTCTTGGTTCTTTCGGTAAAGTCATGTAAAAGGGAAACAATAAAATAGTAAAAATATAAAACACTACAAAACCCTCACGATGTTTCGACTGCAACACAAGCAATCATCATCACGTGTGAAAACCACAGCAAGAAAATTTGAAAAAAGTGGCGTTTTTTTTTAAACGTTAGCACCACGGAGAGCGATTTGGCAGTTATTCAGGTGGACGAGTCCATCTATGTTCGGAAAAGAGGAGGGGGGAGACGAAAATAATGGATGCGGTCTGAAAGCCACCGTAAGCGTGAACAATCAATTAAGACCCGAAATGGTTTATCAAATCCTTCCAATGATTGCTAAGCCAGAATCCATATTCTACTGTAGGCTAGTTTGTTTTTAGTTTTTTAGTGCTTATCCGTCGACTTAAACGTTTTATGAAAAAATTTAATCGACCAAAAGTGTTATCGTGAGCCCAGAAAAACATATATTTCATAAAAACCAGAGTAAAATCGGAAACATGACCCTCATATATATGTACATATGTTTCCAAATAAATGTGTTGAGGTCACAGTGAACGAGAAGGAAGGATGAATGAGCTACATGTGACAAATTCTGTATTGTAACAGGGTCCTCGAATTAAAGTTGTGGATTTGAAAAGTGCGCATCAATCGCAAGACATAACGGCCGATGGGCTGGCTGTTAAGGAGAAATTATTGCATTTTTTTTAAACTGTAAAGTCGGTCGTCTTGTTTGAACAAAAAAACACTGTCTTTATTGGAATAAGCCGAGCTATTTCTCTGACATGTTTTTGGAAATGCGTTGTGCGTTACCAACTTGGACAGCGCGTGAATTATGGCCGCTTGTTGCGGCGACTGCAGCATCGTGTAGCTGAGCCACAGGGAAGTGACATTGTGCAAGGTGCAGCCGGGTGCGATTTGTAGCCTCCATACCATAACACATTACACTAAGACGCGTCTTGTGATCTCCTGTCAGCTAACATTTGCCACTCCACGTGGCCTCGAATAAGCATCTCTGAGATGGTAGTGGCCCCTGTAAAATTTCTACATTGCAGTGGCCTTACAGAAAAAAAAAATATATTGGCAGAGGCCTTACAAATAAACCCCATATATTATTATTTATATTTGCTTCATATAACAAATCACTTTTGCCGGTGGAGGGACACAGCTGTGAGAGACGACTCCTGATCATGCTGATGAAATAGAGGAGAGCAGGATGGAGTACTTTGGAAAAAAGAGCCAAAATTTCTCATGAAGAGCAAATTACAGAGCGTCTTAACAGGAGAGTGCTTTTTCATGAATTCATATTTATAGCCCTAATAACACGACGATTGGAAATGTGGTGGCCGATGATGAGAAAAGTTAACGAGAACCGCAAACACAAATCCTGAGTGAGCAAGGACTCACACGTGAAATGACAAGAATTGTGGACCATGGTGAACAGGAGGGAGAAATCCGAGACATGTCACAACCGCTGTTCATAGAAATGAATGGGCATGTGCAGGGTGCGTCCTCTCGGAGAGATGACAACCTATGAACAAAATTACAGTGCCGGAATAACCCGTTGTCAGGTGCACAGCTGACAAAAGTGTTTTCTGAGGAGCTTAAGGACGAGTGTGTTTTTTCACAATTTATTTTCGGGCAGCGTGCGATTGTTATCTTCAAACCCCTGTGTGATTGCGTTTTCTCTGGGCGCTCTGGTTTCTGTCCACACGCAGAAATCCTCGGACACGGGAATTCAAATGTGTCATGAAGTAGTGCCCTTCTAGAAACGATTCTTTCATTTTCCTCTTTCTCCTCTGAACCCCCCTCCCACACCCCCTCTCCCTCCCCTCCCCTTCCCCCCGTGTAACATTTCCTGCTCGGTATAGCCCCTCTGCTTGATGGACGACACGGTCTGAGATCCGTGCCGGGCTCTGTCCTAGGCTGTCCGAGGTGGGGGTTTTAATCTACACGAATAAGGACAAATATTCCAAAATGACAGGCAACGCATGCCATCGCGGCGCTCCAGCAACATCGCGTTGCCATTGTGTTGGTCACAGTGAACGAGAAGGAAGGATGAATGAGCTACATGTGACAAATTCTGTGTTCTAACAGGGTCCTCGAATCACGGTGAAGTTGTGGATATGATAAGTGCGCATCAATCGCGAGACATCACGGCCGATGGGCTGGCTTATGATCTCGAGTCCAGAGTCTTTTCTCACGAACGAAACTTCCAAACTCCAAGTCGGGCAGGCCAAAACACACTGCGTAGGTGCGTCTTCTCGAGTCGCGTCTTCCTGAATCTCACCCTAGCCCATCGCACTCCCCCTTCCCGTTCATCACCCTTCCCCCGATGGCCATCTCCTCTCTCATTGAGTCGTCGCGCGCCGTTAGACGCTTTACGGCTGAATCGGGGCTCTGGGCGCCTGGCGAGCTCTGGCGCTTCTCTAATTCTTTCATCTTCATTAACTTCGTTTCATGTCCCGAAATGTAAGTTCACTTTTTTCTTGTTTCTTTTTCCATTTTATCATATTACTGTTATTGTGGTGTGTCTCTGACAGTCGGGTTCAGCGTTTCACGGAATAAAGTCAGCGCTCACTGATTCAATCCATACACTCGCTCACTGGGGGGGGGGGGGGGGGGTAAAATAACTATCGCTACTTCCACGGTTATTGTTCCCGTGAACTTCACTCATTGAACCCTCCAGACAGTGTTGTTTCATCCATACACCACTGTGTTCAAACACCACCATCTTGCATGTCAAGCAGTGCTGATAGACAATCCCTCTTGCTGATAGACCATCCCTCTTGTTGATAGACAATCTCCCTTGCTGATAGACCATCTCCATTGCTCATAGACCATACCTCTTGCTGATAGGCAATCCCTCTTGCTGATAGACCATCCCTCTTGTTGATAGACAATCTCCCTTGCTGATAGACAATCCCTCTTGCTGATAGACAATCTCCCTTGTCGATAGACCATCTCCGTTACTGATAGGCAATCTCTCTTATTGTTAGCTCTTTCGGTAAAGTCACGTTAAAGGGAAACAATAAAATAATTTTTTTATTGTTTTTATTGTTTTATATATATTTTATTATTTTATTGTTTCCCTTCAACGTGACTTTACCGAAAGAGCTAAGAATATGAATTACTGCAGTCACGAAAGCTTTAAATCAAAATACAATCTCTCTTGTTGATAGACCATCTCCCTTACTGATAGACAATAATAATTCAAAAGTATCGTGTGTGCATTCCATCCTAGGATCCCAATGTGCAATGCATGAAAAGCAGGAAACAACCAGGGCAACCGACCAAACTAAAGAGAGAAGGCCACTTTAAAGGGATTGCTGATAGACAATCCCTCCTGCTGATAGACTATCCAACATGGCGATTAAAAAAAAAATCCTTGTTGCTGATAAAAAAAAAATATCCATCGTGCCGTTAGACAATCCCTCTTGTTGATGGACAAAATCTGATCAATCCCTCTTGCTTATACAACCCCCCGACCACCGCCTTTGCTGATAGTCGGCAGATTAGATGTGCAGATGGCACGTTTCCCCCTGCTGAGGAGGAAACGGGTTAAGCCGCGTTAACGGGAGTCTTTTGAAACGGCGCATTGAGTTGCGCGGCCCATCGGGCGGGAGGGGGGTGGTTCGTAATAAAACATTTTGCCCATTCTCTCGGCAATTTGGACTTAAAAAAAAAAATCACGGAGCTGTGTAATTTAATCAGAGGCAGAGGCGTTCACGTTCTTTTGTATCCTTCCTTTGTGCTGAGAGTAATTTGTGATATTTTAAGACCTGTCAGAAGAGCCATGTAGATGAGGACGATGTCAAGTTAGGTCACCTTAAAGCCGATATTTAATAGTTTGTTCTCTTGGTTTCCAAGTAAATAAGTGATCTCAACCTATTGAGTTAAAAGCGAAATGTGTGTGGTTTAGTGTTTGGTCTCCCTCTGTTACGTCCCCTTAATCAGAATGAGAACATTTATTTATACTGGAGGAATCCGATGCACTTTTGCACAGATGTTCTTTCCCAGCAGGGGCGGGTCAGAAAGTTACAACAGTACAATAACACGATATGAGTGCATAGTATAGGAATGGTCAGCAAATCACACACGCAAAATTATAAACATGTTGCAATCGAAACGTCGTGAGAATTGTATTGTTTTATTTTTTATTATTTTATTATTTCCCTTCTATGTGAAGGGAATGTAGCCCGCCATCCCAAACAGGACTCTCTTGAGGATGGGTTCTCGGAGACTTTGTTGAAGATTTCCTTATTTTTGGGCCACCAGTGCGAATATATATCCCCTCCGATCGCTTCTACCCTTTGACCTCATCGCATGACCTGCGGCTGCGGCTGCTGCAGGCTGGAGGAGCGGGCGATGTTGGGGTCGTTGCGAGCACGAGGAGGAGGAGGGTGGCCGCGGGCAAGGGAAGGGCGACTTCCACGGAGGAGCCGCGAGAGATGATCACCCCCGCGCTGCGGGAAGCCCTCACCAAGCAAGGTGAGGTCACGTGCGGCCACTCGCTCACTCGCTCACTCACTCACTCGCATGCTCGAGGAGAAGGGACTTGGTACTCTATACCAGCATCATCATGATCATTTGCATCAAATACATACTAATCATCATCATCATCAGTTGAAGCATCATCAGCAGCAGCAGCAATAGTATCATCATCGACACCAGTGTCATCAGCAGCGGCATCACACCAGGTGGGTAGAAGAGGCAAACGCACGTGGGACACGTTCTGCAGTCGTCTGGAATGCTCTTCCTTCCAGTATTAGGAAGCCACTGGAACTATGCACTGTTAAATGTAGATTGAAAACTCTCTAGAACTGACAAGTCAAAAATCTCTACAACTGCTTTTTGTGTTTAGTGTTGTTGTCCTTCCCCCGCACCTCCAAATTGCACGGTTGGCTGCGTACGCTGCGAAAAAAGTTCAGCGTACGGTACGTGCATGAGATTGCCAGCTCCCGCAAAGTGCCGAGGGTGTGAAGGGGGCTTGCTTCATGGGGGGGGGGGGGGGACTGTGCCAGGAGTGAGACTCCCTTCGTCGAACGCTCACGACGTCCGACGCGATCACCGTCGCCGTGCACGCGGATCGGAGGGGAAGGTGCTGCCACCGGAGCATGGCAGCACCCCGCCATTATTTGTCTGAAACGAGGGACGTGCGTCGAGCTGAGTCGCGCCTGAGCGTCAGCGCTGACGGCGCCATTTGCGTTGCCAATGCCCCCGCGCGGTTTGCTTCGGCGCGAGGTTGGGGGAGGGGGCGGTGGGCACTCGTCCCAGGACACATCACCGCGCGCGACGGGTCCCGTTTATTCGCTCGGTGGAATCGTTGGTGAGCGCGCAAGACGGCAGAATCCGTGCGGCGGGCGGCAGGCGGACGGGCAAATCATTTTGCCCGTTATAATGGTGCCAGTTTGGATTTGGTGGAAAATGCAATTTGATTTGAAATGCGGGACAATGAATGTTTTTTTTGGCGGCGCTACGGCAGTTTGGCGAATGAATGGGAGGGTGGCTGATAAAACACGAGATGTATTCTTCGCTTTGTTTGCGGCAGTCAGCATTGTTGTGCACGTGCAGTGTTTTTGTCGTGCCCCTCCGTGTCTGCATTTGCCGCGCATACCATTTGTATGTTCCTGCTGCAGCTCCTGTTTCAGACTGTTAAAAAAAACAACTCTTTTAGTCGCTTGGCAAGAAATGTAAGTCATTGCTAAGGGGCCGTCCGTAAATGACGTCACGCACCTCGGGGGAGGGGGGGGTGGGGGTTCAGACATTTGTGACGATGTGTGACGAGGGGGGGGGAGTGGTTTGAGAAATGTGCCGTCACATCAAAATGCGCAACTTTAAATAAATATAGACAACACGTTCTACTTAATTAAATAGACTTTTTAATAAATGTTTTCTCCTACAACATCAGAGTGCAGCGCCACATTAAGTACGCACTACAATGACAATAGTTTAAAGCGATTTGAAGCATGTTTTATTTTTTGGGGGGGGTGGGGGGGGCAGAGCTTTGTGACGTCATATTTGAGGGGGGGGGTCTGACTTTTTGTGATGCCGTGTGACGAAGGGGGGGAGGGGGTAAAAAATCGTCCAAAATTGTGCGACGTCATTTATGGACGGCCCCTAATGGCAACACAAGCAGAAACATGTTAATACTATCAAGCGGTGGGGTTTGCAGTTCTGCTGTAACGATAGGCCTCCGTCCAGATGAGATCAATTGTCATGATTGGCTTATTTTGGTTGAAGAATCTTTTTTTTCTCAACACTGTGGTGCATCACAGCACTTGTAGTGGCTGCAGGGATCACGTGAACTAATTCCACACAACATATGAGAACTGAAAACAATTAATTCTCGCGCAAACGCCCGTTCGATGCATGTCCCGCGAGCAAATAAATAAATAGGTTTTATTCAATTAACCTGCTTGCAAAAGTCTGGAATTTTTTGATAAATTGTTTCCTCTCAAGCACAGTGATAAACCAAATTACAAGCAGGACCCTCGTGAATAATGTGTGCAGTATTGTAGATAGACTACAACAATAATTATTTATTCTAGATTTAAAGCTTTCGTGACTGCTAGGATCCATACTCTTTGGTTCTATTGGGTAAAGTCACGTAGGTGAAAATAAAATAACAAAAAATCACGACGTTTCGGCCACAACACAAGCGGCGTTCATCAGGTGAAGGGACGAGACTGTCGTGATTTTTTGTTATTTTATTTTCACCTACGTGACTTTACCCAATAGAACCAAAGAGTAACAATAATTATATTGTAAACAAGAGGTGCACGAGCCTGCAGGCCGTCATGAAGAGCATGTTCCTACGTGTCCACTCTGTGGCTTTTCCATTATCGTCATTATTGTCATTGCTGTGCTTGTTAACCCAGGGAAGTCTCATTGAGTCCCGAGGCTCTTCTTTCAAGAGGATCCTGCCACGTGTTCGCAATGGGTGGTGATGTTGCCGCTACGTGTAATCCCAATTAGCATTGGCACGCTTGGCTAATCCAAGTTACATTGTTCGTGTTTTGAACTGTGTGGAGGAAACCCATGCAGAACAGGGGTAGAGCATGCGCATTACACAGAGAAAGGCACCCGAGTATGGACATCTGTGAAATATTGCTTTATAGCTCATCGGATTTCTCCAGTATAAATATTCTGATTCTGAAACCCAGGCCCTCTTTGCTGTGAGGTACAAGTGTTACCGCTGCGCCGCCCTGCCGTCTGGAACGCCTCTTCCTTCCGATATTAGGAAGCCACTGGACCTATGCCATTTAAAAAAAAAACTAGATTGAAAACGATTTTCTTTCAAACCGCTTTTTGTGTTCAGTTTTGTTTTCCTTCCCCCGCACCTCCGGTTAGCACGGTTGGATCCGTACGGCGCGAAAGAAACTCAACATACACGCACACCCAAATGGCGCTGACGTGTGGAGGAGCGGTCGATGAAACCCTTGCTCGGTGTTTGCAGGATACCGCCTCATCGGGACACACTCGGGCGTCAAGCTCTGTCGCTGGACCAAGGTACGATGGCTCTTTCTGGTTGTGCGAAACTACCAATCAAGCCGGGAGTCCTTTGACCTTTGCTGCATTGTGCTGCTGCTATCTCATAGCACTTTTCACGCACGTGTCTCTTTACTCAAAATATGTACTTATATTCTTGGTTCTTTCGTTAAAGTCACGTAGAAGGGTTTTCACACATGATGATGATGATGATTGCTTGTGTTGCAGTCGAAACGTCGTGAGAATTTTATTATTTTATATTTTTATTATTTTATTTTATTGTTTCCCTTCTACGTGACTTTACCAAAAGAACCAAGAATATGAATCCCTGCAGTCACGAAAGCTTTAAATCAAAATTTACGTACTTATGTTGAACTTCTTTCACACCGTACGTAGCCAACCGTGCTGAATCGGAGGTGCGAAAATAAGTCCTGAGCCGGCACCATAGAGATTCTGGGTTCCAACCCAGGTAGTTCTAAAGCGTGGTGACCACAAAGTCACCACACTTCAGAACTTTATTTACTGACTGTGCAGTAAAGTGTCGCATCCCAAATGTGTGAACGAATTCCTTTTATTTGGCTGTCATGCGTCGATTCATCTCTATTGCGGGGTTCTTAGGAGATGTTGTAACACTCTCTGTGTGTGGATAAGAGATCACTTTAAGGGATCCCAGGATTAGTTCGGTGATATCACCTTCCACAGGCTGTCCTCTTGATGCACCTGTTTTCTGAGGGTTCGGAATGAACATTTCTTTATTCAGTGCCTTGACATGAAAAGGACGATCGGAGTAAAATTGAGGGAAAAAAAAACCCCGTGTAAAGAAGTAGTTCATTCATTCAACCATTCATTCATTCATGTGAACAATAAGGGTCAGAGCACTGTGACCCAGGTTGCATAACTTGAATTGCACACGGTTTTGTGTGGCTTTAGTCGATACGCGGATTCATGCACCTGTCTCGCTCCTATCCGCCATGCGGGTGACGTAACCCGCACGCTGTGCCACGGAATTGCCTTGGGAATTTTAACAATGAAACCTTAAATCTCAGTGCGGATTCGGTTCAGCTCGAGGCCCAGCAGATCCGCACTGTGTGCTATTGGCACCCCAAAGCACAGCCGCGTGTGTCGCCGCCGCTTGGTATGGGTCCAGCGCTGCCGATCGGCGTCCCCATAATTACGTTGAAGGAAAAATGTTGCATTCCGAGACGACCTTAATTGATTTTGCCATGTGTTAAAATGCTGTTGGCCGGGACGCAACTAAACGGGCGCCGCTCGCCGCGCTTCGGTTTTTTGGACTCCTTGCCGGATTACGGCCCTGTGTCACATAAAGCTGGCCTCCTAATGTGACGCGGGCCGGATTCCTGCTGCATTACGGCCGACGTCACATTAAGATGTCAGCTTCGGGTCTGGCACCGTAATGAGTTTGACCGCCGCCCACGTTTGCGAGCATGGTGGCTCCGCTCGAAGCACACGTCTCGGAACGGAGCGACGAGAGCCGTGGCTCGCAGCCGATCACGGTGGGCGGGTGGCTATCTCGCTGCGTGTTTTAAAAAAAAATCCTTTTGAGTTTGACGTGGAAGTCACAGACGGGGCGGCCTTGACGATAACGTATTTGCGAGTAATTTTAAAACGTGAGTTATAGCAATGCCACCTTATGAATCATGTCCCAGAGCTTGTTACGTCCACTTTACACCTGACAATTCGCTTTGATAGTCACCTCAAACATTACCATATATACGACAGATATTCAAGTTAAATCAGCTGTTTTAAAACTTGCTAATTTAGCAATTCTAAACGCTGCTTTATGAAGCTGCCCGAATTTGTCTTAGAATGTCTGTCATGAGCACTGTGCTCCGACAAATATCTGCCCATGGTGGAAATTCCCCATTCCTGTGGCGGGGGGAGTGAGTTTATCCATAAGAGAACTGTGTCTTGGTTAGATGACCTTCATCAGTGGTCTCCTGACTCCAAAAATGTTGCCTTCTGTCTGTGAAGGTTACTCAACCGTTTCTCTACATCCGCACCAGCGAGCCCGCTCCCTTGCAGCCAGAAACATTGGTGATTTGAGTGTAGGCTCTGGTTCGGTGGCATTTCGCATCGTTATCTGTGATGAGTGTGCAGACCCAACATGTGCTTCTCATGAGAGCCCATTAACACGAACGAGGTCGTGGTAATTTAAGTCACACACGTTCACTCGGACCTCGCCATGCCGGCCTTGGACTCGAACGTCGGCATCATCCGTCAGAGCCGCCTGGCCCCTATTATATCTCCAGCGATAGTGGGGAATATCAAATCATCAATATTGATAGGCGCCCCTTAATTATTCCGCGGACACGCATGAACCCTCCTCGCTGTCGCCTCGTGACCCCCCGTTTGGCAACGTGTTTACGACAAAATTAATCTCGGCGCTGCCGTGAGGTCGTGGCGACCTTGCCGGGACATAATGGCGATGGTGAGGGGGGGGGGGTGGTTGATATTTAAGTGGCCGTAGGGAAAGGACCCCACTTTCATACACAATTGCGCCGGGTCAGTCGGTCGGGCAATTTTTGCTCCACATCCCGGCGTTAGGAGTTAACGTTATTTATTGCTTGGGAGGCTAATTTGTCCGCGACTCGTGAGACGTATTAATGTCCCCGAGTCTTATCGATATTGTCGGCCGTTTTATATCATATTCTTGCAGCCACATTGTCTTAGATTGTACGTTTACAAGGCTGGGGCATTTCCCGGCACCTGTTCCCTTTACGAGTCTGTTGTTTGTTTTGTGCTTTAGCTTTAATTTACGGAGTAGGATTTTACAGTTTGCTTCCCTATCAGATAATTGTCTTTTATTTAACGACATCGCAGCTGTTAGATATTTGATCGGTGAGGCGGCTGGTAGCTCAGGATGGATTACATTGAATCAGAATATTGATTTATACTGGAGGAATCCGATGAGCTGCCAAGCTCTCTTTTCACAGATGTCCAGTTGGGGCGGCGGCAGTGTCAGAACGTAAAAATAACAAAACAATACAAAAATGCGATCGGAGTGCAAAGTATAGGAACGGTAAACAAACCACTTAAAAAAAAGTCAACGCCCAAGTGCCGCTCCTTCTCATCTCTTTTTCAGAGCTCGAATCCAGTGGTGGAAGGGGGTTTGGTGTGAGTTTTTCCACGTGGTACTCATTTACAGTTGGCCTCTTAACGACTCACTACCCACGGTGGTTCGTCACGATTCAGGTTCACACGTTGATTCTAAGAACCCGTGTGGTTTTTTTTCCGTCTCATTTCGAAGTTTGGTTGATATTGCCTCTCGCTCTTTTTTTGTCTTGTTTCGGAAAGCGTTTTCTTTTCCTCACTCCCATTGGCCTAAAGACACATTTGCCTGTAATTTTTGTCACGCAATTTGCTTCAATCGTGAGATATGTTCAATTCTCGGGGGGGGTGGGGGGGGGGGTGTGGAGACTGTGGCCATCGGGAGACTCTTTTGGTTGGTGTCAGGCGGTGGTGGTGGTGGTGGTGGATGCTGCCTTTGACTGCGTGAATGAGCTCAGCGGTGGACAGGCCGACACCCGGCCTCTCTGGCTGCTTTGGCTGGACGCACCATCGACAATTACCGAAAAAACGGAAGACGCATCTCGCACCGCCGCTCAGTCGCCCGGACTTCCGTACCAGTTGCGCAGCGTCGATGGAGCCCACGGCACCGTGTGATTAAATAAGTTGCCTGCCTCGTGTACTTCGGAAATAAATTGTTGAGCACTCGGCCGGTTATCTTGTGCATATGTATTCCCTGTTTAGCCGAGGCGTAGCTTGGCCGGGTGAGTGCGCATTAACGTTAATTCTCTCAGAGTCCGTGTAGGGCCGCATCAATTAGTCATGGCCGAATGGATTGCACGGATCTCACCTCAATTACCCTCTTTTCTCCAGCAAAGTAACTATTTACATTAATACATTTAATGTATTTCTCACTTTGAAAGGAACAAAAGGGCCATGTAACAACGCGAGGTGGGAGAGGTGGCACACTGCATTGGAGACGTGGAGATTCATGTTTGATCCTTGCTGCCTTTGCCAACCGGCACCAACCTTACACCCCAGCCGACTCCCATGACTGGGAGACGTGTCATGGGGGTCAGCCCTTTACTGCAATGGATTGACTTTGAACACGTACAATCTTATCTCATCGACATTTGTGTAACATCTAAACCGCGAACCCATCGCCAGATGCTGTGCAGAGCAGTGGGCATATTTGGAATGATAGACAAAGGCAGTGATAGGCAGAGGGGGGGGAAATAAAAGGAATGCCTTGAGCCTGGACTTGATCAGGAGCAGGGAGATGACAGCACGGGTGGTGGGAGAAACGGGAATTCGAGACAATGGGGGCAGCAGAGGAGAACTATCAACCTCCACTTAGTGTACGTTGACTGAAGGCTTCGACAGCTGCTCGAGTGGAGAATCTGCGGAGGGGAGAAAGTGAGGTGAGTGGGGAGAGGTGGCTAGAGGCATGAGGCATTGACCAGGCTGGTTGTAGTGTGCAGGGACGAGGGTGAATAGGCAGTGAGGGATGAGTGAGGTACGCGGAAGGTTCAACGATGGGAGGAAACTTCGTAGGTTGAACGATACGTTATACGTTAAGAAAAAAACGCCACTTTTTAAAAAAAAAATTCTTGCTGTGGTTTTCACACCTGATGGTGATTGCTTGTGTTGCAATCGATACGTCGTGAGAATTTAATTGTTTTATTTTTATTGCTTTATTATTTCCCTTCTACGTGACTTTACCGAAAGAACCAAGAATAGGTTGAACGATGTTGTTTATGGTGGCAGGTTAAGGGATGTCAAGGGTGGCTGATGAGATTAAAAGGACTGGCAAAGAGGAGGGAAAAGAGTTAGACAGCAGAATGCCATTCCTTATTTTCTTTTTCCTTTTCAGAGCAATTGCAGGGGAATTGTTCACATTTGGCAACTTAAGGAGTGAATAGGGCATGGTTAAAGATGATGGTGATGATCATGGTTGATGAGGCACAGTGAGTCATGTGAGACAAGAAAACCACTTCTGCACCACTCGAAACCGGCGAGCTATTTAAAACACCCTGGACACATTCGGGAACGCGCTCACGTCCCATTCACAGGGCTGTCCAACCCTGCGTTCGAGTCACGTGTGTACATACGTGTGTACGTACGTGTGTGTGTGTACGCGGCAGTTTAACCCAGAAAGACGCGGCTATTGGGCTTATTTTATCTGGAGCACGAGGATTAACTTTTATCTGGGAGATCGCTCGGGGTCTTTAATATCCACGGTGTAGACAGGACCTCGGTTTTAACATCTCGTAGGTGACCCCTGCAGCTGAGCATTAAAGGGATTTTTCAGTTCACGTGGAGAGCCAGGCAGGGGTCGTTCTAAGCCCGTGAGCTGGCCCTGTGTTCACAGGGAATCCTGTGGAGCGACTGATTGGGTCATCCAAAAAACATAAACAAAGAAACAACCGCTACATTCGAAGGCTGCAATGGCTGGCAATTACTCTATTCAAGTAGGTGCACTCCACCCTCCATACACTTCACTTTTATGCCGGATGAGTCGATAAAAAGAAGGAACATTCCCAGCGGGTCTCTAAAGCGCCTGGGCGGAGCCGTTAAGGCGAAATGAAATTGGTGGTGTTAATTGACGTGCGAGCGTGGCATGCGCGGCCTCTATCACCGCTTCAGCGCGTCGGAGCCAAACAAAAACAATTGGCGCGATTTTCCTTTTTTCCATTGTGTTCCTTCCACCAAATCTTTACGTTGGCATCGCAGAGGGTCCCCTTGAGGGCGTCGCCTGGGGCTGCAGACAGACAGACAGGGCGATGGGAAGTTGTGCGCTCAGAGGCCACGTTTGGAGATCGGCACCCCTGAAAGTCCCCCAGGTGCAGACTTGCGTAGGTAATTGCTTTAAAATGAAAGCACCATAGATTTTTTTTCATTCCAATTTTGGGAGGCCAAAAAAAAAAAGCTGGCTTTTCTGATCATAACGATGTGTCTTTCATTATAATCGTGCTAAATTAATCTTTCTTCCCATTCTTGAGCGTTATTATACTTAAATTTTGATTTAAAGCTTTCGTGACTGCAGTAATTCATATTCTTAGCTCTTTCGGTAAAGTCACGTTGAAGGGAAACAATAAAATAATAAAATATATAAAACAAACGTCGTGAGAATTTGTATTGTTATATATATATTTTATTATTTTATTGTTTCCCTTCAACGTGACTTTACCGAAAGAGCTAAGAATACGTTATTATACTTTGTGAGAGTCGCTAATTCAGTCGCTCGCTCCACGACCATGGCTGTGCATTGAAAACGACTTGGCAGCAGCAGCATTTAAACTGCTTAAACTCACACTCAAAGCTTCTTCTGCTGCACTACCACCTGCCACTGTGCAGGGTTGCTCCGGTGCATTTAAATGGTTACTTGGATTTAAAAAAAAGAAAAACATTTGTTGGCAATTTAACTTCCGATGTGAATTCCCTTGCTGGGATTTAAATAAGTGAAATGACCCCCACTCTGCAAATGTGGCACCGAGAAAGCCATCTGTGCACCAGCATGCAGGTCCAATCCAATAAATGTTACTCTCTGTGGCACCATTAGGAGGGGGGGCTCGAGTAATCGCATCACAGCCTCTGAGCAATGTATGCAGATACCAAAATAATTATGTGAACAGGTACACGGATTGTGCGAATCGCCCAAGAAGGGTGCAAACAATGAGACGGGAGTTGAAAGTGAAATAGCCGGCCAGAGACGTGGAAAGAGAGAAATGCGGTTGAGATGAGACAAAGATGAAAGGGAGATTAAAGTGCGTTTTATCCAGTAAAGCCTCACTGAGTATACAACAACTCTTTTAACTGGGTCCTGCATTAGGATGTTTGTCCATTTTCAGTCGCGAGTGTTTTTGGAAGGAAATGAAGAGTACCCGGAGAAAATCCATGCATACAAAGGGATGGCACTCTTGAGATCTGCCCGGACGAGTTACAAACCTCACTGTACTGTGAACTCGTGGCTTCTCTGGTTTTTGGGAGTCTTCGAGCACGTAATGACCCTGACTACGAAGCACTGGATTAGAGGTTTTCTTTTTGCAAGGTAGAGTGGCAGAACGGAAAGATGACACGCAGAGAAAGAGACGGTGCAGACATCGTGATGAAGAGGGTAGGTAGGTAGAGTGAGTGAGTTAAAATTGAGAACGCGAGAAAGAGGGAGGGAGAATGGGAGAGCAATCGCAATGTGTGCCTTGCGATGCGGGAGAGCCGCCCTGTCGCGCACGTACGCCGCCGTGCGCGTCGTATCGACGCGGTGCGTTGTGCGCGCGTCGATCTCCCGACTCTCGCCTTACGGAGGGAGCTCGTACGGCTCCGTCTTCGTGGCGCTCTCGGGCACCACGCCGTGGCTGATGGGGCCGTACTGCCCGTCTTCACTGAGAGTCACGTGTTTTGGCTTTTGTCGGAGGAGCCCAGAGGACCGTTCAATCGGGCTCGATGTTTCGGTGACATCGACGCAACAGAGAATGTTAGTTTATACGCACGCTCTTCATCTCGGCCCGCCCAGTGGTTGCGTGCGCACATTCTGTTAGGTCCGATGGCGGGTGGGTTGCCAGTGGAGGGGCACAACAAAGGTGGAGCCTCCGGACTCTATGCTGTTCTCTCGCTAGGGTTGAATAGCTGCTGCCGGCGGGGGTAAACGGCGGGGGGTGACAGGGTTTCTGTTGGCAGAAGCATGGAGACAGTGCAGGCAATACATTTGCTTTACCTCTGCAAAGTATCTGCTTGTAGAGGACCTCTGCTTGGGATGGATTGTCAATTCACAAGTAGGTTTTTCTGTATGGGCTGGCGGACGCCTGTGATCCGCGCCAACGTGGAGGCGGGGTAGGTGGATCGTGCAGAGATCGCGTCCATTGATTGTCGGGCTATGACTTGTGCAGCATCAAGATGCACTGTTGTGTGTTTTTGTGATGGTGTGTTTTAAAACGGTGCTTTGTTAACTTGGTGCACACTCTCGTGTATCCAGGCACCTTAACTCAGGGGCCGTGTGCACGCATCATCGTGCTGTGACTCGTGGGGCACAGCTATTACTCGAGCTGCTCCTGCCAATGCTGCTGCTGTTGATCCGTCGCCGCTGTTCCGCCGCTGTGCCGCCGTCGTCGCTGTGCTGTCACTAGCAGCTTAGAGGAACTCTAGGGGGCTTCTATTTTCACAGGGCCCAACATTAGTTTTTCTAAGCGTGGCTTAGCATGGCTTAGCAAAAATAATATTGGGCCTTGTGAATTATTTTTGCTAAGCGTGGCTTAGCAAAAAAAAATATGGTTGACTCTCAGAGGCAGAATGCTAATAAAATATCAATTATCATTGTCAAAAAGGAGTCATTTAAATGCTACTTTTTACCGAATTCTCATTGTTTTCACACTAAGCTGTCGTGTGAAGAATTTATAACGCTTATCCAAATGTTTAGTGAATTTTAAGGGAGCAATTTTGTTTCATTTTCTTACGTGCTATATTTTGACAATGGTGATAACTAATGGCTTTGATTTGGAGAGAATATTCCCATTGTTTTTCATTTCTTTTTTATCTAAAATGTTTTATTTTATTTTAAAATGCAGGATCCTCACTAACAGATCAGTGCTTTGTTCATTTTCACAAATATCATCTTAGTTTAATTATACTGCGACTAAGGGTAAATTAGCTTCTCATTATTTAACGAGACCTGCTTACTATCAAAACAATTATTTGGATTTTGACTATTTTAAATTGGTATCTACATTAAAACCCAATTGCTTGTGTTTTAATGTGGTTCATTTAACTAAAAATGGTAGCCTCTAAGAAGACATTCACAATAAAATACTGCATTAACTTTATCATGCCATATTTCCGAAACGTGTAAAAAAAGTAGTTTTATCATAATACATAGCTTATTGTGATGTTACTACTTACTGCATTAGAGTGAAACATGTTAGATTAATTTTAATTTGTTATGATCTGAATTGCCATGACAACGATCACTATGATCACATGACCCGGCGATGCAATGTGGGGAGCGGTAGTGTAGCGGTTAGCGCGCTGCTCTACAAACCCGGCGACACGAGTTCGATTCCCGCTCACCGCCAACACCAGTGACGATTATCTGAAAGGGTCGTAGGCCTCCCCTAGGTCAACTCAGCCTCAAATGAGTATCTAGTGCGGTGTGTAAACTTCGCCGCCAGGAAGACAAAGGCGGCCGGGCTTGGTGCTAGCCACTCCACCCCCTCGTGTGCCGTGCCGGCCTTCATGGGTACTACTCGCTAACGTCACTTTCCCCAACAGTCTGTGAAAGGCTACACGGGGGATCTTTGTCTTTTGTCTGAACATGCAGTCCATGCTGCGGGGCCGTGGTGGCTGCTACAAGCACGCCTTCTACGGCATCGAGAGCCACCGGTGCATGGAGGCCACGCCAAGCCTGGCCTGCGCCAACAAGTGCATCTTCTGCTGGCGGTGAGCACACGGTGGCGCGCTTGCCAGCGAGCGCCCTGGCTTCCTCCCGCGCGCTCAACGCTCCCTCGCTCCCTCCCTCCTTGTTCGCTCGCCTCTCTCCCTCCCCTCCCTTCCCTTCCTCCCTCCTTGCTCCCTCCCTCCACAACAAGGCCCATTGGGTGGCCGAGCAGCTCAGAATCACAGAGCCAGTACCACACTGACATCCTGCAACATGTCGTCTGCTGGAAATCTTGTTTGTTATTCTCATGGAACAAGTTAGAAGACAAAAGACAGATGTTACCAGACCGTCCAAAGGAGGCAAAAGAATAATAATTATTGATTGAATTGAATAATGACCATTCATCAAATCACCTGGGATGGGGGATGGGAAGGGAGTGCTTGCCCAGAGCGGAGGATCCGGAGGCCAGTGTGTGTGTATATAATGTGTGTGTGTACTGTGTGTGTTAAACGTGTATGGTTCTGGCCACCCACCCCCTCGTGTGCTGTGCCGGCCTTCATAGGTGCTCGCTAACAGCGCTTGCCCCCAACAGTCTGTCAAGGCTATACGGGGGATTTGTGTGTGCTATGTGTTCCATAGTTGGCACAGTCGGGGGTACAGCTGGTGCATCTACCAGTCACCTCAGTCAGCCAACCTATGGCACCTGCTGGGTCTGTCCCGAGACCTCCCGTCAGCGAGCCTTCGACACTTCACGTGGCCTCAAAGTGCACCTGGCCTGGCACAGGCTCCACGGCGCCTGTGCCAGGCCACTAACTGACGTCACTTAGTGGCGAATGGCGAGTATTGGTGTTGCTATGTGTAACTGTGTGTGTGTGCTATGTGTTTGTGTGTGTAACCGTGTGTGTATGTGCGATACTGGCTGCAGGCACCACACGAACCCCGTGGGGACGGAGTGGCGCTGGAAGATGGATCCGCCCGAGCTCATTCTGCAGGAGGCGCTGGAGAACCACATGGCCATGATCCGCCAGTTCAAAGGTCCCACTAGGGCAGGGGTCGGCAGCAAAAATAAACAAGAAGAGATATTTTTTTAGAATTCGGTAAAAAAAAATGCCCTCAATATTTCAAGAGCCGCAATGCAACGCAAATACGAGGCGGTGGTCCTTAATAAATAACGTCACCAAGCAATCCTTAAAGAGCCAGATGAACTGGACTCCCATGGTAAACTGGACTCCCGTGGTAAACTGGACTCAAATGGTGAACTGGACTCCCGTGGTGAACTGGACTCCCGTGGTAAACTGAATTCCCATGGTGAACTGGACTCCCGTGGTAAACTGAATTCCCATGGTGAACTAGATTCCCGTGGTGAACTGAATTCCCATGGTGAACTGAATTCCCGTGGTAAACTGAATTCCCATGGTGAACTGGACTCCCGTGGTAAACTGAATTCCCATGGTGAACTGGACTCCCGTGGTAAACTGAATTCCCATGGTGAACTGGACTCCCGTGGTAAACCAGACTTCCATGGTAAACTGGACTCCCATGGTGAACTGGACTCCCATGGTAAACTGGACTCCCGTGGTAAACCGGACTCCCGTGGTGAACTGGACTCCCGTGGTAAACTGGACTCCCGTGGTAAACCGGACTCCCGTGGTAAACTGAATTCCCATGGTAAACTGGACTCCCATGGTGAACTGGACTCCCGTGGTGAACTGGACTCCCATGGTGAACCGGACTCCCATGGTAAACTGAATTCCCATGGTAAACTGGACTCCCATGGTGAACCGGACTCCCATGGTAAGCTGGACTCCCATGGTGAACTGGACTCCCATGGTAAACTGGACTCCCATGGTAAACTGGACTCCCGCGGTAAACCGTACTCCCGTGGTGAACTGGACTCCCGTGGTGAATTGAATTCCCATGGTGAACTGGACTCCCGTGGTGAACTGAATTCCCATGGTGAACTGGACTCCCGTGGTAAACCGGACTCCCGTGGTGAACTGAATTCCCGTGGTGAACTTGACTCCCGTGGTAAACTGGACTCCCATGGTAAACTAGACTCTCGTGGTAAACTGGACTCTCATGGTAAACTGGACTATCATGGTAAACTGGACTCCCATGGTAAACTGGACTCCCATGGTGAACCGGACTCCCATGGTAAACTGGACTCCCGTGGTAAACTGGACTATCATGGTAAACTGGACTCCCATGGTAAACTGGACTCCCATGGTAAACTGGACTCCCGTGGTAAACTGGACTCCCGTGGTAAACTGGACTCCCGTGGTAAACTGGACTCTCATGGTAAACTGGACTCCCATGGTGAGCTGGACTCCCATGGTAAACTGGACTCCCATAGTGAACTGGACTCCCATGGTAAACCGGACTCCCGTGGTAAACTGGACTCTCGTGGTAAACTGGACTCTCATGGTAAACTGGACTCTCATGGTAAACTGGACTCCCATGGTAAACCGGACTCCCGCGGTAAACCGGACTCCCGTGGTAAACTGGACTCCCGTGGTAAACCGGACTCCCGTGGTGAATTGAATTCCCGTGGTGAACTTGACTCCCGTGGTAAACTGGACTCCCATGGTAAACTAGACTCCCATGGTGAACTGGACTCCCATGGTAAACTGGACTCCAATGGTAAACCGGACTCCCATGGTAAACCGGACTCTCGTGGTAAACTGGACTCCCATGGTAAACCGGACTCCCATGGTGAACTGGACTCTCATGGTAAACTGGACTCTCATGGTAAACTGGACTCCCATGGTAAACCGGACTCCCGCGGTAAACCGGACTCCCGTGGTAAACTGGACTCCCGTGGTAAACCGGACTCCCGTGGTGAACTGAATTCCCGTGGTGAACTTGACTCCCGTGGTAAACTGGACTCCCATGGTAAACTAGACTCCCATGGTGAACTGGACTCCCATGGTAAACTGGACTCCCATGGTAAACCGGACTCCCATGGTAAACTGGACTCTCATGGTAAACTGGACTATCATGGTAAACTGGACTCCCATGGTAAACTGGACTCCCATGGTAAACCGGACTCCCATGGTGAACTGGACTCCCATGGTAAACTGGACTCCCATGGTAAACCGGACTCCCATGGTAAACTGGACTCCCGTGGTAAACTGGACTCTCATGGTAAACTGGACTCTCATGGTAAACTGGACTCCCATGGTGAACTGGACTCCCATGGTAAACTGGACTCCCATGGTAAACCGGACTCCCGCGGTAAACCGGACTCCGGTGGTAAACCGGACTCCCGTGGTGAACTGGACTCCCATTGTCAGGGTCGGCAACCAAAACAAACAAGAGGCGCCATTTTTTTCGAATTCGGTCCAAAAAAAAAAAACCCCTCAATATTTCAAGAGTTGCAATGCAGCGTGAATTACGAGACGGTGGCCCTTCGTAAAAAAAAACAAAAACGTCAAGAAGCAGTCCTTCAAAGAGCCACATGCGTCTCCGGAGCCGCAGGCGGCCGACCCCTGCACTAGGGCAGCCGAGTTCTCATGCCAGTTTCAATGTCCTGCTGCGGGGCAGCACGAGTATTGTGTGAATGTATGTACGTTGAACTTCTTTCGCACCGTACGTAGCCAACCGTGCCTATCGGAGGTGCAAATCGGAGTATCAATGCCGGTTTAAAGATCCTGATTAAATGATATATGAGGTTAGTGGCACTTTCAGTTTTTTTTCAATGGCGCGGTTTAAACTAAATAATGCAAACAGTGCTCGAAGGAGTCCTTCTCTTCCTACATTTAGGATATCGCCGCTGATTCCATCTTCTCCTGGACTTCTGCAATTATGCAGTGTGTCTCCTGCTGAAGTGGTTTTGCTCGTTAATATGTTTGGTAATCTCTCTTCTTTCACGATTACTTTGTGCCATTCTCATTTTGACCGGGTAGCTGAAGAGAAATTAAATTGGCGTAAAATTCAGTCATCATTTTGGAATTATTTCTCCATTTTTGTTCTTCAGCTGTTGTATTCGGCTCCTTCCTCCGGGAGGGGGGGATTTAAGAACCCGTCATTTCTCTTAGAAGTTCTTAGCCACTTTCGGTTGCGTTTCCTTGAATCGTTTCTAATTTACATGTGAGTCATTTTCCTTACGTCTGCGTGTTTGTGTGTGTATGCGTGTGCGCGGTTGTGTGTGCGTATGTACGCGTGTGAGCACGCGTGTTTGTCCGTGTGTGCGTCTGCGTGTTTGTGCATGCGCGTGTACGCGTGTGAGCACGCGTGTTTGTCCGTGTGCGCGTCTGCGTGTTTGTGTGTGCATCTTTGTGCGTGCATGTTGGTGCGTGTGCGGTTTGCCGCCGAGTTCAGGCGTGCCGGGCGTGAGGCCGGAGCGCTTTCAGGAGGGGCTGGTGGCGCAGCACTGCGCCCTCTCTCTCGTGGGCGAGCCCATCATGTACCCCGAGATCAACCGCTTCCTGCGACTGCTGCACCGCCGCGGCCTCTCCTCCTTCGTCGTCACCAACGCGCAGTTCCCCGACGAGATCCGGTGAGTTCCCCCCCCCCCCCCCCCCCCCCCCCATTCGTGTTCGCTCAGTCGCTCGCTCGCCCTGGCTTCCCACCTACGGAGGTGCGATGCGTCCACGCGTCGCTGCGTACCGCTGCCTGGGCCTGCGTTGGCCCGCGTTATCCTGATTGGTTCGTCAACACCCTGCCGCTTGGCCTCGGCCGGTGGCGCCATCCCACCACGGAGAACAGGCTCGTGGGAGGAAGCGAGCAACTGAGCGAAGTGTATGTAGTTAAGTTTCGTGCGTGCATTGTGCGAACGGCGCGTTTCGTTTTTTTGCAACGTGTGCATGCGTGCAGAGCGGGGGAAGCGTTGGAGTAGTGGATCGTGCGGTGATGCGGTCACTGTGAGCTTGCTCTTTGAATTTTTAGTTTTTTTAGTTTAATGCTTTATGATGTGTAACAAATAAATGACAACCCCTGTAATAAAAGTGTTACATTAGTTATTGCTGTTCACAATCCTGATGTTTTATAGCATAATGTGTAAAAAAAAACACTTTTTTGTTCAAAGCGCCTCTGAAAATACTTAGAATAAAACATATCTTAGTTGCTACTGCCGTAGTATAAATTTACAGCTTGCTAGAATTTAGGATTTAAAAACCTAAAATATGACATAGCCGGTGTATTTTGTGGACGTAATTTATGGAAGGTGGATTTTGTTGGAGCTTAACGCATTCAACCCTTAAACTTAAGCCAGTGGACGGTGGGGAGGGCGGCTGCCTTACGCATCCTTCATCATTTTATTGGCTTGGTGTGTCTTGATGTTTTAAGCTCGTTATAAAATAATGCTCAAGTCGGTGCTAGCCTTCCCCTGAAAATGCAATGGCGGTGGAATGTTTTGTATGTGCAGCATATCACCTTGTCACTCGCAAAGTCGTTGCGTAAGCAAAGGAAATTGTGATGTAGTTTCAGCGCTTGCTTGTGTCGGTGCTGTGGTGTGCATACCAACGTCCGTGTGAACAAATGTGCCCCATGATAGAAGTAGCAGGATCGCCCAGGGGACTAATGCCATGCGAGAACCGCTGACATCCTGGTTTTCCATCCATACAGCCACCCCATGATTAAGCCTCGGTTTTCAAGTATAGCGAGTCGGCGGTCTCAGCTTGAGCACCAATGACTCCGCGTAAAAATTAACCGTCAAATTATTTTGTTTTTGTTGCCGCTTAATTTTCTTAACCCTGCTCTGTAAATGTAATATTTCGTATTAATTGCCGTGTGACGAACACTCTTTGCAGGTGTCCCGAGAGTGCATAAAATATACCTTTGACACAGGGTATAGTGCACTGCTTACTGCGAGAGTTTGAGATGGATATCGATGCTTGCACACCGATTTGTGCGTTCGCTTGCTTCCGAGATGCCTTTGAACGACAGGGCCCAGCACGAACTGCAGGCCGACCTGCGACTCTCGCCTTGAAGTGTGTGAACATGCGTCGTGTACGCACAGGCTTAATGACCACTGATGTGGTGGTGCGTCGTCCATTCACCTTGCTGTGCAAGTGGGAGAAAAAATAAGAATGCTTGCGCTTGGAAGACACACGCCGACGCTTGTGCTGTGGCGGGCGCCAACCTTGCCGCCCCCGTTCCACCGCCCAGGACACTGGAGCCGGTGACGCAGCTGTACGTGAGCGTGGACGCTAGCACGCGCGAGAGCCTGCGCAGGATCGATCGCCCGCTCTTCAAGGACTTTTGGACACGCTTCCTGGACAGCTTGAGGGCTCTGTCCGAAAAGGTACCATTGGCTGTGGCCCCGTTGTTAACTGTGCCGTTATGTTTATAAACGCACGGAACTTGGGCGAGTTTGTGTTTGCCGTGTGAGTGTGTGTGAGCTGTGTTGTTAGTCCTTGTGGGCCGCTTATTGTTTGTAAACCTCACTTTACTGCCACGTACCGTGAAGAGAATTCGATTGGGAGCCGAATTGGCTTGTATACATGTATACGTCCTCTGCTGGTTTTGGCTTGTATTGTGAGTATTTCCCATAATGCAGTGTGGTCTTAATACATTGTAATATTTAAGGTCAAAGTTGAATGGTCACAGCCATTATCATTGATGCTACTGCATTTTACTGTCACGTCCTTTGCTCACGTATTGCAGTGAACTCATGGCCTGCAAGATCTACAGTACTTCAGTACTGTCATAACCATGAGGTTTTGCAGTGAGCCCACAGCTGATGATCCCTGGCCTCTCGTTTGCTGTCACTGAGCATTGGTTATTCCCTGCACAGACAAAAAGCTCAGGATAAGCGCATGTTGGCTTTTAATTACATTTTTGGACACTTTTACTCGCAATTGTGCTGTTATATCATGATACGGAGTAACCATTCCGATCTCACCCAGAACGTTGCATCACCCGATGTAGGAGACATCGCAGAACTGTTTGGGAAATCCCTTCAACAGACCTCGACTGAGAAATATTTGCCGCAAGACGGTCAAACCAATATTTGTAATTCTCACAGCTGGAAATGATCCAAACGAAGTGAAAACAACATTTTTTGTTATATTCGAGTTATTTATTTATTTATTTGTATGGTCATTTGGTGGCTGGGCTGAGAGCGTCAACTCTCACTGTACTAGACAAGCTGGTTTCATCATGGGTGGCTGAAAAACCTACCCTGTGAATCCACGGTCTCAGCCGTGCTGGCTCATTGCTCTGACCCTTGAGCAAGTTGCAGGGTGGGGTCCCGTTCACCGCCGAATCTCGGAACGGGTGAGCGGCTCAGCGTTAATTTTGATTCATAGAGGCATAGCACCGCTGTTTTTAAAGACATTGTACTCACCGCAGAGAACTGTAGCGACACACAACCGCACCCTACGATAGCTGGTACCAAACTGCGCCACTCGCCCTCCCGCATTGCCTTGTGGGAGCCTCGGTACTGAAAAAGTTACTTTCACACGTGCATCATCGTAACGAGTTTCCCTTGTTAAGATAAAAAAAAACTATTTTCCATGCCTACACTTTTATTTTCACTCTAAAAGTTGAAAATTAATTATTTCGAGCCCAGAATTAATAAAATTTGATGTGCTGCATATAGGTACGTGTGGGATTTTTCGCGTCATTTTCTTTTTTTGTCTCGTTTGAGGCAAAACAAAAATATCACCCCTGCGCTCAGTGCGACTGCACACGGGGGGTTTCGCCTGCCGAGCGTCGGTGCCGCCCCGTGCCTGCTCCGCGCTGTCACCACCGCGGCGCGTCACGTTCCGCACACAGCCATCTCTTCAGCCTAAACGGCCTCATAATTCCAGAACATTTGTCAGTGTCCCCGTGGGCAGCCCCTTGCCATACGTCAGAGGGCGGCTGACTTCGCGCGCACGTGCATGGCCGGCCGCTGCTACGATAATCATTAGTCGTGCATACGTTGACGGGTTGGGGACGAAGATAGATTTTCTTTTTCTGTCAGCGCTTAACGATCCCGTGTCTTGCGCTTGAATCAGTCGATGGTGCTTTGTAGCCCTTGGTCTTGATGGCTTTGGGGCTGGGATGCGTGGCCGGAATGCCATGACTTTTTTTTTTCTGTTACTTGCCCGTCTGTTTGTAACCGCATCGAGCAGCCCGTCACTTTACCGCCATCAGCATGTGGTTTCATCATGGGGAATTTTGATTTACATTAAGGTCAACTTCACGTGACAATGCGTTCACGCCACCACAGTGAAACTTAACGTTGCGGTCGCCAGGTGTGTCACGTGGTGTGTGCGATGACCTCCTGCCAGCGGATGTACACGTGGCCTTCAAGTGCACATAGCCTGGCACAAGCATCGTGGTGACATCACTGCCACTTAGTGGCGAATGGTGGTTGTTTTTGCGATGACCTCCAAGCCCTTGGATCTCCACCATTTGCTCCACCCTAACCCAGATTGGCAATCGGCCTGATCAGCGTTAACATTAAAAAGTTCACCAATTAAATGTGGCGACATGTTCACTTTTGACCCGCTTGGCATCGCTTAAGTAAGGCTGAGGTGGACATTCCGTTATGTTGCGTGAGTTAAATTATCCAGTTTGAATCTTTGCTTAGCGAGTGTTCATGACTTGGTGCCAAATTTTATTTGTTTCCTTAAAGAGCCACAGGACGGCAATTTAAGTTGTATTTTCCAAGCGGCGGAGGAGGAGAGGTAACCAGCCAGGATTCTGACAGTTTGCCAACATTCTACTTTTGAGTTCAGAAAACCGCTTCAGAGTCATTGTGTCGACGCTGCTGCTGCATTGCTAAGCGAATGCGGGCTCACTTTTGACACGTTGATGTTACTTTAGACACTTTAGTAAATATGTTGACTTTAGACACGTAACTATTTACCAATACAGCACACTGGTGTGTTGGAGAGTACAACAAAGTATGTAAATGTTGTGGGTTTACTCTCCAACACACTGGTGTGCTGTACTAACAACGAATTGGCATGTTTTGTTTACTTGACCAAACCCTACTAATTGGCTGTATCGGGTAGTGCTGGGTTTAACGACACTTTTATATTTTCGCGATCTAACCCAAAAAAACTCTTATGGATATAATATTGGTCGCGAACGCCTACGTGTTATTTTTTATTTTACCAGGTAAAGCCCACTGAGCTACGTGGCTCTTTTTCAAAAGTGACCTGGCTATCACAAATGACGGCTCAACGAAGTGGCTTATCAAGTGGAAATTTATAGCAGCCAAATACTCTATAACGCACGTTTCTAAATGTGGAGGGAAAAACCGGAGGACCCGGAGAAAAATCCACACGACCACGGGGAGAACATGCAAAGTCCAAATATACTGCAGGCGTCAGGGTCGGTCCAAATTGGTAGGCAGCGCTCGCAGCGCCTCAACATCAGTCCATCCTGCGAGCTCACATATAGCAGCAAAACCGCCTTTGAAAGGCGGCCCAATCGCCCCCTGCGGCTGCAAACTCTCGTACAAACGGCAACCGCTTCTTGAGGGTGGGCATCTCCGCGCGCGCGAAGTCTGCGGCGAGTCAAATTTGGCGGGAGCGGTTTCCCGCCCAGCCGACAAAATGGCGGCCGCTCGCTCGGGCTGGGGCTCCGCCGTTTCTGGCGTTCGGCTAATGGCGGCGGCGGGGCTGTCCACTCGTCCTTCTCGAAGCACTACGTCTTCCTCCGCCTCCTCCACGTCCATCTCCGCCACCAGCGCTGCCGCCGCAGACAACAAGTCCGCGAGGCACACATTCCGTATGCGGCGTCTTCCTCCTGACGGCTGCAGCGTGGAGTCGCAGTTTTCCTCCCCGCTGCTCCGCCGGGAGCGCCTCCTCGGGATTATTCTCCGGGGTCCCGGGTCCCAGGGTTGTCTGGGGAATCACCTCGCCGCTGTCTTCCTCGTCCGAAGACACTACGGTGTCTTCCTCCGCGTTAACATCGACTTTCTAATTTTAACTTTCCCTAATTTACTCTTTGGTTATTTCGGTAAAGCCTCGTAGAAAGAAAGTAAATTAAATAATATAATATGACATTTCGATTGCAACACAAGCAATCGTCATCAGAGTGTGTCTCTGTGTTGTCTCTCTCTCTCTGCTTGTGTTTCTCTCTTTGTCTCCGTGTCTGTGTTTTGTCTCTCTCAAATTTAGTTCTACCTGATGACGATTGCTTGCGTTGCAATCGAAACGTCGTATTCTATTATTGAATTTATTTTCTTTCTACATGGCTTTACCGAAAGAACCAAAGAGTAATTCCTGCAGTCACAAAAGCTTCAAATCAAGTTTTTCCCTAATTTTTATAATTTATTGTTAACACTTCTGGCACCAAATGTATTCAGTCACTTCTAATAGTAGTCGGCAACACACGTTTATTCGACACCTTTGGACACTGTTCACACATGGGATAACGATAAATGGGTCAGAACAGCCGGCACGCTGTCTGATCCATGACGCCGGAGATGAAGACATAGCACCTTGGGTTCCATTCCACCGACAGACAGCCCCTATCCAGCCTCAGGTCTTCGTCCTTCTCGCCCTCGGCTACGCCCCCTTCTGGAACCTGCCTGAAGTTTCTGGGCCACGTGCCATGTGTCCCCTGCCTGGCTCCGTCCTTGGCTACGCCCCCTTCTGGAACCTACCAGAAGGTTCTGGGCTATACCTCACATGTCCCCTCGGTCACCTTTGCCCCACATCCTTTACCCCGGCCTATCACGTGCTCCACCCCAGGCCGAGGGAGATTGACTGCAGGTATCGTGGTTAATGCAGACATGAATCCTTGTAAAAAGGTTTCAGTTTTGTTGCCAGAAAAAAAAGGGGAAAACCCCTATTATTATATTTTGGTACTGGCAAAGGAGGTCTAATGATGACTCGTATTATATTTTTATCCTGTTTGTTGGTGTAACGTTCTTATCCACCCCTACTGAACACCTGTGAAAAAAAGCTTCACAGTTAATCGTATTCCTCCAGAATAAATGCTTATTCTGTTTCTGGTTAGTGCACCACAGCATAAAGTCTGCTGACTTGATCTCAGTTCACGGCTACGGCTAACATCAGTGGCAAGTGTTATCATCAAAATTTGACCTGGGCCTTCCCGAGGCCAACTCAGCTTTTATAAGAGGATGCGGTGTGGTGTGTCAACATCAGCACTGGAGAAACAAAGGCAGCTCCGTCTGGTGATGACTACACCACCTCCTCGTGAGCTGTGCCGGACTCAATAGTTGCTCGCTGAGAACACTTTCCCAAACACACTGCATGTGGCTACATGGGAGATCTTTGCCTCTGTGTGTGTGGTATTCTAAGCGGTGCGTGTAACGTTCAGTTTGTGTAACAGCTC